CCCGTAAGATTTTTGTAATACAGCACATTGTTACTGATGCACTTGTTATAATTGTTCGTGTGTCAGAGCAGGGGAGCTTGCTTCCTGTATCCCGACAGCGCAATGGACCGATCCAGTAAGCACCGCCCCATGGTATTCTGACCAATCACAGCCGTGATTCATGTCCGACATGCGCGCACAAAAGTCCGACATGCGTGCACGCGCGTATGATGCGCGCGGCAGAAAAATGCATTGTGGCATTGGAGAGGAGCGCGTGTTAATTTGCCCACGTGCGCAGTGGGAGGGGCTTACTGGATCGGTCCATTAGCAGGTAATGAATTTGTATCCTGTATTTTAGTATTGTTATTTTCAACGTGTATTACGTGTTTTCACGTTCATTGTAATTTTTACGTCCACACATTCTCAAAAATAATCATTTCCTTTGCAATTTGCTCATATTAATATGAAATGTGACACTGCACATATTCACTGAAAAAAATTGCCTGGGTTAATTTGTACCCAAGCAAGGGTGAAAACTGCAACTGCCCAAAGTTGGGTTGTCCTTTACCCAATTGTTTGGGTTACAATTTCTGTTAAATTCCCCCAAAGCTTGTGGTCATACCAGACTAGATTTAATTTGAAACCACAGGTTTTGGTTGAATTTAACAGAAATTCTAACCCAAACAATTGGGTAAAGGACAACCCAATTTTGGGTAGTTGCAGTTGTTACCCTTGCTTGGGTAAAGTTAACCCAGGAAATTTTTCAGCGTTGGCTGGATAAGATTGTAACGTTTAACTTCGACATATGCCCCCCAAAGACATCCCAGGTTTTAAAGGATAGTTGTGTGGATGTTTATATCCTACTTTTAAAGCTCTTTCCGATTAAAGGGAAGATACAACATTTGCAAACATCAAAAAAAGAAATGATCCAATTATCACGAATTACCTTACTGGATTGTAAGGGAATGACAGTCTAAAGCATCCTGTAAAATTGTTGCTTCAGGTTTGTCGACATTTTCAAGAAATATTGTATTTTTCCAACGCTGGTCGGCCGACCAGCGCTGGAGAAAACTGGCTATGTTAAAAAACTACTCCATATTCCTTATATTTGGTTATTCCACATCTTCCTTGCAATTGATTACACACCTGTGAACGGGTACAAGCCAGCTAAATTGAAACTCTGGCCATACAAATCCCCAAAGTCGATAAACTGCTCCATTTCATCTTATTAAGTGGGGTCAGGGAGCCAGACTACAAGAATACAATTGGTTTTCTTGGTTTTTCCAGCATCTACAAGCCAAAAAGGTGAAACGATTCAGTTCAACAATGTTTGCTAAAACATATAAATCCTCCAAATGCACTTATTTCTGAAAATTGCAGCAAAAGCCAATGTTGTACATTCCCTTTATCATCATTTAGTTTTAAACGTATTTTGTAGCCCAATTGGGCGCTTTTCAGGACGTAATATCCCTTTAATGAGCCGTTATACAGTTCATGAACACATTCCCCGTCCTAATTTAACACATGAAAGCTAAAATTATACTCCCAATAATAACACATCAAAGGATTCATTAGTTTGGCAAACAGATTTTAAATATTCAAACGGAGGACTCAAAATCAGTGGCAAACTGTTACAATATGCTTTCATGAAAAAGGGTCATTGTTTTTGCCAGGTTTTCTTCGTGTTTTATGTACATTAATAATTAAATAACAGGTTATTGTTTAAGTTTCGGTATTAACTCCCGTTTTATTCATTTTTTTTTTTAAGTCGCAATTCATTTGTCATCTGAGGAAGTCACATCTCCTTTAAACACACCAACAAAATACCTTCACACAATGAAGCGTCCTGGGTGTCAAACTAATTCCAAAACTAGTCTTAGCTCCAAGGCTGAACGAAAATGCAAATGAAAATCTGAACAGCAACCAGCAACACGACTGATTGGCAGTTATAGTGATTTCACTGATAATTTTGAGTTTGCGATTACCTTTATTAAGCTAAATTTCATCCTTGGCACCATCAGCCTGGGGGTTTGGTCGGTATCAAATGAGGGGAATAATAGTCATTGTGATTTTTGGCAAGGTATGCACCCCTGTCGTTGGAAAATATGTGATAGCATTGGAAAAGATTTTCATATCTGGCCATCACTACTTTTTCCCTTCAGTGACCTATTAGCCATCAAAAAGTGATATGTCCTTAAAAGTCATATTTAGCAGGGAAAATATTGACGTATTTACTGAGAAAACAGAGAAATTTTCAGACTAGTCTCATAGGGTTTGTGCACAGGGTTAAAAGTGATGGGAATCTTTCCTAGCATTGCAGTGGTGGCAGCTTTTTGGGTGCCAAAACATGCTTGTTACTACATATAATTAATCCGGTTCAAGCATATTGGCGCCCATTTTGAAAATAAAAATAAAAAATGATAACACCAAAAAACTGCCAACGCTCACACCACAAAGCCATCACATATTTTCCAATTCTAGATGTGTATTACCTTCCAAAAAATCGCTATGAGCATGGCTCTTTTTCGACCATTTGATACGGGTGGCCCAAGTTTTGGACCGAAGCTGATAGCCTACCTGTATTGCCAAGTACTAAGCTGTAATAGGAACATGGCGAGAAAAAGGTTGCTCTCCATTCAGCTAAGTCGTACGTACGACTTGTATCTCGTACTTACGACTTATAACCCGTACCCACATGTACGACTTATATCTCGTACGCACGACTTATATCTCGTACGTACGACTTATATCTCGTACGTACGACTTATATCTCGTACGTACGACTTATATCTCGTACGTACAACTTACACGTACTACTTACTATTCATAGGTCGTACGTACAAGATATGAGTCGTACTACGAGATATAAGTCGTACATACGAGTTAAAATTTCTAAGTCGTACGTATGAGATTTAAGTCATACGCACAAGATATTGTACTTTTAATACAAGATACAAGTCGTACGTACGAGATACAAGTCATACGTACGAGATACAAGTCATACGTATGAGATATAAGTCATACCTACGAGATATAAGTCATACGCACGAGATATTGTACTTTTAATACGAGATATGTCGTACGTACGAGTTACAAGTCGTACGCACGAGATATCAGTCGTACAAACGAGTTATAAGGCATACATACGAGTAAGTCGTACGTATGAGTTCGCGGAAGGGAGAGACAAATATTTTTTCACCATGTCCGTATTAGAGCTTCCTAGCTAAGTACTCCCACACAAATGCTAAATAAACGTGTTTCTGGCAGAAAACAAAGGAAATTGCAGAAAAGTGGCTTGCCGAGGGACATCACAATGATGGCAATGGAACCTGCATTCAGAAGATTGCAACAGCTCGGGTCTGACCGAGTGTAACTTGCCTGTAAATGACAAGTCCTCGACTTGTAGATATGCCTGGAGATATTCAAGCTTTAATGGGCATTTGGGTTTTTATAACATTTAAATTTGATTCTGTACAAATTCGGCATTGATTTGAATTTTCCTTTAAATTAGTAGGCTATGAGTGGTGAATTTAATAACAATAAAAAGGCCCTATATCTGCAGCCATTACATGGACCAAGAAAGCAGGATAACAAAACAAACTTGATTGTTACACCGGACTGAAGTCATTGTTACGAAAGATTTTAAAAACGGGACATCTTCTAATCAAAAGAAAAGCAAAGGTTATTCAAAGATTGATCAGACTTGATAGCAACATTTAAACGTTTACTACACTATAATTGATTTGATTTAAACGTTCCTAAAAAATACAAAACGCAAAATTACAGTCCGACCTCAGATTTGGTCACATATTGTGAATTTTGTGGAAAAAAAATCTTATTTACAACATATTTGAACAATTCGTAAAATTTCAAGAAGATGTTTCCCGTTTTCAATTAATTGCTTAAAAAATTAAATGAAGCAAACCAAATCAAACAAACACACACACAAATAAACAAACATTTAAAACAGGATGTCATAGACATTTTCATATCAAGCAGCTTTGCAGATGATATATTTGGAGACATACTACGAACTTTGAAAGCAAACAAGAATCATCTTGGAACTCTGCAAGTACAGGGTGACTAAAAAAAAAAAGCGGAACCCAAACCCAATGAAATGTATTTCAGATTAAAAAAAAAAAATATGTAGCACCAAAAAAAAACGATGACTAATTATGGTAAGCCAATTTCATAAACTACTTTTAGATGAAAACAAATACTTCAATTGCTCGTTCAAATTATATCACCATTTAAACCAAATGACCCTAAAATCTGTTTTGTCCAAAAAGCGACATCAAGAATTGTCGTTATAATTCTCTTCAAACATCACCAGCGATTAAACCTAAGTTTAAAAGTTAAAAATATTCAACAAAGTCCTTTTGAAGGCCTGTCTTTAAAAAAAAAGGTGGATTTTATCAATCCTATTAGTTAGTTAGTATATGTTAGCCCAAGCAGCATTGTTAATAAAGATATTGCGTACTACAGTTGTTGACAGTTTGTTGTTGAAACAAGAATTGTGTGTCGTATTCTTTGTTGTTCCAAACAGTCTGAACACACAATACATTGCTTTTTTTGGACGAAACTGATTTTAGGGTCATTTCGTTTAAATGGTGACGTAATTTGAATGGATTGAGCAGTTGAAGTAATTTTTTCATTGATTAAATTGGCTTACCAGTCATTATTTTTTTGGGCGCTACATATTATTTTAAATATGAAATATATGTCTTTGGGTTTGGGTTTCGCGTTTTGTTTACTCACCCTGTATTCTGTATGCTTTCAGCCATTACTCTTGCAAAACTCCACAGTCCAGCCGTGTGAAATAACATTTCACACGGTTGGCACATTTTGAGGTCTTCAAACTGGGTTGTTCACAACTTTCAATAGCCATAGAAACATTTTAAGCAAAAAAATGACATATTGCTTCAACCAAGTTCAACCGAGAAATTAGTTTGTAATGACATAAAAAAAATAAGCCAAATCACTATGTGACCAAAAGCAAAGAAGTCAGTCTAACTTGATAATTTGTTTTTTACAAGTTCAAATCATTTTTTATTGTCATTTTTCATACATCAGTTTTGGTTGAGATTGTTCAAATTCAACCAACATCTTGGCAATTAAAAAATGACAGGCGAATTCATTTTGGACTTCAATTCTAAACATTCCATTAAAGCAGCCACATTTTGTCTGATTGATGTGAATTTTACCAAAAAGTAAAAGCGCAATAAATGGCGCTTCTAGTAAATTTCTCTCATGTCGACGCAACTACCGACTTTCCCTGCATGGTAACTGTACAATGAAAATCTGCTTTCAAAAAGTATCCAATGTGTTCAGAGAACCGCAGAAAATAAGTGTCAGATTTGGTCTTGAAAAAGATTGATAAAGAAAATGTGCACTTCTAAACCAAATCAGGGGTGGTTCGTACTATGCGCGAACGGGAACGGGAACGCGAATTAGTCACGCCACAGCAGCTTTTCGCGTTGCAAATTCGCCAAGGTGGAACACATTTCCATTCTGGCGAATTTTCGCACCGAATGTTTAGTGACGTCAAAATCCACTTCGCATTTGCGTGAAGTATAAACTGGCCTTTAGGCTGTCATCTTCTCTTTACATAAAAAAAATCTGAATTAAAGACTATTACAGGAGGCAATCTGATAGTATTTAAACTCGCAAGCAAATAAAACCAAAAAAAAAATGCCAGAAAACACACGAAGCCGACTTGATTGTAAACTTCATGTTTGTTTCTAAAATCTGTTGGTGGCAAACGACAAACTGTATTTGTCACTGATATGGAAGGCTCTGGGTGACAAGGATTGCTATTTGACAGTCTCAATCGCTAAAAAAACAATGCTATCAAAACAGCCACTACGACATACTGCCAAAGTTGAAACTTTTGGGGACATTCGGGGCCTGAAACTTGTACCCGCCTTGCTTCTCGATCTGTCTGGAATCTGCGTTAATAAAACAACAAGCATATTGGCAACAATCAATTTGGATCTCGTACTAAAGATGAAAGTGAACAATTTAGGTCCACACAGGATATTTTCCATGTATAAAAGTTTGATGGTTGTATTTTATCGGCAAATACCTTTTATTCCTGTTTTTATCTAGTATGTTTGCTTGAGTGTTGTAAATCGCTTTTTAAATTTTAGATTGTAATCCCCCCATGCAGCTTTTGGAATTGTTTTTGTATTGTCTTAAGGTTTTATTGGAATTAGTTTTCTTAACTTAAATATTACAGTTTGTATGTTTATTATTTGTTTAAGCGCCTTGAGGTGGATTTTTCTGCGATTGTCTGCGCTTTATAAATTTCTTATTATTATTATTATTATTATATAAAAAATATATCATGGTTTGAGAGTGGATAGTTGATATTAGCGGCCCAAGGTATTGGAAGTGTATTTATTATTTATTTATTTAATTCATTTAAATCTTTCTTTAAACTGGGTAGCCCATTCAATGGAATCCACTGATCTCCCATGGGCCCAGTAAAGAAAAGACAATGTGAAGAAATTACAGTTTAGAGATGGGAGGAATACCCCAGAGGAGTATTCTGAGGAAAACCCACGCAATCAGGCAGGGACTAAAACTGGCAATCCACATATTGGCCAAAGCAGGATTCGAACCCGGGTCACAGCGGTGGAAGGCGATGAAAGTACAAACAAAGAACTAGTTTGTCAACTTCCAATACCGAGGGGCGCTAACATTGACTATCCTCACGAAAATATACCACATGGGTTACACTGTATATTGATTTTACTACACCTCATATATATATTCAGCAAAATTTCATTAACTTATGTACACATCATAACATTGAGTTAACAGCCAACGACTCATGCAGTGAATATCCCATAGAAATGATTCCCAGCTGATGTTTGCTTAGCCTTTTTTTTATGGAGTTGCTCGACACAAAAACATTTGGCTTTGCCAAAAAAAAATGGTTACCAGCCAAAATGCCATGGGTTTTGTACTGTTTGTGACTGGTTCCCAGCTAATGTTGGCTAAGCACATGAATTTGCTTAGGCACAAAAAAAACATTTGCCAGGCCAAAAAAAAAAAAAATAAACACAGCTACCAGCCAAAATGTCATGCAGTGTATATTGGATGTGACTGGTTGCCAGCTAATTTTTTTTGGTAAGCTCATGCATTTACTTTTAAGCAGAGAAAATATTTAAAAAGGCCAAAAAAAAAAAATGACATCACTGGTTCCTTGCTGAATTTTACTAAGCATAGAAAATATTTGCTAAGCAAAAAAAAAAAAGAAGAAACGGTTACCAGCCAAAATGACACACATTGTAAATTGCATGCGACTGGTTCCCAGCTGAATTGTGCTAAGCACAAAAAGTTGCTAAGCACAGGAAATATTTGCAGAGCAAAAACTGGTCACCAGCCAAAATGTCATACAGCGTATATTGCATGCAACTGGTTCCCTGCTTATTTTGTTGCTAAGCCCATGAATTTAACTAAGCACAGAAAATATTTGTCAGGCAAAAAAAACACCAAAAAACGGTTACTAGGCAAAATGTCATACAGCGTATATTACATGGAAGTAGTTCCCATCTTTGCTAAGCACATGTATTTTGCTAAGCTATAATATTTTGACTCACCGGCAGCTGCTTTCCTCTGGTCGGCCGTCTTGGCAATCTCCTGCATGTCGTTCTGTTGTTCTACGGTGAGATGCGACGTCAGGGCGTTGTACCATGATGGATTGCTGGCTTGGATGTCTACAGTAAAGATGGCATAAAAACATCTTCATGACCTTCAGAGTTCTAATGGTGTAGCTTATTCATTGTGTTTACATTACAAACATTTAAAGGTATAGTCCATCATTTGTAATTGGTGCATTTTGTTCGTTTGAAGCAACAAAAGTGCCCAAAATCTAATGAAGGGTGCTGAACAACTAACCTGATGAGGTTTCAGCTCAGCTTCGGCTGTATATTTCGAGAAAAACAACGATCTAGGACCTCGCTTTCAAATCAAAAGTTGCTGAATCATGTTTTGAATTGGGCCCGATTTCAGCGTCCGAGACATGTTCTCACTGGGCCCAATGCAGCAACGTGATGTGGCGCACTGATCCAAAGAATTATAGCAACCGTGCGCGTGTGTGCGTCGTGTTAACGTTTGTGCGCGCCTCGCCGAATAAAAAAATCGAACTACTAAGTAACGGCAATTTCCATGGAAAGGCCTTCTTTGAATTCATTGATTTCTTCAAAATGACAGCTTGCCAGAAAGAATAATTTCACAGGAAGTTTAGTCCCCTTACTATCTTTAAACCAAGTATGCTTTTCAACAATAATTACGTCAGTTACTTTGTGGATAGCTGCAAATGATGGACTATAGCTTTAAGAAAAGTGTTTCAGAAGTATCCATGCACAATTTGAGGTATGGAGTGCCATTTAGTCATGTGTGAAATGGCTTGCAGTTTGATAAATGGGACCAGATCAATAAACAGGCATAACATTCTTATATTTTCACATATGGACTTCATTTTTACATCACATAAAGAGTACAGATCAAGGAACAGACTTTACACACAAGACCTCTGATTTAATCACTCCTTGGCAGCGAAAAGCTGGGTTGGAAACAGTGAGTTTTCAACTTGTCCATTTTTTACAATCTAGTGATTTCCGCATGACTGTGCAAACAATTCAGTTCTGGGGAGAGCCAAGTCCATAAACAATGTGGTAAGGAAAGTTTTTTTTTACATTTACACTTAAAAAACATGATGCAAAGATTTACAAAAATTAAAGTAAATTAATTTAAATTAATTAAAATTAAAGAGTAAAAACACAATTTTTTTTAAAATAGAAAATACTGCAAGTATTAAACACTTGCTCGATCCCCTGGCATCCTGCCAGTTTGTTCACATGTACATGTACAGGCAGTTAGTAAGGACAATTTTCAGTGACGGCCTTGATTGTCCACCCGGTAGGTACCAGTTCTCAGTTGAATGGGGAGTTTGGGTTGAATGGAGAGTTACCGTGAGACACCGGACTATTAAAAATATGTTAGAGTCATTAGTATCTCTCCAGAGACCTCGTAAATATCCATATTGAAACGATTTCTTTGACGTCGGCCTTCTCTCCACAGACCACCTTTCAAGTTTGGTTGAGATTGATGACTGAAATTTACAGTGAAATGGAACACACACACACCCACGCATGTTTGTTTATGGTGTAAATCAAGGATTTTCTTTTGTTCCTCTTCCCTTTTCCTTTGTTTGTACTCTTAACTTTTTCGCAACAGCTCTCATTAGTTTTGTACACGTTTTCCAACCGAGGAGTCCTCGATTCGGTTTCTGACCTCGATTCACCGATGATGTTGCATGTGTGTGTCCTCGATTTACACCATAAACAAACGCAGACCCACACACAGAAGGAATATGCGATCGCAATATCCCCCTGTCTGGCTTGAATGCCAGGGGGATATAAAAATGATGTCAGCGAATACATGGACTTACTTGTGAGAACCGTCTTGAAGAGCATGTACTCATCATCAAAGGGACCGTCTTCATCATCCAGCGGCGTGTTGAATCCCTCCAAGACCGTCTCCTCATCGTCTTCATCCTCGTCGATTTCCCGTCCCGCGGCCTGATGCAAAACCAACAACAAAATAATCAGATTTGTGAAATGCAATCACCGACTGTTTTGAAATTCAGTACGCTATTTGAAACAGTCGTGCTTAGCACATTAGTCTAGGGGCTAGACGTTGTTATGGTTTGATACGCGATAACCCGCCGCCGCGATTACCCGCCACTGCGAGAGGGCGGCTAAGCCAATTTCTAAAATCTTCCCCCGAAAAATGGGGGAAACAAGTGTGCATGCGCGACTTCTGCAGGCAATTACGGTCCATTTTCAGTCCCACGCATACTGCACACAACAAAAGAGCTGACCAGTGAAGTTGCACAAAAGTCTTGCTGCCTGTTTTATATTACTGGATGAAATTTGAGAGTTTGCTTCAGAACTACAATGAATTTTTTTGAATGCGCGCTGCATAGATTAGGCCAAACAGGTGTGCGCGCATTACACAACCAAAAACGAATTGGCCTTGACGTTGGTTCTGAGGGTTCGTGATGAAATTGCTGTGTCGTAATAACGCCCTCTCGCGGCGGCGGGTTAACGCAGCGGCGTTTTATCGCGTATCAAACCATAACATCGTCTAGCCCCTAGACTATTAGCACATAATTATGTGAGGCATCCTGGCAAAATGAGACGGAACTGGGCACAGGTGGTAGTGGAGAAAAATATTCTTAAAACAAATGGGAGTTTGTTTTTTTTGATTTTCGTATTTATTGATATTTGGAATCTTTGATGTCTACTGCACATATTAAAAAAAAAAAATCAAAAAAAATGTGGCATAAAAGTGTTTTCTTTTCAGGAAAAACAGTTACCTTCTATCATTCTCCAGATACAAAACTCCAAACTTTATTGGCCTTTTTCTCGGAATTAAACGTTTTTGACTTGTCAATAAATGTGAGCTTAACTATAAACTGAACTATTAGCACTGACCAATTAGATGAGGACTTTTGGTCGTTGACCTCACTCAAAGTTGGTCATAAGTACTGTGAACACAAACCAATGGTGGACGGAACGTATGGTCCAATCTGGAACCACAGCAAAACTGTCCATTGCAGGAAGACTTATGTCCTCATTCAGAGTTAAGACAGAGTAGCAGTCACCGAAAAACTATGGACAGAGTGCGTATTTTTTTTTTCTGCAGCATACATGCATGCATACATACTGCGTCTTTCCACCAATCCCATCATGCACCCTAACATGAATATTCATCACGCTGTGTGGATGGAAGACACTTAGGTTCTCGAAATGTTTTCCCTTCAATTAAACCTATCCCAACCAACAAAAAATATTTGATGAAAATGGGCATGGGCTCGAGCCACAGATGTTGCAATTTATGGCTCACTCCACTATCCACTAGGCCACTGTGGCAGCTCGACGAAAGCCGTTCTTTTAAATTGTTTAATGTACATGCATGACTGAGTGATAGCAATACGGTCACGTCGTCGTTATTTTCTTATGAATAAACATCGAACTAGCTGAATAATCATGATCCATTGACGATGTGTGCTGCAAATAAAAACACCGCGGACAGGGAGGTTGGTGAGAGATAGTTCTTGTATGAACCCCATCTTACTTGGGTCCTCCTCCCATCTCCAAGTACTGTACTCACAATTCTCTCCAGATGCTCAAGATATTCAGCGTTTTCCTCGTCAATTTCATCCTCGTCGCTGTCGAGTGCTTGCTCCTCATAGTCACTGTCATCATCTTCCTCTTCCGATTCCTCATCCTCTACGATCGCTCGACCTGAGGGGGAACGTGAAATGTCAGGGTTCAGACTCATCAATCAAACTGTAGCCAGCGACAATGTAAAAACTGCACTTGTTCTTGCATACATGTTTTACATAACCCTTGAGGACCGACACACAAAGGGAGAACAACAGATCCTCTCAGTCCTCGGGAGTTGGGTCTTTTGTTGGAAACGGTCCTCTGTAGTAAGTTTGTGTGCTAAGTCTATGGGAGAGTGTTATATTACAGGGACAATGGGAAACACAAAGCATTGTCCTTGGGAGTATAGTAAAACAAGAGTGTGTGCTCATGCTGTATTTAAACTGACAATTTACACAATCTAAGTACTGCTGTGCAGTAGAATGCCGTGTTTTTCCAGGTTTCCCAGCACTTTATAAAAACAAAATTCCCTGAGTTTTCCCCCGACGTTTCCCTGAGAAATTTCCAAATTTCCATGAGAAATGTCTTCATCGTGAGCTGGCAAGAGAAATATTCTTCGACCAGTTCACGTAGGATGACGTGTACACATGCAAAGGTTTTGCGGTATTCGGAACAGATGACGGATAAACACCCAACGAGCGAGGCCGGAAATATCTGTCAGCGACCCGCTCACAGCGAGCGAGGCCGGAAATATTAGGGTGTGCTACCCACAGATGACGGCCTGAACCCGTCTGGCATCGAGGTTCATGAAAAACAAACCTGCACCTGGGTCCGGTCAATGTCAAAATAATCCCGGCGCGAACTGGTTAACGAGGTTACTGGGAAGTCAAGAGGTGGTATAGCACAGCCAATTGTTATTTTCTGGAGAGGTGTGTGATATTCACACTGCATAAACACTAAAACGCCACCATAGCCAGTTGATCAACGGACACAACTTGGACAAATGGCACAAGATGCACATACACCAAGCTGGCAAAAACCTTTCCCTTCTGGGTCACTGTCAAATTCCCTGAGTTTTCCCGAATTTTGGTGTTTTCCCCAAATTCCCTGAGTTTTCCCCGACTGGAAATATGGAAACTCATTCTCAAGGTTTTCCCTGATTTCCAGAGTGACTGGGAACCCTGGCTATGTTGTTTTATACAATGTATACGTCACTCCTATTAATACGTGTTGACTCATCATCGATACATCGATACTTAAAGGGAATATACATCATTTGCTATTGCTGTAATTTCCAGAAAGAGATGGAATTGGGGGGTTGGAAATATAAAGCAAATATAGTTACACTGACTTTTTTGAGGTTTTGGGTTCGAAAATGCTATAAAAACCAAGAAAAACAATCATTTTCCTGTAGTCTGGTTCCCTGACTCCATATAAGAAGAAACAGAGCAGTTTACATACATTGGGGAATTGTAAGGTCAGGGAACCAGTCTAGCTGGCTTGTACCCGTTCATAGGTGTGTAATCGATTGCAAACAAGTGCGATGGTCAATTGGGGCCAGTATTTGAAAAAAAGCCAGTTTTTTCCAACGCTGGTTGGCCGACCAGCGTTGGCAATTGATACAAAAATACCACTTTTCTTGAAAATGACAGTATACCAGGTGCCATGATTTTACAGGATGCTTTACACTGTCATTCACAGTCCAGCAAGGTATTTCAAAATGATTTGGAAGTTTTATTTTTTGATGCTTGCAAATGTTGTATTTTCCCTTTAATCAATACCCCACTCACATTCGTACGCCCTCTTCAGACCCCCGAACAGCAGCAGGAGTGCCGGTATGAACTGCTGTGCACACTCGATGACCACGGGGGCAAGTTGGGTAGGGATACCAAAGTGCAGATCCCCAGCACGCACACCTTTCGATCGTGCAACCTGCAATCAATAAACAAAAGGTAGCGTTTGGTTGGGTTGTTACAGTCCTTTCCTTGTCTGGATTTTTCGATTCGTACTTCACGTGAAAACAAAAGTCAAAGCGAGGTTCATGACGTCAATAACTGAATTTTCATTGTGATGTTCACTGTTACCGTATCAAATATGCTTTGCACTGAAAATCCGCATGAAGTATGAACTGGCCTTAAACCTTTAGTCATTGTAGCGCATGAAACCGCCCTGCCTATTACTCCCTGAAGCGCCCAAAACCACCCTGCCTATTACTAACTGTAGCACCCAAAACCACCCTGCCTATTACTCACTGTAGCGCCCAAAACCACCCTGCCTATTACTCACTGTATCGCCCAAAACCACCCTGCCTATTACTAACTGTAGCACCCGAATCCACCCGAGCACTCTATGGTTTCATTGATTCTTCAGTGAATAAATACAATGTAAAACTATGTAGCTTACATGATAATGGGTAAAGTCAAGTTTTACTGAAATATGCATGTAAGTAAGACTGTCCATTTTTGATTAGTTTAGTATTTGATTATTCGGAACTGCGTTTCACCGAACATTCAATACTCTCTGATCAAGTTACACACTCCAACTGCAACTGCATGCCGCACCAGTCAGAAGTTACACACAAAGCGCGCCGGTTAAAAGTTGCTTGCGGCGATCGATAATATGGACCGCTGGAGTGTTTTACAGCAAGTACTTTGTAAGAGTCAAGAGCTTCAACCTGCCAAAAGGATGGGGCACACTGAACCGCAGTCGACACAAATGTGGCATCTGACAATAAAACGCCGCAACTTTACCGACATAACATCATGGCCCGTGTGTGCACGTGCGTCGTTTTTTTATTTCTACTTTTTTTTTGTAACATGAAACCGGCAAAAAGCTCTTCGAATATGCAGTTGATGAACGAATATTTGATATACCCAGGACAGCCCTAAGTATAAGTAACAGGCAGGGCAGTTTGGGACAATACAGGGAATAATGAGTTAAAGTACAAAATACCGTGATTAGCAGGGCCATGACATTCGAGGCCCCCCCCCCCCTCCCCTTCCCCACCACCAGAAACTCACCCTAAGAAGCAGTCAATGTTGTGCAACGACAGTTTATCAAAAAATTAGGTTTTGCCCTTCACACTGTATACTCAGTGTGTTACCTCCCGAGTGACAGTTGGAAAAATCACTCGGGTGGGACTCAAACCCACAACCTCCTGCTTTCTAGTACAGACGTCTTGCACTCGACCACCGAGCTTGTGGGATCAGTTGGCTGGTTCGAATATGATGTACGGTACATAGCAGCGGGTACCGCATTAACTATTCATAAGATGGAATGATCGGGGTGATGTAAATCAATATTAGGGTTTGCCCTTGGTGGTCGAGTGGTAAGACATCTGCGACCGCTTCGTCGGTATTAGGTATCATCATGTTTTCAAGCATCTTTATCAGGAGGAGGGGGTTAGTAGAGTTCCCCATCCCCCCCCCCCCCCCACCACCAGACACTCACCCTAAGAAGCAGTCGGTGTCGTGCAGCCACTGTTTGATGAACTGCGTCGTGACTGCCTCGTTGGTGTTGGGTATCGTCATCTTCTCCAGCGTCTCCATCAGGAGTAGAGGGTTGTAGTATAACGCTGCTACCACCACCTGCAGGCACATCTGCCTCAGCTCCGTCGTCTTGACCTCTCTAGTCAGCCTCGTCATGACCACCTCGATGAACAAGGGCACACACTGACAAAAAAACACACACAACAAATAAGCGCAAGGAGCTTTACAAGCTAGCTCAAATTGCTGTTTGTAATGGCTTCGCTGGACATGAGGTGAATTTGCCTTTAAAGCCGTGTCTGCACTGGACTTCTTTTTTAAGGGTTTACCGAGCCGATGGAAAAATAAAAAATGGTCAAACGTGACCACTGTCCGCACTTGGACTTTCGACACGGGAAATATTACCCAGACCACGTGGTAGAAGTAGCCGATCGAGCCGTCAGTATAGTGACTCGTACAGAAAAAAAAATTGCTGATCACATTTTTCAGCCCCCGATACACACAGTTTAATATTACACACGCTATTTACATGCACAGTATCATCGTTACACACGATATTATTGCATCTTAACACGCTAAATCTTGACGAAAAACCTATATTTCTGACGCATTTGTGATCAAAATATGCACGACAACAAAGCCATGCTGCTGTACAGTGTTCCGTGCAGCAGCAGTGCCATCGGTATTTGCTGGTTCCCACAGCATGCTAACAGTATCAAAGCTATAATGTAGGATCCGAACCAGTGACTACTACCTACATACAGTACTATGATGTACCATGCGTAACAGGACGAATTTGGATCGTAGAAAATACCAAACAAACATCAGTGGAGAAAGAGAATATCTGCCAAGTAATTCCCAGAAAGTGACCTCTCTTTTCTGTGTATGTATTTTCCGTTAAAATATATTTTTAACAAGATTTTACCGCTCGGACTTGATACACCGTATCGTGTTTCTACAAAATTTTTGGCCACAGCACGTGGGTTCGTGCGGTCCCTGTGTACATATGACCTCGCACTCGGGCCGGATGAATGCTTTCATGAGCCGCTTTACCAACTCTCACAGTGACCTGGTCAGCGAATGTTTTGAAACCTCAAATTTGCTTTTCACTCACAAACCTTTGAACAATGAACCTGTCTTTAGGGTTAACAAAAAAATTGATTGCGGGCCTCTAGGCCAGAGTTATTACGTGATCAATTTCTCCTTTGAACTGAAGCAGGATGACCTCTAGGAGCTTGGCAGCGTGGCTCTCTGGGTCATCTCCAGCCTCCTCTTCTAGAACCTTAAGAGTTCAAAGAGAGAAAAAAAAGTTGGTTAAGTTGTTGTCTATGGAGTGCCGTGGCCTTATGGTTTTAGTGGGGCAGATAGGGGAAATATTTGGGGGAACTGTGCCTTTGATGATACAAGCATGAAACTCGGCACACAATCAGAGTACATCTTAAGAAAGATATTTGGCTATAGGGCCATCGCAGAGTTATCCTTCGAAAAAATATAGGTAGAATAACAAGCAATTTTCAAAATTTTCAAAACGACTGCCGTTGCTTGTTATTCCACCTATATTTTCTTTAAAGGACAAATCTGCGATGGCCCTATAGCCAAATATCTTTCTCATGACATGCTCTGACTCACTGACTGCGTGCCAAATTTCATGCTTGTATCATCAAAGGCACAATCCCATCACATATCTGCCGCACTATTTGGAGTAGTCTTGGTTGAAGATTCGATTTGGATTTTTGTTATTGTAATGCAACTAACTCCAATCGCTGGAAAAGAACACATTCTATGGCGTGAATAAAAATCCAGCCACAGGATATTTGCCACTTGAACCCAAGAAATTATGAACACACTGCGAGACAGCGATATAGTAAAATTACTGAGGGCCTTATTGTTAACAAACAGGGTGAGTAAAAAAAAAACGGGACCATTGTTTTTAATAGTGAAGTTCTACATCTAGCACTTACAAAATCTAGGATATGCAAGCCCAATTCATAAGCTATATCTTTTAGTACAAGAATCATTCAAATCACTCATGTACTTTCAAGTTACGGAATTTTACACACAACCACCGTTTTAAAGTTCTGTCCATGGATCACAAAAAGGTAAGTGTTCTTTCAGCAAAACGAAAACAAATCACATAGGGATGTGTAAATTGTTTTCGTTTTGCTGAAAGAACGCACACCTTTTTTTTATGAATTGGGCTTTTATAATCTAGATTTTGGAAGTGCTTAAAATTCCGTAACTTGAAAAGTACATGAGTGATTTGAATGATTCTTGTACTAAAAGAAAGATCATGAATTGGGCTTTTATAATCTAGATTTTGAAAGTGCTACATGCAGAGCTTCACTTAAACACTTCTTAACATTTGGGTTTCGGTTTTTTTTACTCATCCTGTATTGTAATTTTGGAGAATTTGGGTGGATTTGGTGAATAGGGGAGTCAGGCTGGCAGAGCAGTGATTCTTTCCTCGCCTTCCACCTCTATGGCCTGGGTTCGATTCCTACCCCGGTCCACAATGTAAATTGAGTCGGTCCCTACCTGATTCCGTGGGTTTTCCCCAGAATATTCTTCTGGGGTTTTCCTCCCACCTCTAAAACTGTCATTTCTTCTCATTGTCTTCTCTCTACGGGTTTCTTCAGGCTTGCGAGTTACAGTGCCTAGGGCCCTTTTGAGGAATCCTTGGTTTCCTTTCTGCCTTGAGGGTCTCTGTCTAGCGAGTCACAAACCTTCTTGCACATGTTGTAGATGATCTCAAGATGTCTGTGACTGGACAGAAAGGCAGGAGGGTCTGTTGTGATGTAGTTATGCAACGCTGGCATCATTTCTGAAAAAAAAAATTATAGAGTTTCAAGCACTTTATGAAACAAACTTCCCTGCATTTTCGCTGAGTTTTCCCTGAGATATTTCCATACTTCCATGAGATGTTTTTCACTTGAATGAGGTGGTTGCAGCAAAGCAATTAGGAGTTCTGATAATACACAGGCAACTTGTTGACAAGCGAGGGCCTCCTTTCTCCCCTTATAGCCATCCTTTCCCCACCATATTCAAGAGAGTGGCAGCCTGTGCATACAATAACCTTATTTAGAACATACGCCAAACTGGTGAAAACTTTTTCCTTCTGGGTCACTTTTAAATTCCCTGAAGCTTCCCTGATTTTTTTATTTTTTCCCCCAAAATTCCCCGAGTTTTCCCTGACTGGAAATAACTCCCTAGGCCTTTTTGCTAGGATGTAGCCTCAATCCTGCAAAATCCTCCAATTGGCCTCATGGAAAAAAATAGCATATAGCCTCAATCCTGCAAATTCCTCCATTATTTCTTGAATATGGTCTGTGGAGGGGTGACCACTGCCTGAATCCTGCTAAATCCTGCGGCAGTGAATGTCAATATGTTGAGGTTTGGCCAGTGACATCCTGAAGCAGTACGGGGATTTCAAGCATAATCCAGGCCTATATGTATGCATGGCTGAGCAAAAGACAACACAAGGTCCGGCCCAAGACCTTGACAAAGTGCATCCTACGAAATCAGTAATGCACTTTTGCCATGTAACCCCAATCCTCCAAATTCCTTCACTTTGGCAAAGAGGATTTTGAAGGATTCAGGGCGGTTAGGGTTATTGCAAACTCATCTTCTAGGTTTTTCCCTGTTTTCAAGAGTGACTGAGAAACCCTGAAAAACATAGGTTCATGTACAAAGAATTTACAATTCCTTTTCTTCACAATGGAAGATTGTAGAATTTAGAGGGATTCGAGAAAATTTCCAAGTAAAGCAGTTATGGGAGTTAGACTAAATGTTTAGTTGCGGTAAAAGCTGCTACATCAGACTCCAACCGGCCAGCCGACCCCAGCAAGCTCGGTGGTCGAGTGGGAAGACACCTGCGCTAGTAAGCAGGAGGTCGTGGGTTCGAGTCCCACCCGATTATAACTTGAGAATAGAGGTGTGCATTTACGGGTAGTAAAAAGCTTGGGTACCATAAAAGAAATCCGACACCAAAATTAAAATCTCAGAGGTTGCTGTTCAGATTGTTCGTAAAGGTCCGCGCGATACATCGGTGCGTCAATACACCAAGATACAAATGTGTACAGTGAGCTCAATATGTAGCTTTATGGGTGTGTATTACATTTTTACGATTGTCATAATTGTGTATCTGTTTTGTTTTCCATGTAGCCTGGTTTTCATTTTTAAGATCTCCACAAATGACAGTCAAAACCTTTCTTTTCCACTGACTGAGAAGTTAAATAATGAAACGTTTGCGGAAACACCATGTGTGAATAATTTCTAAACTAAGAGGATGGTTCTGAAAAGAACCAGAGGTATAAACTCGACGTTCCGGTCAGTATGCTCTGACCGTCTTCAGGAGAGTGCCTAAACTCTAAGAAAGCAAACATTTAAGTAGCAAAAGCGAAATCAGTGAAGTGTGAAGTTGCATCCTGTGAGGATGCCAAGTAGACGGGAGCCTAGAGCAAGCTTACTGCCCACTGAAGTGGAACAGTAGGGTTGCAGTGCCAGTAGAGGGAGGACCTAGGGTATAGGAGACCCATCCATCTAAGGTGATAGCTGAGGACCTAGGGTATAGGAGACCCATCAGTCTAAGGTGGTAGCTGAGGACCTAGGGTATAGGAAACCCATCAGTCTGAGGAAACTGAGAAGTTACAAAGTAATTTGTAAAGTTGGTTACGGGTACCCGATCCCATAATCTGGAACCGGTTCCTGACATCAGCGATCGGGTACTCGGGTACTCGGATACCCGGTTCCGACACACAGCCCTACTTGTTATTTTTTCTTCTTGTAAACCCTCGGACAACACTGAGTGATAATAATAATAATAATCAGCATTTAAGAACGCTCTTATTAGTAAACTAAATCACAGCGCTTACAGTATTATTATTACCCCTGATCATTGGGCCAATTAAACATTCCAAATACCATCTCAGCTCCCTGGGGAGTATACAGCTGGATGCAGCCTGTTAGGCGCAAGCAAGCTTATTCAATCACATCTCTGCCCTCACAGGTACCCAAATACTCCCGGGTGGAGAAAAGCAGTGAGTGACAAAGTGCCTTGCTCAAGTGCACACGCACCATGACCCTGGCTGGACTCGAACCCACAACCCGCAGCTTTACCCACAGACCACGAATCCAGTGCCCTTAACCACGAGGCCACAGCACTCCACATAACAGCCTTCATGAAATACATCCGTGACGTCAAAAGTGACACCTCCCTGCTGCAAAATCCATCGTGACTCGTAACTTACCCACAAAGTAGTCATAGCTGTCTTGCTCAAATGTGTTGTACAGCATCTCAAAGACTTGCCAGAGAGGGGGTGATATGTGTGTGCAGGTCATGCTAAAAATCAGCTGTAAGACTTCCTCGTAAAAATCTGAAAAAAAAATAAAACCCGGAGAAACAGTTATATATAAACATGTATTAAAATTTAATCATTGGTCTAGTGGTATGCCACAATACTAATTATTAAGGGCTAGTTTCAATAAGGCATCTGCACGCCATTTTGAGACGGTCAAGATTCTGTTTTTGCTTACAGCAACTGTATATTTTCAGAGAAATCTTTTCAAAAACTTCCACAATTCACGGGCATGCAACTTGGAATTAGCAACCGAAAACAGGAGAAAAATTCCAATCTTTACAAGACTTTGTACAGTGTTTCCCAATTTTTAACGGCATAAGTGTAAAGTGAAAAATGAGGAAATCAGCTGATCCGAAGAAAAGTTGCAGGCCCAAATTCAGACACATGAAAAATATTTAAGGCATCCATAACAATGAAACTCTCCAAGATTAAAAAAAAAAAAAAACCTGTGACTCACCAAGTAAATTGTTCTGTAAGACGACTGCCACAACATTGAGAACTATGCCTTCTAGTTGTACTACAATCTGTTGGGAAAATTGGCCAAAAGGCAAAGTATAATGTACACATCCCTGTCAATTACCATATCATGTTTTTCCACAAAACAATTTTCTTTTATACATGCATGCATAACAAAAACCTGGGACCGTGATGTATTTTAACATATGGGTCTACTCCAAACAATTTTATATCATTCACCAGTAAGCTGCATCTTTAAAGTTGCATTCCAAACCTCTTCAAAAAATTTTGTTTTTTCTATTACTAAGTGAATAAATATGTGATTGGCCAGTTTTAAACAAGTAAATTTAAAGAAGGTTTGAGGCCTGGACAGGAATAATGGCCTGAGCAAATAAAAAAAAAAAAACAAGTCCAAAATTAACAAATTTCCAACAATTTTGTTCAACAATTTTACTTCATGTTTTGTGAAGCACCACTCCGGCCATGTCTATGATATGTACCTCGCAAGCGTAGAGCTACATATCTCCTTATATGGAGATTGGTGCATGCAGTCACGTACTGCGCGATGTGGCGCAGAACACAGCGGTGTTTTACCGGCAAGTAGACTGGCTCCCGGTGCGAGCACTATCGATACTGATTGGGAACCAGCCTACCACCCAAACGGAATTATTGTCTGGCAACCAATAATTCAAATTTGTAAAGTAATAATTCAACAACTAAACATGGGCCCATTTTGTTTTGGTCAAAGTTGCATTCAAAAGTGAGTATCGTAATGTTGCTACAAAATTAGCAATTTAGAAAAGAAATCAATTTTTGAGTTGATTTTTTTGTCTTTACCTCTTGTTTTTCTTCGACAACGTTCAAGACGGTCTCGATGGTGTTCAGTATTCCCATGGCCGTGGCGGCGCGGTCGTCCATGTTCTCCTCGGAATCGATCACCTGGGAGAATGTGGCTGCCTAGGTAACACAGAAAAAAACCGGAAAAGTATTACCAAAAACTATCAGTGATGTGACTACGAATGTTCATTATGCAAAAGAAGTTCTGATGACTACAAACGAATTTAGTTAGTCCACATGTTGTTTGCAATCGGTTACACATCTGTGAACCGCCGGCTAGTCAGGTTCCCTGACCTGACAATTCCCTGTCATCTATAAATTGCTCTGTTTCATCTGAAGTAGGGTCAGGGAACCAGACTACAGGAACAGCATATTTTTTCTTGATTTTTCCAGCATCTATGTTCACAAAACTTTAAGCAGGTCAGTGTAACAATATTTGCTATAAAATATTAACCCCCAGAATCCATCCCTTTCTGAAAATTAGCAAATGCTGTATACAGTCGAGTCTTGTTAATACAAACTCGTTCGGACCTAGCCAAATTGTTTGTTATATCAGAATTTTGTATTAAGAGGAACATCAGTCCCATTCATTGTGTACATAAATGCACAGTCGGGACTAAGGCTTTATGTTTGTTATAACCAGAATTTTGTATTAACAGAGTTTGTACAAACGAGATTCGACTTTATAACCTTTCATGCCAAGTGAGCTCTGTAGAAATAGCTCTTGTCGTACAAATTTGGAATTAAGAGTAAATTTATTAAATAGCCATACCAAGTGTTGGGTGATGTCGACAGCAATCGGTATGATTTCATCGCCATAAGTGGTGATAAGTCTCTGCAAGACTTCCGTGAGATCGTCATTTTCCGTTTCTCTGATCACAATTAGCAGGGCTGTCGGTTGAAGAAAGTAAAAGACTGAATTTACCACATCCCGAGTGAAAGGCACAGAGAATCAATTCGTTGGGAGCCCAGCAGATGGGCATATGAGCGTTCTGACGCAAAAATCATTTTCAAGAAAATTGCATTGAAAGGTTCCATTGTTCCCCCATGCGTATGATGAATCCAATGATCTCCCACACGTGATATAAATCGGACAAATTTGAAATTTGTCACACGTATGAAGCATAAGTTTTGGAACAACACTTGTATAAATTTCTGACAAAATATTTAAACTTCATTAAAACAGAGGCAGTTTTCTGCATATGCTCTTTTGCTGGGAACATTTTGGTGATTACGCGTTCACGCGTAAGGGCATATGCGCATATGCCCTTCTGCCGGGCGCACGACGAATTGTCGTTTAAGGCAACAAAATTGCTCACAATCTTAACTCTTTCAGTGCCAAAGTCGTAAATGAACGAGGTATATTTGTTAGTTAGAAATCACCAACCTCGTACATGTACGAGGTGATGTTCGTACTTAAAATCGCCAAACCTCGTACATGTACGAGGTAGAGTAAGCATGTTATCACAAGGGGGCGCTCTCGCTGTTTCTAATAATATCATTTTCATTCAGTTACGACCTGTATTTATTTGTTTCATTCGAGTTCTTGTGAGAGGGCGCAGTATTGACACTCGTTTTTTTCTGCAAAAAGTGCGGAATTCCTGTGTGCAGGACAGTGTTTCAGGGTGTATCACTTTGTATGTGTACGTGACTACTATTGACTTTCCAATATACCCAATATACCAAGGATATATCAGAGAGCAACAACAACAAATTTAGTGAGTAAAACTTATTTACTTTTCTTTTTTTACAGAATTTTGAACAAAACGCTCGAAGTTGGGCACTTTAGGGTTAAACTTTTCAAATTTCGCAGGCACTGAAAGAATTAAGAAGGGTGCATAACAACTAAATTGTGAAAGTTTCAGCTCGGTGGTACTACACATTTTGTGAGAAAAAAGAGAAAACATAGGCGCAATTTTTGGGGTCTCATTACTGGATTCCGTTGCTAACGCACGTAAAAACATGTGACCTGCTGAGGCTAAATGAGGAATGTCCCCCAAAACTTTGTTTCGAGTTTATCAGCGTCTGAAGTTGCCTATGTGTGGAAAATCATTAGGCTATCAGCTTCGGTCCGAAAATTGGGCCACCGGTATTAAATGATTGAAAAGAGCAATGCTCATAGCTTTTTTTTGGAAGGTATACACATCTAGAATTGGAAAATATGTGATAGCTTTGTAGTGTCAGCGGTGGCAGTTTTTTGGGTGTTATCATTTTTAATTTTTTTTCCAAAATGGCCACCAATATGCTTGAACCGGATTAATTATATGTAGTAACAAGCATGTTTTGGCTGCCATTTTTTTTAAAAAGTAGTGATAGCACCCAAAAAGCTGCCACCGCTGCAATGCTATCACATATTTTCCAGCTACAGGGGTGCATACATGTACCTTGCCAAAATCAAAATTACAATTATTCCCCTCATTTGATACCGACCAAACCCCCAGGCTGATGGCCTACATGTCAAAATTGATTTTGGAATTTTCAAATTTTTGAGTAGCTAGGGTATCTAAGATTTCACACCGTGTATTTTTGTGGTGAAAAAAATTACCTCCAAAAGTGAGGAAAAAAAATGCACCGGGTTAATGCATTGAAACAGAAGCTAGAACAGTAGTAACAAGTTAAAATCTTTTCTTGAGTTCCGTATACCTTGTAGTATATCCTTGACATGCGGTTTGATGAAGTCTTTAGCCTTCTCTTCATGGCTGGTAATCAGCTCCTGTAGAGCGATGGCTGCCTCCACCTACATGTAACAATACAGAAGCTACTGGTTACCAACTGAGATCTAGGGGTTTGCAAAACCTCGGCTTCGGTTTCCAGCTTCGGGTAATCTCTGACTTTGGAAGCATTTAGAAGCCTTCAATGTCCGCACAAAAAGAAACTGCTAAAATGATGGCCTCGTGTTATAAGTTGGCAAGTCCACGCAAAAGTGGGCACGGCTGAAAAGTGGATCATTTATGAAATCTTCAGAACTACACGCAAACAAACTGAAATGCGGTAGCAAATAAAATGGGACAAGACCTTTTGAGTGATGTGCCTGTGAGACAGAATTTTGTATATAATGTTATTTTTTTGGGGGGGGGGGAGCGTTAAAAAAGTGGGTTTTTTTCGGGGGGGGGGGCTAAAATAAATGATTTTTTTGAAGTCATTTTGGCATCTTGTTTTCACATGCAAAATGCAAACTATTGTGAGTTTTTATTTTAACCAGTTTGCGCCGGGTTTATTTTGACAGTGACCAGATCCAGGCGCAGGATTATTTTTCAGGAGATCGATGCCAGACGGATTCAGGCCAAAATCTGCGGGTTGCACACCCTGATATTTCTGGCCTCGCTCGCTGCGAGCGGGTCACTGACAGATATTTCCGGCCTCGCTCGTTGCGTGTTTATCAGCCATCCGTTCCGAATACTGCAAAACATTTCCGTGTATACACGTCATCCGAGGCGAACCGGTTAAGGCAGAGAGAAATTTTAGAGTTATGTGTACTTGGAATGCCATGGGCACAATTGCAGAATACCCCGCCAATCGATCTGTGCACCTCGTAGCCAGCTACGGAGTCACGGTTGATTGCACTCAATAAACCTTCTCAGCGCTACCTGTACGTACTAGGCCTACACACGTCATGCTCCACTGCACTCCCACTCCGTATCCGCGTAGCCGGCAACAGGGTAGTTGGTTTGGACATGGAATTTTTTCAGCAACTCCCATTCCTTTTGAGTTGCTTCGTTCTCAAGCATATTCAAGGGGACTCCCACTCCGTAGCCACGTAGCTGGCAACAGGGTAGTTGGTTTGGACTTGGAATTTTTTCAGCAACCCCCATTCCTTTTGTGTTGCTTTGATCCCAAGGGGACCCCCACTCAGTATCCGCGTAGCTGGCAATGGACTTGAATTGTTTCATTTCCAGTGATTCCAACCGCGTAGCCAGAGATTTTCGGGGTGTATTTCCGAGTGGCGTGGTATTCTGCAATTACTCCATGCCATGATTCAAGTGTGGTTTGTTACCACGTCTGAAATATATTTTAGAGACGTAACGTCTGTAGTACTATAACTTTATGGATGTTACGTGTCTAAAGTAATTTTTCACAAAGATCCAAGATCTTTCAAAACCCAACAGGAGGTTTGGGGGTTGTAGAATTGTGGGGGCGTCTGTACCTTGACGGGCATTTCTTTGTCGTGGATGAGGCTGTTGCGCGTCAGGTCCAAGGCCGTCATCAGGTTGCGTTCGTTATTGAATCGCGCCTCGCAGAATTGATGGAGCACGTAGTTGGCCTGTCAAAAGATGAAAGATACACTTCTTATAACGCAAATTCAAAACCAATTTTTTTTTTACCAAAGACGCCATTGGTTTCGGCCATCAGGTCTAAGTGCTTCTAGCAGCTTTCCGAGTTAGGGCCTGTAAACTCGGAATGAATACAGTACATCTAGCGGTACACTCTTATCTTGTTAATCCCTTTGTCAACAAAGTGGCCCCTGTTATCAGATACTGCTGCTGATCCCCTGCACTTGTCAATATCAGCTGTGTGACAGCACATGTGGCTTTATTTACACTAAGTGTTAGGGATTATAACTCCACTGTTTGGACAAAGGATTAAGATAGATTAGAGGGCTGGCCAGTTTACAGTTAGATTGACTGTTTCCTCTCAGAAGTTTCTAGTGGAGGTTACTCGCAATGGCATACACCAGATATAGGCAGAATTGGGACAATCCTAAGCAAACACACCGAAAAGAATCAGAAGTCTTTACTGACTGTACGGTGTCACAGGTCTCAGGATGAAGTCACTTAGGTTCCATCTTGGGAGGCCAAAATGAACACAAATCTTTGCACTGTGGGCCTACTGTATGCCATGAGTAGCGGCCATAATGGGGGTCCGAAAGCTACTTACAGAGGCTTCACAGACTTGTGCACAGGGATGGATGCATTTTATTCCTGTCAGTGTATATAGAGATCGATAGGGGCAACTCACCCAAAACTGCATTTAAATTTGTGTGCTATAGGCCTATTGTATAACATGAGTGGCGGCCATGTTGGGAGGTCCAAAACAGGACCAGTGGTGGCTTCCAGACAGTGCGCAGAGAACCGACTCACCCTCGCTCTCATGTAGCCCCACTCGCTGTTGAATTCTGGGAAGATGTTGCTGACCAGGACCTGCTCCATGCGATCTTTGTACATCTTCTTCTACTCAACCAAAAAAAAACAAAAAAACAAAAACAATAGAATTTTAAAAAGTATTCATGAATACCTAAGACAATTTACCATTCCTATTGGTTTAGAGCCTGTCACGTGGCCGGTTTTAAACGGTTGATAAAGACCAGCTGGCTGGTCTTAAACACTTCTCCGGTGTCACATGAAATTTTGACTCCTTTAAAATCCGGTGCCTTTTAGTTACCGTTTTATTGGTTGAACGTTCACAATGCACACGTAGGCATGCGCAATACTACCAGTGAGTCAGTATTTCATAGTCCTAAATTCGCACTTCACCCGCACAGCTGCGTTCTGCGCCACTTGGGCATTACGCGCGCGCCAATCTCTATGAGGAGTTGTTTACGACATGGACACTACCATAATATATAATACATGTATAGCTACAAGGGTGTTTCGAAAAACATGAAGTACAATTATTGAAAACAATCATTGGGAATTTATAATTTTTGACTTGTTTTGACTATTGGGGCCGAAAAGTTTTGAATTTGTTTTACCTGAAAGGTATTTAGGAATGGGAATAAAGATGTGCTTGGCCAGTATTAAACACTCTGTTTAAGACTGGTTGGAATCTGGATGCTGATAATAACCCTCGCCTTCAGCTCGGGTAATTATCAGCATCCAGACTCCAACCGGTCTTAAACAGAGGGTTTTTTAAAGGCTTGCTCACTGCCATGCACTTATACAACAACAAATCACCAAAGAAAAGAACATTTACGATGGCAAAATATCCAAAATTCTAGCAACTTTTTGTGCTGAAATAGCTGTACCATTGAGGGTGTCTGCCTGGAATGACATCACAGTTTTGCTCATGAATATGGAAATTTGCATTAGCATCAAAACCAAAAAGGCACCAAAATACCCTTCAAAATGACAAAACGAAAATTGAAAAATGAGGCAAAATAAGACACAGAGGTTCATTTTCAAGGTTGGCATAAACAAAATTAAATTGCATGGGCCCCTTAAAGGGAAAATACAACATTTGCAAACATCAAAAAATAAAACTACCAAATCATTTTGAAATACCTTGCTGGACTGTTAGTGAATGACAGTGTAAAGCATCCTGTAAAATCATGGCACCTGGTATACTGTCATTTTCAAGAAAAGTGGTATTTTTTTATCGATTTCTAACGCTGATCAGCCGACCAGCGTTGGAAAACACTGGCTTTTTTTCAAATACTGGAACCAGTTGACCATCGCACTTGTTTGCAATCGATTACACACCTATGAACGGGTACAAGCCAGCTAGACTGGTTCCCTGACCTTACAATTCCCCAATGTATGTAAACTGCTGTTTCTTCTTAAATGGAGTCAGGGAACCAGACTACAGGAAAATGATTGTTTTTCTTGGTTTTTATAGCATTTTCGAACCCAAACGTCAAAAAAGTCAGTGTAACTATATTTGCTATATATTTCCAACCCCCCAATTCCATCCATTTCTGAGAATTACAGCAAAAGCAAATGATGTATTTTCCCTTTAACGAGATGTTTAGTTTACCTTGAGTAAGATGTCCGCCATGGTTCCCACCATGTGCATGACGCCGTCTTTCTTCCGGGGCTCGACTCCTGGCGTGGTCATGGTCTGCATGCAGAATCCCATGGTCTTCTGCAGCACCTGCTTGCGCTTCTTGGCGCAGGAGCGCAACACCGTCTGGGCGGCTGCTACCGGCGAGATGAAATCCTCAAAGGCATCTGCAAGATTTATGATCAGAAACAAAAACGTCTTTTAAATAATAAGGTGGTGCTCACACAACTCTTTCTAGGAATGTCTAGAAACAATTCACAATTATTACCCCTGTTTATCAGGCCATGAGACCATTATCCTGCAGCAGCTTGAGATCAGCACAATCTGGTCTCTACCCTCACAGGTACCCATTGCATACTCCTGTCTTGGTCAAGAAGCGAAATGTTTGTTAAATGTCTTGCCCAAAGACACAAACATGTTCCTCATGATTCCAACTCATTTACCATCACACGACTCGGATTCTGCCACCATTTGACTACTGCTCTACTTGTAATTCTGCAGATTGTGTGTAGTGTTCCTAAAGCCTAAAATGGAGCAAAATCCAAGACATTGTCTGGAGAGGCGTGTAATATTCCCACACCATAAACAATACAAAGCCATGTTTGCGTTACATACCTAGTGTGGACATTCCTTTGTTTTCGTGTAGTTAAGAAAAACCTGGTCAAAACTCATTCAACCCAAAACAATTTCTAGGATTCCCTTGAGTGTTAGTCTTCATTTTGCGACCGATAAACCTAACCCAAAAATGCCTCTAAACCTGTTTTCCAGACAGGGGGAAATCTTGGTTAAGTCCACACAATGTATCTAGAAACTGGTTTGTGTGGACATCTTTTGTTCGGGAGTCCACACAGTGAACGTAATGCTTGTACATCATAGCTAGTCAGTCAATGGACACAGCTTGGACACATGGCATAGCACGCACAAATGCTAAACTAGCAAAAAAAAAACTTTTCTTTCTTGGTCACTGTCAAATTCCCTGAGTTGTCCCTAATCTTTGGTGCGTTTTTTCCCAAATTCCCTAAGTTTTCCCCGACTGGAAAAATGGAAACTCATTTTCAAGGTTTTCCCCGATTTCCAGGGTGGTTGGGAACATTGAAAATGAAGGTTGTCCCCAGAAAAAGAAGCAAGATCAGTTCATTATCCTCTAGGTTAGGGTTAGTCCATTCGCTTAAAATGAGACCATGTGACGGACCATCAGCCAATGAGAATGAGCTATGGAGACGTACCAAACTTGATGCGGATGTACTCATATGGATCCTCGTTCCATAACTCATCGTCTTCGTCTGTGTAGCACATCAGCGGGAACAAGACTTCTTGAATGATGGGCTGTGGAAGACGTCAAATTATTTGAAAAGTTACGATTTACGAACTTCTAGTATGGAAAGGCACGCCTCACAGTGCCCCTCTTCATCCATGATACGCCCTCTCTCAGTGACAATGTGGAGAGAGATACCCTATCCGCCAAAATCTATCAATTGACAGGTTACAGTTCTGTATATTGGGCTCATATTGGTACAATTGACAGGCTGTGGTAGGTATGTTTACTGAGGGTACCATGCCTTGACTGACATTGATAGATGTGGTGGGTCAGCGCTGGTGAGTGCCTGTCAAACTGGCCTGATATTGGTACAATTGACAGGCTGTGGTAGGTATGTTTACTGAGGGTGCCATGCCTTGACTGACATTGATAGATGTGGTGGGTCAGCACTGGTGAGTGCCTGTCAAACTGGCCTGATATTGGTACAATTGACAGGCTGTGGTAGGTATGTTAACTGAGGGTACCATGCCTTGACTGACATTGATAGATGTGGTGGGTCAGCACTGGTGAGTGCCTGTCAAACTGGCCTGATATTGGTACAATTGACAGGCTGTGGTAGGTATGTTAACTGAGGGTACCATGCCTTGACTGACATTGATAGATGTGGTGGGTCAGCGCTGGTGAGTGCCTGTCAAACTGGCCTGATATTGGTACAATTGACAGGCTGTGGTAGTTTTGTTAACTGAGGGTGCCATGCCTTGACTGACATTGATAGATGTGGTGGGTCAGCACTGGTGAGTGCCTGTCGATGATGGGTTTAGTTCAGTAACAATGAAGGCACAAAAGGTTCACTCATGCATTCCAGCCAAACAAAGGCATTGCCCTCTTAGATGGCTGCTACACTAGCTGTAGCAGTATTCAAGGTCACCCTATCTATCAAACCCCTTCAACAGGTTTTGGTAGTTATGTGGTTTAATCCATAGGGGTTCTGGCAGCTGGTAACCAGCCTGTACAAAAGTTTTTTTTTTCTTTCGACAGTTTGTGACAGTTCTATCAGTGGGAGGGTTAAACAAACTTGATATAACAGAGTGGAATTTTGACATACCTGAATGTGTGGCTTGATGAAATTCCAAGAGAAAGCGTGACTCACTCTGAAAGTAAGATAAAGGGAAAATGGTAGTTGCCTTAATTAACCAGTTCGCACAGGAAAGCAGAACAGATTCTATGGAATTCACCTTTTGAAACGAATCTTAGCTTAAAGATACATTGCAATATACAACATTTGCAAATATCAAAAAAATCAAAAACTATCAAATTATTATGAAATACCTTACTTGACTGTATTAAAAATGAATAACAGTCTCAAGCATCCTGTGAAATCATGGCACCTAGTGCGCTGTCATTTGCAAGAAAAGTGCAATTTTGTATCAATATCCAACGATGGTCAGCCGACTATCGTTGGGAAAAAAAATACTTTCAAATACTGCCCCCAATTAACTAAATTTAAGTACACATTTTGTTTGCAATCAGTAACACATCCATGAACGGATGCAAGCAAATCGTGATTTGACCTGGAAAAACAGACAAAATGGATCTCACCCAGTGTTGATGTAGCTGAGTGTCTGCTGAATGACCCGCGGGGCAATGTAGACCTTCTTACAGTACTGATCTAAAATGCTCAGCAACACTTTCAACGTTGACGCTGCAGAACAGAGGGGGAAAAAGTGTTGATTATGAATACTTACTGACTCGAACAGAATTTTGAAAAACACTCTGTCTGTATTAAAGCTTTAGTCCATCATTTGCAGCCATCCGAAAAAGTAACTGGCGTATTATTGTTGAAAAACATACTTGGTTGAAAGATAATAAGTGGACTAAACTCCCTGTGAAATTAATCTTTCTGGCAAGCTATCATTTTGAAGTAATCAACGAAAGAAGGCCTTTCCAACGGTGCGTCTTAAGACGCACCGTTGGAAAATTTAAACTAGTAGTTCGTTTTGTTATTCGGCGCAGCGCGCGCAAGCATTGGCACGACGCACGTGGTTGCTATAATTCGTCGGATCAGTGCGCGACATTGCTTATAGCTGCAATTCAAAACACGATTCAGCAACTTTTGATTTGAAATTGAGATCCTAGAATGCCGTTTTTCTCGGAATATACAGCTGAAGCTGAGCTGAAACTTCGTCAGGTTTAGTTGTTCAGTATCCTTCATTAGATTTTGAACACTTTGTTGCTTCAAACGAACAAAATGCACAAATTACAAATGATAGACTATATCTTTAAAGCAATGGTATGTTTTAACCCCAACCGCGTTACGCCCTTTTGGCTAGGAACCATCCTCAAATCCTGAAAAATCCTCCAAAAATATCCAGAAATCAGGAAAAATCCTGACTAATCTCACCCCTGATCTTACCATTTTGCTAGAGCTCTTCTTATTTTGCATGAGGGGATTTTGTCAGGAAATTTTATATTGTTGATGTACCCTAACGTGGCGCGGCCCCTAACGTGGCGCACTTTGATTTCTCGCCTGTAGCGCCTACCTAGAGCAAAAGTTTTAACTGCAATTTCCAAGAAAGTGAAATTTCATCAAGTTCTAAACACTCCTCTTCATAAATCCCGAGTTTATTTACCCGTAACAAAGTTAGAAGAAAAATTTATTTTGGCGTGATTTTCCGATTTTATTTTCAAGTGCAAAGTGAACCCTTTAAAAATGCCCCGAAAAATAAGAAAAATAATTTTCTGACAACATCTGGCTGGGCATGTAAGTAGAGATAATAATTGTTTATCAGAATTGATCAAGTTTACAGAAATTCTTAAATGTTAAATTGGAATTGCGCCACATTAGGGAACACTCCGCCAATTTGTGCCCAATTTCCGGACGCCACCGTTTTTGAATTTCGAATTAAATTTTATGAAACTGAAATTGTTCACAGAGGTTAAATAGCAAGCATTCATAAGGTAAAAGTACTAGTGTTTTACTGCATGAATTTGAGGTTTGTCAACAAAGAGGTTTGGCAACACTAGACGAGGAAAGTCGGGTAGGCTTCGAAGTGCACGACTATATATTGCTGTGTTTTTTTTTATATTTGGCCCTACCTGACATAACTCTACATCTTACCAGAAAACGTCTTGAGGTACCAGTCAGAGAACTTGACGTACTCCTTGACGACGCTACCAGGACTGCCGTATCTGCCGTGATTTAAAGAAGAAAAAATAATCGACATTGTAAACAGCCCACGACTAATACATCCTTGATTCCTGTTTGTTGTGGCCACAATCTGCTGTACAAGAACGGATCATTCAAAGAAATGGCCAGCAACTAACGATAGATTCCAACGTTAGACAGAAAATGGGGAAAAGCGGTCGAAGGCGCAAACTTTCGCTCGTACCCCCCGCCCTGCAAACAGTACGCTGGGATACTCTGATGAGCTTCACAGAATCTTGTGAAGGAAGTGGTCTATGACCTATGTATAAAGCATCTGGCTGCAGCTGTTCAAGACCGCAGTTAGACAATGTGCGCAAATACTATCCGAAAACTTCTTATAGAAATGCGCACATTCAATACCGGATGGTGATTTCTGTTTCATTGCGGACCATGTGGAAAAAAATTTGAGCGTCGCATAATGCAATCCGACCGTTCGTGATTCGAAACGGAGCCTGAGCAAGTGACGGGAATTGTAAATTTACAACACAGATAAGTTTTACAGAATTTCCTACATTATTACGCTTTTCAACGAGAAAAATACATCTCTAAACTGGAATAAAAGAGTAATGAATCAGTCTTAATGGCCGTTTCAAAACTGGCGGAGTCATGACCTTGATGACGCGCAGGTCTATGGTCACGCAAAATCCAACCAATCAGAGTGTGAATTCATCAGAGTATCCCAGCGTCCTGTGTGCAGGGCGGGGGGTATGAGCGAAGGGCAAACTGGGAGAGTGTGAATACACAAGTGCCAGTGCACAGTAAGCTCTGGGTCAATTTTCGGGACACACAGACAGACCGTCCGATCTACCGAGCGAACAACCACCAAGTGACAAGTAGAAGCCCCTGCTAGAGCTTAAAAATCGCACCCCACCCACGTTTTGAGGACATTTCCTCCTTCTGGATACAGTTCTTGGTTCTTGGTTCTTGGTTGGTTCTTCTCCTAAATACTCCACGTGGGAGTTTATACAGGAGGCCAGAAACACCGGGGCAAACCCCTTCTCTTAGCGATAAGTGTTTACTGGGTTCTTTTACGTGCATTACACAACACACGGGACCTACGGCTTTACGTCCCATCCGAAGGACGAAGCAATAATGGTCAAGTGCCTTGCTCAAGGGCACAAGTGTCCGGGCCCGGGCTCGAACCCACGTCACTGTTGCCTCTGAAACACCAGAACGTGAGTCCGGTGCTCTTAACCACTAGGCCATCACAGTCCAACCACTACACAAAATGGCGCCCACCTTATTCGAGGAAGATGTTGTACAGCGCAAGTACAAGTACATGTTCTGGCCGTGTTGCAAGAAGTCGTGCATGAAAGTCTTGCATGAAATGAATCAAAATAATCCCTGCAAGAGCTGAAATACACGATGCTGAAAACTGCGACACCGATGGCACTTATGCAACACCATACTTTTGGTAAATTTTCCAGGGACAAACAGGCAGACCACCAAGTGACATGTAGACGCTCCTGCCAGAGCTTAAAAATGGCTAAATTATTTAGTCGGTAGAGCCCTGGAAGTGCAATCCCAGGGACCCGGGTTCACATCCAAATCTGTGCAAACTTGTTGGGGTTTTACCCACTGATCTCTATATAAAGACTGGATAGCTACTAAAGAGCCGCACAATGTACGAATTTGACGCCATATTGGTGAGACCGGCTGGTGATCTACAAAGGACAAGTTGCCGTCTTTATAGACAGCTTGATTTCTTTTGTAACGTCGCGGCTCACTTGACTTATATTTTGGCCACCACCACTGACCAACTGACCAAGGTTTACTACAATTTTTCTAACGTAGTGGTTACTTTTATAATGCCGCAAATCACTTTTTCGGCGTTTTTGAAATAATAATCACTACGGAAATGTGTTCCTTTTAGAACATCATAATATGTGTACGTGACCAAAATGCGCGTCAACTGTTGATACAACGCGCGCGTATTTACGCGTAGTACGTTCGTATTATACGCGGCCATCTTCGTGAGACCGGGGGCAAATTGGTCAATATGCAAAGTCTACTGTGTGAATGTTGTATGCATATCCGCTATCCAGTCTTTATATAGAGATCAGTGGTTTTACCTTTCAAAGATTCTGGCCAGGAAGTGCAAGGCCCATTTCTTGACCTTCCAGCACGGCAGCTCTGGCCTGTCGTCGATGTCAACCTGCAGTGTGGACTGAAACGCAATCACACGGCAAGTTTCAATCAAAAAGGAATTACCAATGAACGGATATCTGATAGTGGAGCAGATAACAGAAATATCGTGCAAATGGTGATACAAGCACCAAATTCGGCACAATGATTCTCTAGGGTATACTTCACAAATCTGCCTGATTGGCCACTTGAAAATCCAAGATGGTGGCCATTTTTCAAGATGGGCGCCAAACTGACCCCCTAAGAACTGTTTTTCTTGTAGAAATGCTTCTATATGGTCGATTTGGATGTTCCTGGTATCAGTGTCTATGTTTTCAGGTATGCTGGATTCATTTTTGATAGTTTCAGCACCATTATTAAACTCTTAGTGGTGGAAAATAGCAAAATCTATTTAAGAATAACAACAAAAACACTCAAAATACAGTAAAACACTTTTAAAAATGGCCGCCATCTTGGATTTTCAAGTGGCCAATCGGGCAGATTTGTAAAGTATACCCTAGAGAATCATTGTGCCAAATTTGGTGCTTGAATCACCTTTTGCACGATTCCACTGCAAAATTTATGTTATCTGCTCCACTGTGAAATGCAAGTAGGTGAAAGAGATTTTTACACCATGGACTCTGTGAACAAGTAACCCTTCAAAACGGAGAGTTGAGGAAACCACTAGCACGGAAATTAGAACAAGCAGTGCTTACGATACCTGATGCTAGCACAAAGAGGTTACAGATTTGTGCAAGTGTTGTGTAAAACCCGACCCTAAAATGAAACTGACCCGACCCAGTTTCGGTTTTGCGTTTGCTGAGATGGTATGGACATGTAGCAAGAAGGGAGAAAAGCCATTGGCTGAAGAAAGCATGGAACTTTTGAAATAGTCGTCCGAGACCACGAGGCAGGTCAGGGAAGACCTGGGATGAGACACTGGCAGAAGACCTCAGACTGTCAAACCTCGCCAATGTGGATGTTAGTAAAAGGACTGCGTGGAACAGGAAAGACAATGTCTCACCCCGCAGCGTGGGAAAAATGGATGTTAAATGAAAATGATGTTGATGATGTTTGCGATTATCGGGTCGGGTCGGGAAAGCCATTATGGAAAAACCCGAAAAAAAGAAGAAAAAAAAACGACACAGTTGGGAAATTCACATGGTGCAATAATTATTGAAGAGTCACTGTGTCCACTACGACCAAATGTGGTTTGCAGTCTTATCACGCAAGGTCTTTAACATGTAGGCCCACCAGTAGGTCATGTTGTGAGTACCGTACGGTATAATTCAGTTACTGAGAGACAACAATTTTCACACGAACGTGGTTAACTTTAGGCACAAAAAGCGGACACAGTTGCCCAACCCAGATATTCAGGGGGGGTTTTTTCGGGTCGGTTTGGTTTTGGGTCGGTTCGGGTTGGTTTTACTTTAATTTTTGTCATGTCGGGTCGGGTCGGGTCGGGTCGGTTTTAGGGAGCTCGGATCGGTTTCGGTTCAGATTCGGCTGTGGCCTCGTGGATAGGGCATTGGATTCGTGGTCTGTGGGTAAAGCTGCAGGTTGTGGGTTCTAGTCCATTCTGGGGTCGTGGTGCGTGTGCCCTTGGGCAAGGCACTTTGTCACTCATTGCTTCTCCCCACCCAGGAGTAAATGGGTACCTGTGAGGGCAGAGATGGTTACTGTGATTGAATTAGCTTCCTTGCACCTAACAGGCTGCATCGAGCTGTATACTCCCCAGGGAGCTGAGATGGTAATTGGAATGTTTAATTGGCCCAATGAGCAGGGTAATAATGATGTAGCGCCTTGAGCACCAGTCCTGGTGGATACGTGTGCTTTTTAAATACCCACTATCATTATTATATCTAGAATGTTTCAGGTCAGTTTGGCCTGGTCAACCCGACCCGATGCACAACATTAGTCAGTGTACACTCAGAATAAATAAGATGTGAGTACTTGGCATTCACGTTTGCATACTTGAAAACTAGGCCAATGAGATTACAGGAAAGTCGGAATCGTCAGAGCCCATAGCAACCAGTACCGTGTCGGATGCTTTGAGAGCACTGCCTGACACGATGAGGTCAGGATGCCAGACTAATGTACAAGGGAATTGTGGGATACCTCCGGTATCGGCCTGCTGACTATCGTCTGCATGATCTCCATCCAGTCGGCAAATTTGAAGAACTCCCTGTTGATCAGGTCCAGGGACAGGTCGTACTGTGGAAAGAACGGACAGGTTTTGACAATTTCATGATTTGGAACGATACTGACAAATTAACTGGTGAGTTGTTAACCCCTTAAGCACGGGTTATAATGGGGACATTCCTCCACACATAGAGCAAGTGGCCCGCATGACTGCACAGCCTTTGTGTGGTAGCGGGACTGCACAAAAGCAGCAGCTGTGGAACTACCCACTAGCTGTGTGCCACGGCATACCACAGCTGGCAACTGCATTCCAATGAGGATTAGCGGCCGCGGCCATGACCGCTTCCCGTGCGCATGGGGTTAAAGAGAGGTAAATATTGTTTACTCTTTTACTAAGGGAATAAACAAGTGCTTGGCCCCAAGCTGGTTGCAAACGTGCTTGTTCAATACTGGCCATGCACAAATTTCTTCCATTTCATACATTGTAAATAACTTTCGGTCAGAAAGTCAAAACATATAAAAAATTATAAATATCCAATGATTTTGTTCAACAATTTTATTTCATGTTTTGAAACACCCCGCTATGTTAATGGTATTTGCCTCTCGCGAATAGGACTAAAAATCTCCATATATTTTGAAACACCCTGCTAAGTTGACAAGGCACATGCAATAAATCGCACCAACCTCGTAGTATTATTAGCGCCCGCCTCGATTCACATCCGGGATGAGTTCTGGACAAGTTGCGGGTAGAATCATTCACTTTGTCCGGAAAAAGCTCTGCATCTGTCCCGGACACGTTCCGGGGAAATTTTCATTAGCAGCTGCTTGACTCACCAATACTGATAACTTCATTGTGGGAGGATTGCGGGGAAGTTGTTCAGAATCCTGCAACTTATACCCGATACAATGTCCGGAACTCGTCCCTGATATGAATGGAGACAGGCCATCACAGAAATCCCCGCTCCCAAACCAGACTTTCAGAACACTACATATGACGCCTGGCATGACAATGTAGAGCGACTCGAACCGACTTGAGCAAGATTTACGTCGACTTGGTAAGGTAAAGGTAATGGTCCCATAGCCATTACTGGCCGTAGGGGCAGTGGGATGTTGGAGGTCCACTGTGTCTTGGGCACGGCATATGAGTGGCGGTGCCCAGTCCTCTCCTCTCGCCATCTTACCTTCCCTGAACGAATCAGATACCCATTTTACTGTTGGGTCATCAGAGAGAGTTTTCAAATTTTTGGTCCGAATAGGATTCGAACCGCCAACCTTCCACTCTGTAGCTCCACACTCTAACGGCTCGGCTACAAGGCCCCTATGAAGTTGACTTGACTCTCGTCAATGTTTGAGAATAAACAGACTCGACTCAAGTCTCAAAATTCAGTGAGTTGTATTAAAACTGACCTATCGCAGTTTGGGAGTTAGCCACACCCCTTAGACAACCCTATGGAGTTTTTGTACACTAAGTTTCGTTTGGTTCAGATTTTGCGCGTTCCGCGTCCCTTTGTATATCATGTAATTGGACAATATTTCACAAGCTGCGTTGCCGCGATTCTAACGCGATTTCTGCTGCGATAGGTCAATTAGAACTGGCCTTCACACCTTCACAAAAGGGCTCTTGCGAGCCAAACAAACAGCGTCCTCAATGTGTCCCGCGTGATGTCCTTACCTGGATCATGGCGTAGACAATCTTGAGGATCTGCTTCTGCATGAGCAACGACTGGTCCGAGACGTCCTGGAGGAGCTGGACGCAGCGATGGTGGATGACAGGCAGGAGCTGCATCATGGCCAAGTGCAAGGGCTCCCTGTCGTTGGGCTTCTTGTACCTGTACGGCAAATCGAGCATGAAAGTTCGTTTCCTGTCCCATTATTATATCAATTAAGCAAAAGATACCTCTTTGAGACTTTGGTTACAGAGCTCGTATCAGGAGCTTGCGACACCATCACGGTGTCTTTATCAACTGGTGTTGTTGAGGCCCTCACTTGACCCGTCATGTGACCAAGCTTGGTCACACGACAGGAGGCGGTACACGTGGGCCAGCTCGTACTCTCCATCTCTGTTCATATGGGGGCGGTGCCTGCGGATTTCCACAGCTTCGTGGATTTTACGTTTCCAGAGGTCGTCTTCCCTGGCGATGATCTTGACATTGTCCAAGGAGATGCTATGTCCTGGGGTGGATATATGTTCACCAACTGCTGTCAGGGGGCTGACCTACTGGTGTGTTCTCTGTATCGGGTCTGCAGAGTGCGAGCTGTTTCCCCGATGTATGTGTCTTCACAACCATCACACGACATCTGGTATACGAGGCCACATTTCTTGAGGTCTGGAGTCTTATCTTTCAGGCTGAAGAGTGTTAAACGGTTTATGTGCTACCGTGACACCATTTCACGAAACACACAATCCAGCTTGATAATGTATGTTATCAGTCATCCAGTAGTAGTTCATGATTTTTCTTAATTGAATCAAATACTGGAACTTACTTAAATTTTTTTTTTTTTTTTGCAACTGTGCGACGTTGCGTCCGAAACCATCGGACTTCGTCAGACAACTGGTGACCCGGTGGACTGGTCACGTGAGAGATGGCTTGGAATCCCTTGAATGGCCCGGTCCCATGCATGTGAAAGGTTGAAGTGTAGCCCCCCTCTTTTGTTGAGTGTTGGTTGTTCGACCCTTTCCCAGATGGCTTCCTTGATGCCTCTCACGTGACCAGTCCACCGGGTCACCAGTTGCCTGACGAAGTCCGATGGTTTCGGACGCAACGTCGCACAGTTGCAAAAATTAAGTAAGTTCCAGTATTTGATTAAATTAAGAAAAAACACAATCCAGCTGTTCAGCACAAGTTTTTCATTTGTTTTAACCATAACCCTACTAAATGCAAAGCAACAACGTTCAACCAATAAAACGGAGCTGGCACCGGATTTCAAAGGAGTCAGAATTTCATGTGACACAGGAAAAGTGTTTAAGACCAGCCAGCGATGTCTTTATCAATGGGAACACAGTGTTCCTAAAAGAAAAGTTCCATACCAAACGGGAGCGTACCGACTTTTGAGATGTTCCCTTAAAGGGTTAATGTAACATACTCGATACAACATATTACTCACTCGTAATTTTTGACCAGCTGGTAGACTGCTGTGAGGGCGCCATACAGCGTGGCTGGGTTGTCTACGCTGAGATAGTTGGTCATGGTGACCAGTACGCTGTCCCACCGGCCTGGGTAGTCGTGCCTTAGGATGACGCTGAGGCATACTGCCAACTGAACCCTGGACACCCAGACAAAACGGGACAAAAATGTCACAAATGAAATAGTGCATTCGGCACCTGTATATAAGCCAGGCATGCAACTGGGAAATCACAAAAAAAAGAGGAAATTCACATTTTTCCCAGACTTTGTACAGTGTTTTTCTATTTTCAATGGCACACATGGGAAGTAAAAAAAGAGGAAATCAGCTGATCCGAGGAAAACTTGCATGCCTGATAAGCCCCATTACGTAGAGGTGTTTTCAAAGGCATATAGGATCATTTATATAATCCCAACAGTAACTTACCGAATTAATATCAAAAAGCTTCCTTGGATTAAAGATCCTACTGACACTAAACACCCCAGGTTATTCCATCTGGCTGGCTGTCATTTAGAAGACATCAAGAAATAGGAAACAAGTTCTATTGACAAAATTGTATTTCATGATCAACAGGTTGTCCACGTTTTTTTTTTTCACTGTTTTCTCAAAAAGTGTAATATCCACCAAACTGAAACTTCAACAGGTTAGGTTTTGAGCATTCTTCTTTTGGATTTTGGAGTGGTGTTAAAGTGGAAACCAACAAAATCGATAGGCCCAATTAACCCTATTAAACCGAACTCGACCCATCAAAGTCTAACAGCAGGTTTTGTTTAAATCTGTTGGGATAGGTACAGTACCCCTAAACTGATGGTCTTTTACTTTGGGTTTGGCATACTTTTAAAAAAACTAAGTCCAACAGTGTGTGTTTATGATTTCCCATGTGGGTGTTGCAATTTGCCTGGATGGGTATGGTTCCTAGTACTCAATCCTACAGGATCCAACTGTTTTACATACCCGCTGGGTCGTGTTGGATTGAGCACTAAATCCCTTGTAAATGCTCCTGTTGAAATCTGTTGGATTCAGCAGGCAACTGAAAACATTCAGAGTATGACTCTGTTGGGTACAGCAAAATAACGCCAAGCTGGACTCTGTTGGATCCAGCAGGCAACAGAAACATAAGGCACAGTTGGATTCTATTGGATTAACCCTAACCCACCTCACTCCTCCAAAATCCTCCTTTTGGAGGATTCTAGAGGATTGAGGATGAATGGTGATTGAATCAAATGAGGATTCTGGAGGATTGAGGATGAATGGTGATTGAAGCACACGAGGATTTTGGAGGATTGAGGATGAATGGTGATTGAAGCACAAGAGGATTTTGGAGGATTGAGGATGAATGCATTTTGAGGCAGGACTGTCTGATGATTTTGAAGGATTTGGCGTTGGTTATCCTTCATTTAAACACAGTGCAAAGTTTTGGGATGAGGAGGATTTTGGAGGATTGAGGATGAATGCATTTTGAGGCAGGACTGTCTGACAATTTTGAAAAATTTAGGCGGAGTTGAAAAATTTTGGAGGATTTTGGAGGATTGAGGATGGATGTAAGCAACAAGGGCCTAGGGGGTTAGGGTTAAAGATTCTACTGACACTAAACACCCCAGGTTATTCCATCTGGCTGGCTGTCATTTAGAAGACATCAAGAAATAGGAAACAAGTTCTATTGACAAAATTGTATTTCGTGATCAACAGGTTGTCCACGTTTTTTTTTTTTCACTGTTTTCTCAAAAAGTGTAATATCCACCAAGCTGAAACTTCAACAGGTTAGGTTTTGAACATTCTTCTTTTGGATTTTGGAGTGGTGTTAAAGTGGAAACCAACAAAATCGATTGGCCCAATTAACTCTATTCAACCGAACTCAACCCATCAAAGTCCAACAGCAGGTTTTGTTTAAATCTGTTGGGATAGGTACAGTACCCCTAAACTGATGGTCTTTTACTTTGGGTTTGGCATACCTCCAAAAAAACTTAAGTCCAACAGTATGTGTATACGATTTCCCATGTGGGTGTTGCAATTTGCCTGGATGGGTATGGTTCCTACCGGTAGTACTCAATCCTACAGGATCCAACTGTTTTACATACCCGCTGGGTCCTGTTGGATTGAGCACTAAATCCCTTGTCAATGTTCCTGTTGAAATCTGTTGGATTCAGCAGGCAACTGAAAACATTCAGAGTATGACTCTGTTGGGTACAGTAAAACAACGCCAAGCTGGACTCTGTTAACAACTAATTATGTCTGACAGGTGCCATCCGCTGCATACAAAGTTTGTCCATAACTCCCGAAGTAACCGTCTTCTTCAACGGAGGATAAGAACTACGCGATGTGGCAGCTCATTTGTTCCAGCAGCTATCAGGTGGTACAATGAGCAGTTGGAACGCTGAGCTGCTGTATTGCAACCCTTGTCCTCCGTTGACGAAGTTCGTTTGACGAAGTTCATTTTCTTTTGTTAAACAAATAGGAATAACACAGTACAGCTGCTGGGACGGGATGGGTTTGCGGTGGCGCCGTGTGGATGGGTCTCTTTAGTAAGTGTGTGTGGTTCTGGGGGGTCGGGGGCTCAGCGTTTCGAGCGGTGTGCTCTGCCTGTCGTCGGGAGAATGAACATTTTCCTGACGACGGGCGGAGCATGCTGTTCGGGCCGTTGGGTCCCTCCGGTCCTTTTTCTGAGCCACACGTGCTCGCGGGGGAGATTTGTTCACGTGGTGCTACCGCGGACTTAACTTGTCTTAGTATCTTTCCACCATGCAAACCTTCTAATCTCACAGTACAGGTACACAGTAAATTGACATATCTTACTTGCCTACGGACAGATGTTATAAGTTAATATAAGTTATAAGTTTTAATGTTTGTATTTTTGTATTTGTGTAGTTTTTACATTCGTGCTTTTTATGTGTTTTAAACCAAATAACGTGTAAAAAGGCCATGGAATTTCCCGCACTGGGATAATAAAAGTTTTTATTGTATTGTATTGTATTGGATCCAGCAGGCAACAGAAATATAAGGCACAGTTGGATTCTGTTGGATTGAGCATGCGAGTCATTTTACATGTTCAGGTACCCAACAACTTGGCAAGTTGGGTCATGTTGGAGAGTGTTGGTTTGAGCAGGAAACTCATGAGCAACCGTTGGACTCTGTTGGATTGAGCAGGGTAGTCCCGGGGAACTACCAGGGGGTTTTGGGTTTAATACCTAATGAGATCTGGGGTGGCAATGATAGCCTCGATGATGTTGTTCCTGACCACGGACTTGTCGTCTTCGTGGATGCTGAACGGGATGGGCTCCAGGGGACTGTCCGGCTCCCGCAGGTTCCAGAACTGGTTCACCATGTTCTTGAGATAGATGACGCCGGCCTGGCGGACGGGGAAGGGAATGCCCTCGTCCATGACCACCCGCAGGAGGGTGGGGGAGAAGTGGATGATCTTGTGAACCTGTTCGGGGACAAAATTTAAAAAAATTTAAAAATCGGAAATCAGTCTCGTTGTATGAGCAATTCCTAATAAATAGATTTTCAAAATGCCTAGGGAGTTAACCCAGACTGGGACCTGGAATGCTCTGAAAAGTGCTAAACTACATCAGGCCAACTTTGCTCACTCTTTAGCCAGCAAATTTCTCCAATAATTCCATTGGGCAAAGTAAGGGTCCTCAGTATTTCACCAACAGTTTGCAGACTCAATCAATTTTTAACCCTAACCCACCTCACTCCTCCAAAATCCTCCTGGCGGTTTTGGAGGATTCTAGAGGATTGAGGATGAATGGTGGTTGAATCAAATGAGGATTCTGGAGGATTGAGGATGAATGGTGATTGAAGCACATGAGGATTTTGGAGGATTGAGGATGAATGGTGATTGAAGCACAAGAGGATTTTGGAGGATTGAGGATGAATGCATTTTGAGGCAGGACTGTCTGATGATTTTGAAGGATTTGGCGTTGGTTATCCTTCATTTAAACATGAGTGCAAAGTTTTGGGATGAGGAGGATTTTGGAGGATTGAGGATGAATGCATTTTGAGGCAGGACTGTCTGACAATTTTGAAAAATTTAGGCGGAGTTGCAAAATTTTGGAGGATTTTGGAGGATTGAGGATGGTTGTAAGCAACAAGGGCCTAGGGGGTTAGGGTTAAAGGAGACTTTTCTTCAATATTTTGCACATGAGAGGGAAGTCAAGTGATCTCAAATTGAGGCTAAAGACTAGACTGGTACATGTCCAACCATGGTCCAACTATTTGAAAAGACTGATCTCTTCATTCAGTGTCATTAGTCTGGTGGCTGACTATGGAGAAATGAGTAGAAATAGAGACTAGTTCCCGGTTCATGCCATATGTTTCTTTTGGCACAGTTGATTGATGCAGTACTGAAGAGTTGTTGGACTGGTTGTTTCAGATGTCAGTCTACTTTCTTGTGTTGCATGTTTTCAAAACCTTAAGGTGTGGGACTCTCATACTCAGTATTGAGAATCCCAATTTTTTGGACTGGGGTTAATCAGGTAAGTATCAACTACAAAAAAAAAAAAAAAACGGTTTCAATTTCCAACACTGGAATGTTTTCGGGAAATTTTGCATGCATTGATGTGTAGCTCACATTACGGACATGACAAAGGAAGTCCAGCATTTAAAGCCACATTGATGGGGCTAAGAAAATAGGAAGTATTTAGCCGGCTAGATTTAGCCGGCTTTCTTTCAATAAACGATATTGAGCTGGCTAGATTCTACAGTGCCCTACAGTGACGCGTATACGAGAAGGCCTACCTTACAAAAGGTATTAAATTACTGCCATTGTTTGTGCAGCACCTGTGGCCGAGTGGATAGTGTGTATCTCATGAAGGAGAGATCCCCAGCAGGGTTTTTATTTTCGATTTTTTTTTTTTTCATCCCAACAAATTAAGAATAATCAGATATTCTTCTTTTATTATTTTAAATTGACTCCAACATTTAATTATAGACTATTATGCGCCTATCAAATGTCCCCCCCCCCCCCCCTCTCCGTCCCCCCCAATGCCCCAAGTCCGATGTCTATGTGGTCACGTTTTTCATGCCCCAGGGTGGGGATTTTGGCCACCCAAATTACACTGTTACCATTGGCGTACTACATGGAAATGCAATTACTAGTGCGCCTCACGTATGTATGTCGCGGGTGGGGATTTTGTCACTTCAACAGCCCGGGGGAGGGGGGGGGGGGAGGACACAACTTTGGGGGGAAACAATTGTTAGGCACAATACATTTCTTTTTCTGATTCCTGGCTCTGGAGGATTTTTTTTTAAGGGAAATAAAGTCCGAAACTGTAATGGGGGGAGAAGACATTTGACATGCGCATTACTGAGCAAAAACCTTGAGTCTGACCTTGGAGGAAATTCCTCCATGGTCTGACCATGGAGCTATAGCTCCATGGTCTGACTAGGATTGATGCTATGCTGCAGACAAAGTAAGTCATGTAAGTACATGATCATGTCATGAGTAATGCATGGGAAAGATTTCCATACATACGAAGTTCACTAATTTTCCTCTGCATTGACTAACAAGCCCCCAGATAGCAATTTCATGTCATCAAAGTCAATTTGAGCAGTGAGAAAATACAAGCATTTTCTTAGAAAACACTTAGAATTTTTCAGTCCAATCTCGTAGGGTTTGTACACAGGTGTTGAGTGAACTTCGTATATGGCAATCTTTCCGTTTATCACATTTCACATTTATCACAGTCGATAATTGACAGTGCATCCAATTGGATATCTCGTCTGGCTGCTTGTCATGCTTGTCACATCCGTTTTTTAAACCCTGGCTTCGTTCTGTTTCCGGCTCAACTCCATTGCCAAACTGTCACACTAGGCATGCTAGGCAGTCCCAGTTTTTCTTATCTGGTCGAATACTCCCCCTTTTAATTACCGGCTATATATAATCTTGCAAGACAGCAAGGCACGTCCATATGAATGATGAATGGGTGGCACATTTTGTCATGATGTTTGTCTCATAAAATTCATTTTTGGTTTGTTTCAACTTTTATTCTATTTCATATTTCTAATTGATAACTGAAAGTACAGAAAAAAAAACATGAAATATGGCCTAATTCATTGCACATGCATACACAACTGTCATCAATCATGTCAATTCATAAACTATGTGTCCGCTTAAATAAACGCATAAAAATACGAAGTGGCTATCGTTACGGCAGTCGTTGTTTAGCGCCCTCTACGATACTTTTTTGATACGCACGCAGGTATATAGTTATTTGTTTCCACACGATTTAGCGAGCAGTGCGACAGCCCAGTCGATAGAGGGTAGGATTTTGCACCGCGAGGTTGCGGGTTCGAATCTCAGTTTTGCACTCGAATTTGTTTCCTTTTATAACCTGAGGCTTTGGAGGATTTTTTTTAAAAGGGAAATAAAGTCCAAATTTCAACGTTCAAATTCACTTTTTTCCTTCTAATTTTATATTTTCTTCTCATGTTTTTATAAAAGTTGCAGTCTACCGTAACGATAGAAAGTGGGAAATGCGTTACGGCTGCCGTAACAATAGCCACTGCGATAAAAATATGTGATTCATTTGCACACCTGTGGCAGACATGTGCTTGCGCAATACCACGGCGCGCTAGATCATATAGATTAGATGCATGTGTCAAAAATGCCATAGTCAAGTCACACACGAGGCCGGGTTTTTTTTCTGTCAAGATTTTTGCCATTCCCATACTCACTTCGTCGAGTTGTTTTTCCGCTTCTTCCCGGGTATCTGGATGAATAGAACCCTGGAGAATCTGAACCAGATTCTGTTGGTCCATGGCGTCTGTTCTGTTATTCACCAATTACGAGACAAAAATCGGGAAAATCTCGGTCTACAATGTGGTGCCTGTCTACTTGTTATTGTAATTTGCAGCGCGCCACATGAATTTGTAATGCGCATGTGTGTAATTGGCTCGGACTTGTCACTAGAGGGCTTGACCCAGTGAACTCTGGCTACTTGTCATGCTTATGTCTATGTCACTGATCTCTATATAAAGACTGGATAGCTAATACAGAGCCGCACAATGTACGAATTTGACGCCATATTGGTGAGACCGGCTGGTGATCTACAAAGGACAAGTTGCCGTTTTTATAGACAGCATGATTTCTTTTGTAACGTCGCGGTTCACTTGACTTATATTTTGACCACCACCACTGACCAAGGTTAACTACAATTTTTCTAACGTCGTGGTTACTAAAATGCCGCAAATATAACTTTTTCGGCGTTTTGAAATAATAATCACTACGGAAATGTGTCCCTTTTAGAACATCATAATATGTGTACGTGACCAAAATGCGCGTCAACTGTTGATACAACGCGCGCGTATTTACGCGTAGAACGTTCGTATTATACGCGGCCATCTTCGTGAGACCGGGGGCGAATTGGTCAATATGCAAAGTCTACTGTGTGAATGTTGTATGCATATCCGCTATCCAGTCTTTATATAGAGATCAGTGGTCTATGTGCTTGTCACATCCGTTTTTTTAAGCCCTGGCTTCGTTCTGTTTCCGGCTCAACTCCATTGCCAAACTGTTAAACTGTGCGTGCCTGAAGCCGGAACAGGGACGAAGCCGTAGTTTGAGAAACGACCTTTTGTCCTCACCACGAAGGTGAACAATCCGGCCTTGAGATCCTTTTCCCCAAGATCTTGGGAATTTCGATAAGACTTTGGAAACTCGGGAAGTTTACTCAAAATTTAACGAAATCTTTAGGATTTTGCTCTCTTCAAGTTTCGTGAAATTTTCTGAGGTTAAGACCATGGGCGTCGCGGGGGGGGGGGGGCAAGGGGGCGCGAATTCATATTGTTGTTAATTTAATGGGGGGCAAATGTCCCTATCCACCCTCGAAAAAAATGATAAATCGGAAAAATGCTGGAAATTATAGGGATTTGGGGGGGAAAATGTGCTTTGCCCCCCTCTAGAAAAAATCCTGTGGCGACTCCCGAGGTTTGGACTGACGTATAGCCTATGTCGAGCAAGGATAGGTACTAACGTTATTAGGATGTGCACTGGACCAGTAGAGCCTATATTTTAGGGGGGGGGGGGGTAAGCAGGGTTGGATCCAGAAATTGTTGTAGGGAGGCATGCTGAAATGTAGACCGGTTTTTTTCTCCAAACACACTGGCCTCCGAAAATCAATAGGGGAAGGGGGGGGGGGGTGGGGCTCGTACCATATTCTTAATGGGGAGCACTGATAAACTCTACAATCATGCACACTATATGACCTAATAGTGTCCAGATGCCCCCTTCTCGCGACTATTTTTTTTTTTGGGGGGGGGGGGGGGTTACACCGCATGTGACATCACCTTCTAACATTTGCTACTGCCATTGCATTTTTTGGGGGGGAGCTAAACAAAAGTGGGTTTTTGGGGGGAGGGTCTAAAGCCCCCCCCCCCCCACTAGTCCCCAATATGTACAGTGTAGCACCAAAAATAATAACGACTGGAAAGCCCATTTCATAAGCTACTCTTAGATGAAAAAAATTACTGAAATTGCTTTATCCGTTCAAAGAATATCACCATTTAAACACAATGACCCTAAAACCTCTTTCGTCCAAAAATGCGATTTCAAGAATCGTCGTCACAATTTCCTTCAAACATCACCAGCGATAAAACCTCAGTTGAAAAGTTAAAAATATTCAACAAAGTCCCTTTGAAGGCCCGTCTTTACAAAAAAAATGGATTTTATAAATCATATTGTTTGCCTAACCAGGGTTGTTAATAGGAGTTGTTGACAGTTGTTGAAACAAGTATTCTGTGTCATTTTCTTTGTTAATTGTTGGAAACAGTCAGAACACACAATAACTTGCTTTTTTGGACGAAACAGCTTTTAGGGTCATTGCGTTTAAATGGTGATATTCTTTGAACGGATAAAGCAATAATTTTTTCATCTAAAAGTAGTTTCTGGAATTGGCTTTCCAGTCATTATTATTTTTTGTGCTACATATTTTTTAAATAAGAAATATATTTTTGGGGGTTTGGGTTCCGGTTTTTTTTGATTTTTTTTTACTCGCCTTGTACAAGCATTACATTCACTGTGTGGACTTCCGAACAAAAGATGTCCACATAAACCAGGTAGCAGCGACATTGTGTGGACTTGCCCAGGTCTACACAAAATGTTTACCCCTCTCTGGAAGACATGCTTAGAAGCATTTTTGGGGTTAAGGTTTATCTGTGGCAAAATGAAGAGAAACACTAAAGGGAATCATCATAGAAAACTAGAACGGCGAAGCCGCCATGCATGGCTCTCTGTCGAAGGCGGGAAGGGAGGCTGAAGGTAGGGTTGAGGATGGGCATGATGGAAGGGGATCAGGATTCAGGATGATGTGCCAAGGTGTAGGGGTCAGTTTTTAAATGCCAACAAAAAAGTCAACAAATGTCCTTTCAAATACACGGGTACATGGGATAGCCGTCACCGCGTTATGGGGACGTTTTCCATAGTTAGGATAATTAGGACCTAGTTGTTGGGACTTGTTGCAGCCCCCACAGCGTCTTTGGTCCCCATATTACCATGGGAAAACCTCTTGTGTAGTCCCCTCAAATGAGGAACAAGAATGGTTATATTCATTAGTCACACCACCACACCCCCAAACCTTACCCCTTCCCCCCACCCCCTACCCACACCCACCCCATCCTCCCCCTAACCATCTCCACCCCAATCCCTATCTCCCTCCCCTCCCCTACCCCCAATAACCACACACCCCATTCTCCCCCTACCCATACCCATCCATACATCCCCACCCACCCCAACCCCTACTCCAATCCCACATCCCACCCCTCCCCTAACCCAACCCCTACACCCACCTACCACACCCCCCCTACCCATCTCCACCCACCCCTACACCCAAACCCAAGCCCCTACTCCAACCCCTATCCCATCTTCCACCCTTCCCCACACATCCCTACCCCACCCTTACTCCCACCCCATAAAACCCAAAAGATCAAACCAGAAGCACATGCCCATACACACAAATGCTCCCCCAAAATTACACATATAAAATGTGTTACATTGGAAATGAAGGCATACATGTACATGTTATACCGGTACATGTACACACACGTATCCAATGGGGGGGGGGGGGGGGGGGGGGGCAGAGGGGTCAGTCTGCCCCCCCCCCGGCGGTCTTTTGTCACAAATTATTTGTTCAGCAATTATTTCAATAAATGGTTGAAGAGTTTTGACATCAATCCCAAAAACGAAAACCCCCCTCAAAAAGCATTACAATGCGCCGTGAAAATGGAAAAATAATTTGCAGTATGCATAATAATGGTCATTTTTTGAAGAGCGCCCCCACGCTTTTGGATTTTGTAAACGGAAGCCAAGTGTCCGGAGGAAAAAAACAACATGTCTACATTTCGGCGCGGATGTGCGGTTGCCCCCCCCCCCCCATGACATCCAATGCTGGATACACTACTGTATATGCACACCGTACATGTAACAATTAAAAACTTTACCATTTTCTTGAAATTGCAATTCCTCAATAAAATCATAAAATTTACTGCAATGAAATGAACCTAATTAAAAGTTATAGAGATGATACATGTAAACTGCATTTCCTTTTCTTTTTTTTACCAAATTAGCTAGAACCAAAAACTTCAACATTGTAATCTGAATGCGGACGGACGGGCGCCCAGGCGCCCGGTCGTCCGGACGGACAGACGGACAGAAATTGGTATTAAATAGGCTCGAATCTGCTTCGCAGCTCGCCAGAAAAAGTTTTCAAAGTGTGAGTAAAATTAGGTTTTTTTCACAGATTTTTCTTAACAACACGAAAACAAAAGAATGTCCACACCCATACTGGAATTTGTATCCCTGTGGAGTTATTTCTTTGTTCTCGTGTACTAACGTTTTCGAGTTTGAAAGTGTAGTTTCAAATTGCTCCTATTTTACTCAGAATTAATTTCCTGGGCTGAAATTCGGACTTAATATCCCTTACATAACATACTTCAATTTGTGACTAATCAACACACCTTGGAAATTCCTACTTTTTGAGTAAATTCATATATGTATTTCATGGTGATAACCTTGTGGACACGTATTAGAAATTGCCCTGTGGAGACGTATGCAATCTCTTGTTCCCTACTGTGCTCATGTCCCCACAGGGTACCGTGCAACAGATCATCAGGTATGTAACGTAAACTTGGGTGTGTGTCGTCTGTGACATGTTTAGTTAAGTTTCAATACCTATTCACTTAAGTTAATCGTGCGTTCATATGAGCCAAAAACCGAATTCTTTCAGTTTCGCCACTTTGGCATCGTGGCCGAAAATGAAAGTCAGATGCAAAACGGTCGTGTCACTGTGCGCCTCTCTCCAACCAGCTTGTAGAAAATACTTCCTTCCGTCTGGGTAGTTGGTCTCATTAAGTGTCTTTATTTTCAGCTTCGGGATTAGCTTCCTCGAGATTAACTTGTTCATGGTTGATTGATCACCGGTTTTTGGTTGTTTTTCCTTGTCCAACAAACGCAACCATTCCGTAACGAAACGCAAGGTGTTCTCCGTTGGTCGGTAGTAAGCAAAACCGGCACAGAAGATCGTTATGTTCACGTCATCGTTGTGCATAGCGATATCAAAGCTCTCTTGAAAGTCTTTGAATGGGTCTTTAAACCAAAAGGTATCTGAGTCGACGAAGAGGACATCGTAGCCTTTCTTGAGGAGGTCGAGAATGTACCGCGGACGACGACGTACAAGTCGATTGTACTTTCGCGAGTGTAGCTTTAGGCTCTTCGATACAGTTACGCCAATGGGGGTTCTCTGGACGTGGAGTCCCGGTTGGGATTGGATTCTCTGGGTCAGGCGTTGATAAGACGGCTCGTCTTCGGCAATGACCGTGATGTTGGGGCAGGCCCGGGTCCGCTTGATGCTCTCCAGCATGTTTTCCGTCACGTCCAGGAAGCCAGCGTTGGTCGTGGTTAGCACGACTGTGGCCGATCGTCTCTCAATATCGGCCTGGGTGCATGCACTGTTTGCAGACCATGAGTTGTTGCTGCTTGGTATCACCGCGTGCCCCGCCAACGATGCACTAACGCCAGCAGCAGGTCTGGGAACGGTCAACCTGCTGCGTAAGTTCAAGCCGTCTATGTCGTTTAGCTTCCTGTGGTTGCCCATCAGCTCGAGACAGAAAACTGAGGAGGAAAATATGACTTCTATGATTAAAGTACCATCTTGAAAGAAGGAAATCAAACGTCAGGCTTTCTTAAGTCTCAAGACCCTCCGTTTAATTAAAGATTTCGCGCCCTGGGCCGATTTATTTGAAATAGGGGTGGTTATTTGTGTTACAGTCAATACTGACTTTTTAATGCACACAATTTTGCTAAAAATGAATGAATTTTGCCGATTGAAGGAAAGATATAATAAATGAAGCAGAATTATTTTTCAAAAAGTACTGTAACCTCTCGAAAGTGCAGCTCAGTTGATAGGCCTACTGACCTTTTGAGAAAACGTGCATGGCTTCTATTGATAATTCGCAGCCCTTCCTTAAAAAAAAAATCATTAATACGTTGGACTCCACCCTTTTGTGGTATAATACTTTGTCACTCGGCAACGGTAATTCTTATTCTCGTATATGAAACCGATTTGAAACTGAATGAAATTGGGTCAATTGGGAGCAGTATTTGAAGAGTCGTTTTTTATTGTCTAGATGGTTTGGTCCTTACCTTGGGCGTCGCCAGGATTTTTTTCTAGAGGGGGGCAAAATTCTTTTTGCCAACAAATGCTTGTATTTCTCAACACATTCTCGATTTATCAGCTTTAGAGGGAGGGCAGGGACATTTTGGCCCCCCCCCCCCTCAACTCATTAAATTTACACCACTTTGTCTTCGCGCCTCTTTTTCTTTTCTTTTCTTTTCTTCGGACTAATGAACTTTCGGATTAATGAACCTTCGGACTAAAGAACCTTCGGACTAAAGAACCTTCGGACTATTGGGCGGCCCCCGCTTGTTCCTACCATTTATTTACAATCTACAGGGTGAGTAAACGAAACCCAACTGTCGGGACCATTGTTTTAGTGAAGTTCTGCATGTAGCACTTTCAAAATCTAGGATATAAAAGCCTAATTCATAAGCTTTCTTTTATACAAAAATCATTTAAATCACTCATGTACCTTGTAAGTTACGGAATTTTAAACACAACCACCGTTTTAAAGTTCTGTCCACGGATTACTATAGAAAGATGTGCCTTCTTTCAGCAAAACGAAAACAATTCATACACATCCCTATGTGATTTGTTTTCGTTTTGCTGAAAGAACACTACCCTTTTTGTGATCCGTGGACAGAACTTTAAAACGGTGGTTGTGTTTAAAATTCCGTAACTTCCGAAAAGTACATGAGTGATTTGAATGATTCTTGTACTAAAAGAAAGCTTATGAATTGGGCTTTCATATCCTAGATTTTGAAAGTGCTACATGCAGAACTTCACTAAAACAATGGTCCCGACATTTGGGTTTCGGATTTTTTTACTCACCCCGTAGTAGAATTTTTCATAATATTTTGGCACTTAATTTTGACTGTGTCCATTTTAGCAATGAATTGAAAATTTTTAATATCATACGATCTAGTGTGGGTTAGTGGTTAGGGTTTGCGACTCATGATCATAGGATCTGGGGTTCGAATCCAGCTGCTGCTCATATGTCGTGTCGTGTGCCTCTCACCACCCAGGAGTATAAAGGGGGTATACCTGCATTATGGGGAGTAACCTGCGATGGACTAGCGGGATATCCCTTCCAAGGGAGAATTTAAATATGCTCAGTCGTGTTATGCTACTGAAACCGGAGATACAGACCAGCTTGATGGGCCATACTGGCTTGTTATTATTATTATTATTATTATTATTATTATTGTTTATTATTATTATTATTTATTCGGCCAACAAATGAACAAAAGTACAATGACAAAGCAAATATATATCAGAAAATAGTGAACAAAAAAATGGAAATTGAAAAGTATGACCTGACAAGACTAAAGACTGATGCAAATAGGAATGGGTTGGTGGGAGGGGGAGGGAAGGGAGGGTCAAGGGCGGATCCAGGGGGACCAAAGGGGGCCATGCCCCCGCCCCCCAAAAAACGAAACCAATTTTTTGTATATGTGACATCGCAATAAAGGCAGGCAATGAGTACACCACCATCTTTTCCTCAAAAAAACATTGGTTAAAGTGGTCAGAAATTGCCTCAGATCGCACCACAGAGCATCTAGAATCCAAAAAAATTTCGGGGCCCTTAAAGCCTTAAGCGGGCCCCGAACCCCACGCCATAATTTTTTGACCCACTTTTTGTGGGACCAATTTTTTTTTTTGCCCCCCAAAAAATTGTGTTCTGGATCCGCCCTTGGGGAGGGTAGACAGTTTGACAGGGGAGAGGAGATAGACGGACAGAAAACAAGAACATTATAACATTTCAAACCGGCCAGGGTAAACAAAGGCCTGCCTACCCATGCTCGAAATGTCTACACAGAAAATAAAAAGAATACAATGTAAACGCAACGCAACGCAACGCAACGCAACGCAACGCAACGCAACGCAACGCAAAGCAAAGCAAAGCAAAGCAAACAAAACAAAACAAAACACAAATACACACATTTAGTTAGAACAAAATGGACAGCAAATACAGTATAATCGCAAAAATGAACAACACAGACCAAAATATGAAGGTGCAACGAAATTGAAAAACATAAACCCACTGAAAGAAAGACATCACACGAGTATTAAACTGAGCATGTCAACAAACAAGAAACAAAAACTATACAAACTAACAACTATACAAACTGCCCAACAAATAAACAGGAAATGAGCAAACAAACAATAAAATCCCAACAAGCAAACAAGTAACCCATCAGACCGACACCCCAATAACCCCACAAATGCCCCCACAAGCAAAAAAAAACAAAATACACACACACCCCCACAACCCAACTAACAAACGAACACCCAAACAACCCAACAAACAAGCCCAAACAAAACATTGGGCAAAAAACAAAACAAAAAACAAACAAACAAACACCCCCAAACCCAACAAACAAACCAAAACAACCCAACAAACAAACACCCCCAAAACATACAAATGAAATGCTGCTTAAAAACAAACACACAAGCGAAACTAGAGATTTACACATAAATATACATATCAAGTGAGCACTATAGAAAAGTTATCCGAGAATTTCCTAATTTATGCTCGAACCCCAAACCCCACTTTGGACAACTCCATTAAGTTAACTTCTGCACACTCATGCACTCACCAACATACAGCAAGCAGCCACCGAACACTACGGTAAAGGCGAAAACATGCGACCTTCTACAAATCATAGCCTAGCTTCTATCGTCAAACTACTAAAAAGTGACCTGAAAATGGAAGATAGATGTACAATCTCTATCCACGATGTCCAATATGGTACCCGCGTTGATATTCTGTAATGGTCACTGTGCATTTAAGCTCGAGACAGCCAAGCATTGTATCCACGGAGCCAGTGTCCTGTATAGACTACACCCTACCCTAGTACTGTACGAATGTTTTGCTTCAGTGACCAGGCCCGGTTTGAAGGCCTCACTGCCCTCACATAGGATGGGATTGTGCCGTTGATGATACAAGCATGGAATTTGGCACAGTCAGTTGCCGTGTCACGCGTATACTACAATCCTGGCCAAATCTCGCTGGGCCCCCAAGCCCCCGGCCCCCGTTCAATGTTGTCTCTCATTGCGCGGTGTGTGCTCCATCAGCTGGAGCGCGGTGTGTGCTCCATCAGCTGCAGAGAACAACATTGACCGGGGGAGCGGGGGAGTGGGTGACCGTGGCAGGCTCAGGAAGTGTCCCAACCATTTTGGCCGGAATTGTAGCTGGTCGCATTTCTCGTCCACACAAAGTGACTGCAACGCGAGGCTAACAAGGCAGTAAATAAGGCGTCAGAAAATTCGCAATTTTCATGCCAAACCACAACACATCCATGCGAACAAAGCTGTTTTAGATACCGGTATAAAAGAAAAAGACCTACTACATACATCAAGTCCGTGGAACGAGGCCTTTTTTTTCGCTCGCCTGGTTCACCAAATTTTATAAAACTCCACAGACATGTAGATTATGGTGTACCCTTTTGAAAAAAACAACACTTTGTTCCCCGATCCACAGTTTGTTTAGGAATGAGAAAATACGGATAAAAACGCCGAAAATTCTACATGAGAAAAAAAAATAAGAAACAGCGCCCTCTATTGACAGTCAGAAACCTTATCGCACGCACAGGCCGTACGGGGGCCGAGTTCGGGCGGTCTGTTCTTGACGCGAGTATAATTTTTTTATTGTTCTGGCACTCGAACGGAGGGAACACAACCCACGAACACTGCGCTCGGAACATGATCACACACCGCCTATCCGTCGGGGTTTGCAAGAATGATGCCCATGTCAAGAACAAGACCCACCCATAGAGCTATATTACATTTAATATAGCTCTATGGACCCGCCCGAACTCGGCCAACAAACCATGAATCGGTTCTTAAAACAATATTCAAAATATTAAACACGGCCAAACGGTTTCAGCTGAAACAAAAAAAATGCAGTTGTAAGGACCAACAAAAAAAATCGGTCTCTGGTCAGACCAAAGTTCCGGAATTGATGCGGCGACGCGGCTTTTTTTTATTTCAAGCTTGGATTATCGATTGTACAGACAAGGTGGGGTACTATTTTGCTTTTTTTTTTTGGTGTCCTCGTGTACATTGGTGTCCTGCATAATTTGCCTTAGTGCGCTCAATCATTTGCCTTGGTGCATTTTCCAATTCCTTGATGCTCTTTGGTAAAAAAATTTGGGGAAGTGCGGCAATAGAGGGCGCTGTTGGAGCTACCGCGGAACATTTTGGAGGAAAAAAAAAGATTGACGCGCATGGTTAAAATCGACGCGCGCGCTGACCAGAGACCGACTATTTTTTTTTGGGACCTAATGCTGCCACTCAAAGCTTCGAATAGGGGAACATAAATTCATTTTCTCTTTAAAAAGATTGCAAACAGAAAGTGGGTCCTTCAATTTGATGAGGCTCTTGACATGTTACACAACAATCATGTAATCGGTCTGTGATCGGTCAGTTGAAATAAACGAGTACTGCTCATTCAGTAGATTGAACAAACTTATGTCATCTTAATACCATTCTTCTTGTGTGGGTACAAACTGTGCAGGTTTAAATTGCCCCCCCCCCCCCCACCACACAAAAATAAATAAATACATGATATAAAATTAGATTACATTTTATTTGCATTTCTTTTGGTGACACTTAAACCACATTGTGCCTGGAATAAAAAATACCAAAACCGTATTTGTAGTTATTGCAAAAAGTGTAATCAAAAGTAAAATCAACCTAAGTCATGTTTGAGAGCTTGAAATCATTTTTGGGTGGATTTTTCAATAAGATGCTTCGACTGATCTGGTACATGTATATACATGTAATCCCTTTATAAAATTCTGCGTCACTGCTATTGAAAAGAGGGGAAAGTCCGCATCTGCTGAAAAAGTTCAATTATGGCCATTTGTCTTTTCGATAAACCTTCCGCCCCCCCCCAAAAAAAAACACAAAAGAAAACAGGAGAACTGAAAGATGTTACCCTGAGATTCTCATCAGGGGTACTTTTTATTAACTATACAATCAATGTTTATGTAACTAATACATAACATTCGATCTTAAGACTTGATCAATTTAAAGGGAATGTACATCGTTGGCTTTTGTTGTAATTTTCAGAAATGAACTATTTGAGGGGTTAGTATAATAGATCAAATATTGTTTAACTGACATGTTTGAAGTTTCGTGTTCGAAAATGCTTGAAAAACCAAGAAAAACAAAAATGTTTAAGTAGTCTGGTTCCCTGACTCCACTAAAGATAAAATGGATCAATTTATAGATGTCGGGAAATTGTAAGGTAAGGGAACCAGTCTAGCTGACCTGCACCCGTTCATGAACATGTAACCAATAGCAAACAAAATGTGGACTGAAAAAATTGTAAATTTGGAGCAGTAGTTGAACAATAGCTAGGTTTTTCCAACGGTGGTCGGTCGACATGGGATAAAACCACACTGCAGATATTGGTTGCTGTTATGGAAAGGTACTGGGAAAATATAATAAGGTATATATTCTGAAACAAGCCATGGGAAAACCCCATGGTGAAAAAGTCCCATGTGGTACATTAATTCTATGGGAAAAGTTAATTAAGTTTCAATACCTTTTCACTTATGGACAATTAGACACAAAATATGTACATAACCGTGCGTTCATATGAACCAAAAACCGAATTCTTTCAATTTCGCCACTTTCGCATCGTGGCCGAAAATGAAACTCAGATGCAAAACGGTCGTGTCACTGTGCGCCTCTCTCCAACCCGCTTGTCGAAAATACTTCTTCCCATCCGGGTAGTTGGTCTCATTAAGTGTCTTTATTTTCAGCTTCGGGATTAGCTTCCTCGAGATTAACTTGTTCATGGTTGTTTGTTCACCGGTTTTTGGGTGTTTTTTCTTGTCCAACAAACGCAACCATTCCGTAACAAGACGTAAAGTATTCTCCGTTGGTCGGTAGTAGGCAAAACCAACACAGAACTCTGCTATGTTTACTTGCTGGTTGTGCATAGCGATATCAAAGCTCTCTTGAAAGTCCTTGAATGGGTCTTTAAACCAAACGTTATCTGAGTCGAGGAAGAGGACATCGTAGCCTTTCTTGAGGAGGTTAAGAATGTACTGCGGGCGACGACGTACAAGTCGATTGAAGTCTCGCGAGTGCAGCTTTGTGCTCTTCCATACAGTGGCAACTAAGGGTGATCTCTGGACGTGGAGTCCCGGTTGGGATTGGATTCTCTGGGTCAGGCGTTGATAAGACGGCTCATCTTCGGCAATGACCGTGATGTTGGGGCAGGCCCGTGTCCGCTTGATGCTCTCCAGCATGTTTTCCGTCACGTCCAGGTAGCCAGCGTTGGTCGTGGTTAGCACGACTGTGGCCGATCGTCTCTCAATGTCGGCCTGGGTGCATGCACTGTTTGCAGACCATGAGTTGTTGCTGCTCGGTATCACCGCGTGCCCCGCCAACGATGCACTAACGCCAGCAGCAGGTCTGGGAACGGTCAACCTGCTGCGTAAGCTCAAGCCTTCTATGTCGTTTAGCTCCCTGTGATTGCCCATCAGCTCGAGATAGAAAACTGAAGAGGAAAATAGTGACTTCTAATGGATTATACCATCTTGAAAGGAGGAAATCAAACGTCAGGCTTTCAAAATTCACAAGGCAAATTATTTTATGAAAGATATTGCGCCCTGGGGCCGATTTATTTGAAATGGGGTGGCTCATTTTGGACACCATTTGCAACTAAAAAAGAGACATATTGTAACAATCCGATCCCTTGTGTCGATCCCTTTTCCACGGTGGAGCCGTGCTAGCGGCCCCCTGCCGGCTGACTGGGACCGCCGTTACAATATTGTTGCCGATTCAAGGAACGATGTTATAAATGAAGCATAGTTATGTTTAATTGCAGCTCAGTTAATGTACTTTAAAAAAATGTTCAAATGCATGGTTTCTGTTGAAAGCTCTTCCTTTCAAAATGTTCACTACACAGGGTGAGTAAAAAAGCGAAACCCACATGTCGGGCCCATAGTTTTTGTGAAGTGCTGCATGTAGCACTTTCAAAGTATAGTATATGAAAGCCCAATTCATAAGGTTTTTTTTAATACAAGAATCATTCAAATCACTTATGTAATTTACAAGTTACGGAATTTTAAACACAACCACCGTTTTAAAGTTATGTCCGCAGATCACAAAAAGGCAAGTATGGCCAAAAAAAAAAAGTCTCCGGTTTCTGGTATGCGCGCGCGTCGCCGTAGCCATGCGCGTCGGCAAAATGAAAAAGTTTTTTTTTCAATGAAAGATGATGTCTCAAAACCGCCAAATTCACTGGTTTGACTGGAATCCTGCTGCTGCACAATTTTAACGTGTTTTTAGATGGGGTTATGATCGAGAATAAGCTTTATGTGGCCTCTCTGGACTCCCATGTATTTGCACTAAGTCTAGTCGGGCACTATTTGCAGTCATCAGCCGACATTTGAGGCAAAACAATCAGGTAAAAAAAAAAAAAAAGCCGCGTCGCCGCACCACTTTTTGGGCAAGCTCCATACCAGAAACCGGAGACTTTTTTGGGGGGCCTATTGTTTCAGCAAAACGAAAACAAATCACATAGGGATGTGTGTGTACATTGTTTTCGTTTTGCTGCAAGAACGCACACTTTTTTGTGATCCGCGGACAGAACTTTCAGTAGTGGTTGTGTTTAAAATTCCGTAACTTGCAAAGGACATAAGTGATTTGAATGATTCTTGTACTAAAAGAAAGCTTACGAATTGGGCTCTCATATCCTATATTTTGAAAGCGCTCAACGCATAATTTCACTAAAACAACAGTCCAAGCATTTGGGTTTCGGGTGTTTTTTTTACTCACCCTGTATACCGGTAATACGTTTTGACTTACATCCTCTTGTAGTCAGTTGGCATACGATTGGAATCGTGACCGACTGGTCCATAGCACCAAACTTGGCAGATAGATTCTTATAGCCCCAGAGAAGATATTTAGAAGGAGGTACACCTGAAATTCTTTTGGGAAGAGTGCCTAATTTGCATAAAGCGTTAATCCCTGCCGTGTAATATATTTATTCCCATATTTGGGTAGATGTTTAATTATCATATTTTTTGAAAAGTATATTTTGGGGATTTTACTTACATATCATTACTTAAATTACATTTTCTAAAGAATATCGGAGACTTGAAGATTATGAGGACATAACAAAGATCCAAAATGGCTACCATTATACCCTAAAGTTGCGCGCATTTCCTTTTCCCTCGGATATCACCAAGTAGTCTTGCCAAACCTCGGTATTGATGACCTTTAAATTCACAAAATTACTTAATGACACAGTTATCCTAACAAAAATAAATGGGAAAATCATGTGGAAAATTATATCATCTTGATATTTAGCCCACAAAAACAAAAAGGGGGGAAAATGAGGTGTCCGTAAATTGGGCTAAAAATTACGCGAAGCCAGTAAGCAACTTCGTGAATTTGAAGCTCATCAATACTAGGGTTTGGCAAGACTACTTGATGATATCTAGAGACAAGATTAATGCGCGCAAGTTTAGAGTAAAAAAGTAGCCATTTTGGATCGTTACTAGGTCCTCATAATTATCCAGTCAGTCTTAAGTGCTTTAGAAAATGTTATTGAAGTAAGGATGTGTAAGTAGAATCACCAAAAATATACTTTTCAAAAAGTAAAAAAAAATAATAACGTACTTAAATATGGGAATAAATATATTACACGATAGGGATTAACGATTTATGCAAATTAAGCACCCTTCCCAAAAGAATTTCGGGTGTCACCCCTTCTAAATATCTTCTCTAAGGCTATACAAATATATCTGCTAAGTTTGGTGCTTTGGACCAGTCGGTCACGATCTTGTCAAAAATTGGGTCTAAGCCACCTGACTATTGTGGTATGATCCCAAATTGTCGCTCTGCAAAGTAATTCCTAATCTCGTATATGAAACCGATTGCAAACTAAAAGTCAGGTTGGCGTAGCGGTACTTTCCTCACCTTCCACCGCTGTGACCCGGATTCGATACCCGCCTGGGCCAATATGTGGATTGGGTTTTCAGTCCCTGCCTGATTCTGCTGGATTTCCCTAGAATATCATTCTACGGTTTTCCGCCCACCACTAAAACTGTTTATCTTCTCATTGTCTCCTCTCTACAGGTTTCTTCAGGCTTGCGAGCTACATGTGCCTGCACCCGATTTCACCAAACTCTTCGTAACTTACGATGCATCGCAGCGCTGCGACGCGTCGTATCTCTACGATGCGTCGCAGCTGCGACGCGTCCTGCGATCCATTTCACTAAACACGTCGTAAGTGCGACGCGTCGTATGTGTATTTATAGCACAACTCGGTGACTGTTTTATGTCTTTAGTCAGCGTACAGTAAATAGTCGTCTGATATTCAACAAAGAGTCGTCGGATCTCAGCTCGAAATTTGTTAAAACGTAAAACAAAATGGCGGCCGTGCGATGCAATTTTGAAGAAAAACAAGCTCTCATTGGACTGTATAGCTACTTTGAAATTTCAACTCCAATATTCCGGTCTAAGTCATAATTATTCAATGAATTTTCTATTTACAACTTTACACACATTGCCTCGGTATTATAATCTCGTTAATGTAATGTTTGTGGCATAAAACTGGCTTTGAAATGACTCTTCTTATTTCGCGACGACCACTAGACACGTCGTAACTTGCGACGTGTTTTAAGCCGTTGTCAAGGAACTTACGAAGCGTTCAACACATCGCAACTTTCGTGAAATGGAAGATACGACGCGTCGCGAGTTGCGACGTGTTACACGTCGTAACTCGAGTTGCGACGCGTCGCAGCGCTTCGTGAAATCGGTTGCTGGGGTGATTTTGAGGATCTCCGTGGTTTCATTACCAGATATGATTAGTAATAATAATAAAATTAAATTCGGTCAGTCCATTTTGTCAATGAACTAAGATTTTTAGTATCGTACGATGATCTTACGTCAGGAAAGGGCACTTGATTTTTTTGGCTTTTTTGCTTTTTTAATTCAGTGAGCACAATTGCCCTTGTTGTATGGTTATTCCTTTCATAACATACACATTTTAATGGAGTTTGGCTAAGATTGATTTTGCAATGAAAACAAAATGACGATGTTACTTAATGAAATAATTGTTGCATTTGCGTTCGGTCCCCGGCTTAGACCCCACTGCGCCTCTGCACAGAGTTCTATTTCAATTTCAATTAAGTTTTTATTTCATAACTCCTATAATGAACACAAATAAAGTACGTAACCTAATAGTAGATAAACAAAATATAATAGTAAATGACAAAGATGAATAACAAAGTTACAACTCTTGTCAAGTCCAACTTCTGCACATTGAAAACTTGTGAAGTACATGTACTCACCAACATACACCAGCAAGCAGCAACCGGACACTAAGGTAAAGGCGAAGGTATGTGACCTCTTAAAGGACATGGTTCACTCTATCGTCAATCTACTAACAAGTGACATGAAATATAAGACAGATATGTACACTCTATCTGCCACTCTGGTTTGGCCGTGTAATACCCTGAACTGCGCCTGCGATTGACGAGCGTTGAAGTTTTTGTTCCCGTTCATGCATGGCTGACTATTGTTAAGCAGACCAGTCTGTACTTACGATTGTATGACACCATGCATGCATGTCCCCTGACCGTACCCTCTGGAGACGGTGTGTACAATAGGCAACAAAAGATTGTATGCGGTTTCCACAGTGCAATTTCTATAGATGAATACGTCTCCACAAGGTTTTCCCGAAATAGATATATGGGTTTTACTCAACAACTAGGAATTTCTAAGGTATGTGGATCCATCGCAAATGGTAGAGTTTTAGAAAGGGGATACTAAGTCCGAATATCAGCCAAGGAAATTAATTCTGGTTAAAATAAGAGCATTTTGAAATTGTACTTTCAAACTCGAAAACTTTAGTAGACGAGAACAAAGAAGTCACTTGTATCCACAAGGATACAAATTTTAGTATTGGTGGTGTTGTCGTCAGCTACGCTCGTGTGCGTGGGTGGGTGCCTGTGTGTGTGTTGGGGATGGGCTCGTACCATACTTTCAATGGGAGTGCTGTTCAACTTGATCCGAAGATCGTGAACACTATAGAATAGTATACAAATACCCCGTGACCCAGCTGGCTCTGTGCGAATGTTGTGCACAGGTGGACATTATTACCAGTATAATTGTCATATTTTTTTAGTGTCACAGCAGGGGGGTGTCATATAAATTTAATATTTTTGTATTATTTATTTATTTTTTGTAGTCACACTGATTTTGATAAGGTCAATTAAAATTGCTGACATATTCACACATACATGTGTATTTGCCTGCAATCGGGCACCCCTATTGTCCCTCTTTTGTTTGTACTTTAACTTTTTGGAACAAAAGTGGCATTTTGAAGATTAAACATGATAAATAACGGCAATCAGAGTATACAAAGTTCGTTGACCTCGCAAAGGCCATCAGAGGTCAAATATGAAATGTCAACATATGTGAATATTCATATCACGGCAACAATACCCAAAATTAAGATATGGGTAATAAAAAAGTGGTGTTTTGAATTGTTAATCCTCTTATTATCTATAAATAGGATACGCAAAGTTCATTGACCCCTTGAAGGCCATCAGAGGTTAGATATACAATTCCCTACATATGAAATTCTTTTCATAAAATGAGCCACTTAACATTATGACATGGGTTTTGAAAAAGTTGAGGTTTAAGGGGTAAATCGTATAAATAACTATAAATAAAGTATACTGCGGTTAATACAAAGGTCATTGACCTCTGGAAGGCCATCAGATATCAATTGTAAAACTTTCCGGTGTAGCGTGAATTTACGTTTCTATGAAATTCGGACTCATTGGTAATAACGCGCATGCGTAAGTATGGTAATTAGGAAAGTGACCGGTCACGTGAGAGGGATTAACCAACAATAGGGAAAAGGGGTCCGATTTTTATAGGAGTCGGATTTTCATGTGACACCGGCATTTGGTCGTTATTTCCATTGTATGAAGACTATACACTGTCTTGGGTCATATAGGAAGTGAGGGTCTCAAGAACAACATGTATATGACGTCACCACACCGTAAATAAGGTGTACGTGTACATAAAATGCATACTGAAATTTATCAAACCCCAATTTAAGATGCATTATATTTTCAGATTAAAAGAAGTGGTTCAACTGGAAAGGCTGAATTTCGTGATTCTTTTTCTGTTTGACATAACTATTCACAGCTTAACTGTACAATGTCCAATGACATAGTTGCGAGCCCGATCACCCTGCGTTTGAAAATAACGCAACAAACGCGAATGTCTGTTTCATTGGTAATCTGTGGATTTTTCTGTGCAGAAGCCCTACGTCATTTGTTTGGTTTAAAAGGGCACTGACAGGAACTGAAGGTTCTTCCACGCCACCATCGAAACCATTCTCCTCTACGGGTGCGAGGCATGGACCCTCACTAGGTCCTTAGTCAAGTCCCTTGATGGGTACTATACAAGGATGATCCGAGCTGTCCTTAATGTCAGCTGGAGGACGTACACAACCCACAAGGAGCTGTATGGTGATCTTCCCCAGGGTGTCCATCAAGATCCAGGAGCGGAGAATGCGCCTCGCTGGTCACTGCTACCGGCATCCTGAGCTGCCAGTAAACAAGGTCGAGGCCTCTCACGGCAAGCCGTCCTGGGGGAGACCAGCGAAGACCATGGTCAAGGTCCCGATGGAAGACGCAGAAGTTGACACAAAGAAAGAGCTGACCAGCTGTATGGGCGAGCATGACGTGTGTTATGTCAGGCATGGTGCTCGTCTCAAGCCACGCCTGTTTGAGTCGACTGACTGACTGACTGACTCCCCGACTGACTCCCCAACTGACATGAACTGAAACGGGGTGTGCTAGGACAAACGAGAGGGCAAACTTTCCCCTTTCATGTGTCTTAAACGGTTATCAGGCATGGTGCTCGTCTCAAGCCACGCCTGTTTGAGTCGACTGACTGACTGACTGACTCCCCGACTGACTCCCCGACTCCCCAACTGACTGACTCCCCGACTCCCCGACTCCCCGACTGATGACTGACCGACTGACATGAACTGAAACGGGGGTGTGCTAGGACAAATGAGAGGGCAAACTTTCCCCATCCACGTGTCTTAAACATGACTCCTTTCCTGACGAGAAATCATGCAATAATCCTTTTTCATTGCTGTATCGATCTTTCTTTGCCAACCGTTATTCGGACTTTTTGACAATCAAGGATTGGCAAACTATGGAAGGTCAGCGTTGTAAAATCAAACAATAGCTAAAATAATGTTTCCAAAACATTGCCATTGGATTGTTTAATATACAAAATAACCAACATATTCTACCAAAGACTTGTATTAAAAATGCTTCTCTATTACTTAATGCAAGTTCTGGCAAAATTCGTTGCCAACCACGGCAACTGCGTTCATATTAGCCAAAAACCGAATTCTTTCAATTTCGCCACTTTCGCATCGTGGTTCAAGACGAAAGTCAGATGCAAAACGGTCGTGTCACTGTGCGCCTCTCTCCATCCCGCTTGTCAAAAATACTTCTTCCCGTCCGGGTAGTTGGTCTCATTAAGTGTCTTTATTTTCAGCCTCGGGAAGAGCTTCCTCGATATCAACTGGTTCATAATTATCTGGTCCGCGGAATGTTTGTTTTTGTCCAACGAATGCACCCATTCCGTAACGAAACGTATGCTATTCTCCGTTGGTCGGTAGTAGGCAAAACCGTCACAGAAGGCTGCTACGTCTACTTTCTCGTTATGCATAGCGATGTCGAAATCCCCTTGAAAGTCTTTGAATGGGTCTCTGAACCAAAAGGTATCTGAGTCGACGAAGAGGACATCGTAACCTTTCTCGAGGAGCTTGAGAACGTACCACGGACGACGACTTACAAGTCGATTGTAGTCTGGCGAGTGTAGCTTTAGGCTCTTCGATTCAGTGGCACCTAAGGGTGATCTCTGGACGTGGAGTCCCGGTTGGGATTGGATTCTCTGGGTCAGGCGTTGATAAGACGGCTCGTCTTCGGCAATGACCGTGATGTTGGGGCAGGCCCGGGTCCGCTTGATGCTCTCCAGCATGTTTTCCGTCACGTCCAGGTAGCCAGCGTTGGTCGTGGTTAGCACGACTGTGGCCGATCGTCTCTCAATGTCAGCCGGGCTGCAAAACAAGGAAGTTGTCGAAGATGCACTGATAACTGTCGATCCCTGCACGGACGCATTTCCCATTTTTCCCGTGGTAGCATTACCTACTAGTTTTCTTTTGATGATTTGTGGACCGTTGTCGATCTTGCCAGAAGAAAGTGTGGAGTTTGCGTTGGTTCCTTGTTCACTGCCGAGTTCTATGACGGCACCAGACGACACCCATGACTTGTCGACGACGACTTGTGGGTAGGGACGTTGCTGCAATTGTTGTTTGCTCGATGAGTGAAAAGCCACGTATCCTGAAAGAAAGGAAAAACACCTTGATTTCATATATTCGTCAAATGATTGGGGGCTGTTACTTAACTTGCTGACTTGGAAGACGGATATCTTTCAACTTACTAATCTAACAGATGTGTATTCAAGTGAAAAACAAGCCAATCACAGCTCAATCATGATACGTCGAATCACAAATTGGTAATGAGCAGCAGGGAACGGAAAATGAACAGTTTGTCACTCGACTTGAGACATACTGACTTGTACTTCACTTATGCTTTTGGAGAACATGGCTGTAATGAGAGACTTTATATCGAAACTCATTCCTTGAGAGCTAAGAGGGGAGCGACAAAATGTAGACAAGCTATAGTATCATTTTTGGAGTGATTTTGTTTACGATCTTGATGGAGGTTAGAGAATACGCGACTCCAATTCAAATGTCTTTAATACAAGAAATACGTTTTTACAAATGAAAAAGTATTAGAATATACCAAAAAGTCCATCCTGGCTTAAATGCATAATTATACGACAATTTGCATTGAAACCTACCGAATTATTATCAAAAAGCTTACTTTGATTAAAGATTATACTGGTACTAAGCACCCCGTGACATTATCCGAATGGCTTGCTGTCAGTTAGAAGAAATTAAGAAATGTAGGTAATTTCCAACGATCAGTCAACTGACTGATTTCTGAAACTAGAGAGTGCTGTAGATGTAATCGTATTTCGTGATAAAAAAGGTTGTGCATGGTGTTTCACTTCTTTTTTGGGGAGAGGAGGGGTTTAAAGGTGTAATATCCATCGAGTTGTGACTTTAACAGGTTAGTTTTTAGTATCTTCTTTTGATCTTGAGTGGTGTCATTATTGGAAAATGACCAAAATGCATGAAACAAATATGATCTTACATACCTTTAATTTATCTTAAAATTGATAACATTATTGTGCATACCAATTCGTTTGCTTAGTAGTTGCAAAGGCATTCCGTCAGCCACGATACCAAAACTAGATATTTCACAATTGGACAACCTGTAGGCTGTTAGGCTGTACAGAACAGGTGCCTATGGGAAATGTACAGTCAAACCTATACATACTTACCAACAAGGACAGAGCAGCAACAAAGGATCAAACATGCCACGAGACGTCTTTTCTGTCTGCTCAGCGACATCGTAATAATTATACGCACGACCAATGTCAAATTCTCAAGTCAAGAGTGTTAGTTTTTACTGAGCTGTCGAAGAAGTGCAGGCTTTCCTCCCTTGAAGCGTCTGTAATACAACGCGGCAAGTTCATGGACACACCATACATGCACTTTTAATAAATCGAATTACGATACGACTTTTCGATCCAAGCAATTGATTGCCTTAAATAATAAAATAGTCGAAGCCTTGGTTTGTTGCGGGAGACAATTGTGGAGTAATCCCAACTACTGTAGAAGGTAGCAAAGATCACTACAGCTAAAAACGGACTAAGCCGTGTACTTCACTTGCCTAGATATAACAATCTACGCGTTAATATGACCCCTGGACTTTGAATTGTTTTTCCCACCTGCGACCAATCCAATGGGAATCGTGATTATGTTTGACTTTGAACGTATCGAGCGATTTGGGCTCGATGCGTTCCTATAGTCCGCATAATTACTGTTCCTAATATTGATTGTAAGCTACGAAAGTGATGAGAAAATCATTGAAAACCATAGGAAGTTCAAAGTCCAGGGATCACATTATAGCGGGTAGATCATTTTACGGTTAAAGGGACACTGCGTCCTGGAACAGCCCAATTGGGATACAAAACGCGCTTTGAACGAAATGGTGTCAATCGGAAAGAACATCTAAAAGTAGGATATAAACATCCACACAGCTATCCTTTAAAAACTGGGCGTTTTTGTGTTATTCCCGTATTATGCGTGCGAGAACGACTTTCGGGCTCCACTTTTGCGACCCCAAAAAGTCGAGCTGTTTGGGTGCTAGTTGTGATTTCATCCGTAAAGTGTTCACCTTTTGCGGACGTGTAAGAAACCTTATTTTGTGCATTGGTGATTGGTCGCCGCTAGCTGTTCGCGATCACGCACGGTGCTGTTGTGTAGCCGGGCACATGACACGAGGTGTATATCTTACATTGACAACAACCGGATTTTTTTTTCGTATTTTCTCAGGAACGGTATGACTTTAGGTTGGTTTCCTTTCAACCAGATGCTTGAAAATGGATAAGTAAACAATCCAAAACATAAAATTTTCGAGGATTTCAGGACCTAGTGCCCTTTTTATCTTTCACAACATTTGTTTTCACTTTTCAGCTACGGGGAAGTTCGCCGCGCCGAGTTAAAGGTAGAGTACATCATTTTGTCATGTGTGCATTTTGTTTTCGTTTGAAGCAACATCAGTGCTCAAAATATAAAGAAAGATGCTTAACAACAACCAACCAGGTGAAATTTTAGCTCAGTGAATGCTGTATATTCCGAGAAAACAATATTCTAGGATCTCGATTTCATTTCAAAAGTTGCTGAGTCATTTTTGAATTGCGCCCGAAATCAGCGTCCGGGACACGTTCTCATTCAGCCGATAGCAGCTACGTACGCGATGTAACGCACTGAACCTACGAATTATAGCAACCGCGCGCGTGTGTTCGTCGTGTCAACGCTTGGGCGGGCGCACCCATTCACAGCTTCACCGACTTTAAACGGACATTTCCAAAAATGTGTCTAGAGAGGCATCTTTAGAAACAAAATTCTTTAATTGTTTTCGTTTTCTGCTAAATAACTGCGTGCCAGGAGGAATAATTTCACAGGGAGTTTAGTGCCATTGCTCCTTTAAACAATACTAATCGTCAGTTACTTTTTTGATAGCTAACTGCAAATGATACTCTACCTTTAAACAGCCAATTGCCGATTAGTGACCTTGAAAATAAAAGGTAAAGCTAGCAGGGTTCGACTTTAGCGGTAGCCCGTTAGCCGGCTGGCGAGTCAAATATTATTGAGCTACGGCAAAGATGAAAGGGCAGGAAGAAATAAATCATTAAATATCAGAAAGCAAACCTGTATCAATGTGTGGCTAATTTTATTAAATGTTTAGGGTTAAATTATTAGATGTAACATTGGCTCAGGATACACGTTTACATGTGCGCACATTGTTGTTCATGAGACACTCTATAAAAGAAAAACATGCCGGCCAGGGGAAATACCCGCGGGCTAGTTAAGAGTCTGTTTCAGTAGCCTGGCTGGCTAGTGAAAAAATAGTTAATGTCGAACCCTGGGTGAAGTAACAGCAAAATTGTCATTATATTTTGTAGCCAAAAATACGATAGCAGAAATAATTACAATTCAATTCAATTCAAGAAGACATTTATTCCATACTCCTTTTGGAAAATACATCGATAATTAAAGAAAGTGAGTACATTAGGAAAATAACAACATCGATATATACCGAATATAATAAACAAAAATAATCAATCTGTACAAGAGAAAAGAAAGAGCATGAGATTGTCCATTGAAGACGACAGCAAAAGAATACAAAGAAGGAATGTAATAATCTCGTCAGTGACACCACGAAGTAACATCCAAGTAGACTGGCTTTAGTGCTCGCTACGCGCGCGTGTTTTCGTTTTAACGAAGCAACACTCCTCTTTATTTCACTAGTTTGAAGGCTTTTTATTAAAATCGTCTGTAATCCTACAAGAATAGTTATTAATTACATTCCTCGTCAAACGTTTTAAAACGCTTATACCCACATAGTATTTCCGTAACAGTGTGAAAACGAAAATCGTTCCCGCCAGTGTCCGATGTGCGCGCACACTTTAATGTTACTTCGTGAAACCAACAATTGTCGTTTAGCAGTTTGCACGAAGTAACACTTAAGAGGGATTCGGTGTTACTTCGTGGTGTCGGTGATTCTGATGACGACGATAATGGTTACGTTTGTTTGGAAACTCCGTAGAAAAATCCGGTGACAACAGCATGCGCAAACTATGACATGATATTGTGTATACGTAACAATAACCAGCGTACCATTGTTTTTCCATATCTATGGATATAATGCAACGCGCGCAGTGAAAACAAGTGGAACAAAACAATGCATTCTTTAGAGCGCGCGCGCGTTTGCGCTTTGGCAACAAGTTTCAAAACCTACACTCAATGCAATTTTATTTTGCGGTGCTGCCGTGTAGCGGCTCAGCAAGACGCCGGAAAATCTGCAGGTAATAATCCAACTTTACGATCGGAAAACAATTGAGAGAATCTTAACAAACTTTTTGGATGGCAGTTCAACTTGGTGCCTCGTTCTATGTAGCTGTTTTAGCGGTAGTAGCGGCGCAGTTTCTGAGGGTGACATGGGGGTCGGCCCCGGCCCATGATGTAGCGGGCCACCCGGTGACTGCAGGGCCCGGGGTCACCAATGGCACCGTGGGGAACGGGACGGCTACGGAAATCCACGCACACCCACCGCCCTATGAAATCGTCTTCCTCTTCGGATCATGCGTATTTGGAGGTAAAATGGCGGTTTTTGGTATTTTTACCGAATAAGTTAATGGTTCAATGGTAATACTTATCTTAAGGACCCCGTTCCTACATGTCCTATTATAAGACTCACAAAAACTCCTGACTAAATGACACTCAACACTAATATTTCTTGACGTCTGAACAGCTGGTATAATGACACCTTCTTGAATATTGGCAGTTTTAATTTTGTGTGAAGAGGGCAAATTTACGAGGGAAAATACGAAGTAAAAGATGACAACCAGGAAAAAAGGCTCAAAAGCCAAGATGGCAACTTTGAAATCTCGGTGTAATGAAAGCTGCTGATTGACTGATGACAAAAAAACCAAAACTTTCCAGTTTTTCTATCAGCCAATCAGCATCAGGCTTTCATTGTGTCGGGCTTTCACACGTGTTGTGAGAACTACCACTGACTACATGTACAACGTGCAGGTCTCACATCTCTGACTGCAAAAAAGTGGCAAAGTCACATTTTCTTTGAAAGTGCGTTTCAAAATTACAACAAACATGAGTTAATCTGAAGAAAAAAGACTGCTTTAGCCTGCAATAGTCATTTTTGGTACTGGACGATAACCTGCAAAATTGAGTTTTGAATAGAACTCATAAAACATAGCGGTGTCCTAAAGATAAGGATTACCGATTCAATTATTAAAGCTATATATAGACTTAAAAATAGACCTACGTATTGGTTAGGATCGGGAAGAGACTGTGAATCTTACGACTCAGCTCTGCTCTGTTCTGCTCTTCAGTAATTTATCTTGCTAATGCTGGAAACACAGGCCTGCAGAAGGGAGGTTCATTGTCGTAGCATTGATAATGTTAATGTGTAGTGAATGGAACCCTTAAACTTAGTTCAAAAGTCAGGGGACACAAGCCTTCGCAGTAAAAACAATACTGCTCTCCGAATTACAAACCAACCAAATCATTTTGAAGACAATCCCACTCTTTGCTATATCTGCTGGGGCCAATTTCATACAGCTGCTCGCTTCAAAAAAATGCTTAGCACAAAAAAGTCTTGCTTAGTAAAAGCAGGCTACCAGCCAAAACTCCATGTGATTTTCATGCTAAGCAAACAACAGCTGAGTACCAGTCACAAGCAATAAACATCACAAGGAAATTTGGTTGGTAATCCTGCTTCTATCAAGGACGAATTTTCATGCTAAGCAAATTGTTGTGCTTAGCAGCTCCATTGAATTGGCCCCTGCACATTTTGTCCCTTGAATTACTACAAGCTCAGCTCAGTTGTACAAGAATCATTCAAATCACTTATGTACTTTTCAAGTTAGGGAGTTTTAAACACAACCACCGTTTTAAAGCTCTGTCCATGGATCACTTAAAAGGTGTGTGTGTTTTTCAGGAAAACGAAAACAATTCACACACATCCTTATGTGATTCGTTTTCGATTTGCTGAAAAAAAAACTGAACTTTTTGTGATCCGTGGACAGAACCTTAAGACGGTGGTCATGTGTTTAAAACTCCGTAACTTGAAAAGTACTTAAGTGATTTGAATGATTCTTGTACTAAAAGAAAGCTTATGATTTGGGCTTTCATATCCTTGATTTTAAAAGTGCTACTTGCAAAACTTCACCAAAACATTGGTTCCGACAGTTGGGTTTCGGTTTTTTTTACTCACCCTGTATCAATGCATTTGTGTACAGGCCAGTATCAATGCGTTTGTGTAGGCCCTTTGCAATTCGCTAGTTAGGCTCCGATACCTTAAAATGATAGGTCAATCAACAGTAGCCGCCAATATTATAATTAGATCGATCTCTGGATCCTTGCAGCTCTTGTACGGACGCTTCTCCAGAAGGTACCGGTCCCTTACACAGTGGTCCTGCTCATTCTGGGGGTCGGGCTAGGCTTGCTGTCGGATAAGGTCCCTGAGATCGGCGACTACACCACATCGGTGGCCCACATGGACCCCCACCTGCTCCTCCACGTCTTCTTGCCCGTGCTCATCTTCGAGTCGGCCTTCGCCATGGACGTGCACACCTTCGTCAAGAGCTTCGTGCAGGTAACACTGATCTCCGAGGGCAGGTAAAATGTAGAGGGCGCCATTAAGTGTTCCAATTCCGGTGTCCTATATGAAAGATGGACTCATGAAATCTGGTCTCTTTTCCCTTGTGAGGATTCTTATCCTCGCACGTGACCTGTTTCATAGGCAGCGCGATACAATCCCGGTGTCATGAAATTTGGATTTCAATGAAATCTAGTCTCGTTTCCTTATAAGGATTCTAAGGCCAAAAAAAGTCTCCGTTTTCTGGTATGGAGCTTGCCCCAAAGGTGGTGCGGCGACGTGGGTTGTTTCCCCCCCCCCCCCTAGTTTTTTTTTCTTCAAATGTCGGCTGATGATGCAGATGACGCTTCGATCCCCTTAAACCTCTCAAAAATATCCTTCATGGTGGAGCTTGAGGTGACCTCAGTCAGGCCATAAGGCTTGAGAATTCTGCACCCACTTCTCGACCGACACAAACATACTTTGGGAAATTTGGATAGTCCGGAGTAAATCAGGGAAAACGGTATTAACGTCGGACCATACAGCGACATCGACATCTTGCTGTTCGTGCATGAGCTGCCAGGCTGGTCATTAGTCTGCCCCCTTACATATTGTACTAATTAAAAAAGGTTTCCACGTTCCAGATATACGACCATCGCTCCCTCAGTCTGGCTTCCAGACGCACAATTACAAAATTACAACACCGTCTGCAAAAGGTGCCCGACTTTATTTAGTGCAAAATATATGGGAGCCAAGAGATAAAGCTTAAACTCGATCGTAACCCCATCTAAAAACACGTTAAAATTATGCAACAGCAGGATTCCAGTCAAACCAGTGAGTTTGGCGTTTTTGAGACATCATCTTACATTGAAAAAAAGCGCGCGCGCACGCATCCCAGAAACCGGAGTCTTTTTTTTTGGACTAACCCCCACACGCGACCCATCGCTGTCCAAAATATCTTCACTTAGGCATGCGCAATACAACCAAGGACTCTGCATGTTAGGGAGCACACATCAATGATGTTAAACTTTGGCCTCATATAACAGTTTTGATGTTTTAGAAAGCACCCCCTCTCAAAAAAACAAAAAACACGGACCTTAATAAAATCATTTGAAGTGAAGCTGAGGTGTCAGAAAACTCATCCAGACGGACAAGGCGACATTTTACATTTTCTAAAATGGATATTTACACAAAAATTAGTCGTACAGGCTACCTTAAAGAGAGATTTCCCTTAAAGGTTTAGGAAAAAAATTAGTCAAGTTACTGATCGTTGAAAATCACCTGCACTTCTTGATTTCTTCTAAATGACAGCAGTAGGGCTATTTGATAAGAATTCGGTAGGTTACTTTTGGGGAAAATGCAAACGATCATATATAGAGTAATAGCTTGTGAGTTGACGTTGGACTGGGTGACTTCTGATTGACTTCTGATGACTTGTGATCCATCGGAAGTAGGAATGCCTCGACTACCGTCCACTGCATATCCTTGCCGTTCCGTGTGAGAGTGTGGCCTAATAGTTAGGGCTCGTGACTCATAATCAGAGGGTCAGGGGTGCGAATCCAGCTGCTGGATTATGTTGTGTCCTTGGGCAAGCCACTTCACCTCCACCTGCCTCTCTCCATCCATTGGGAGTATAAATGGATACCGGTACCGACATTAGCTGGGGAGTAACGTGCGATGGACTAGCATCCCATCCAGGGGGAGTAGAAATATTCTCAGTCGCCTCATGCCAAGGAAGCCGGAGATAAACACTAACATGCATGATGGGCCATATTGGCTCGTGACAGACCTTACTTCTTTTTTTTCTTTTTTTAACCTCGCCTTTGCAGGTCTGCATACTGGCCATCCTGGGGCTGCTAGTTGCCTCTGCACTGACAGCCGTTCTAGCCATGTACGTCTTCTCCTACAACTGGTCCTTCAGCGTCAGTATGATGTTTGGCGCAATCATGAGCGCCACGGATCCCGTGGCCGTGGTGGCGCTCCTCAAAGATCTCGGTAAATATTTATCATTAGTGACCGGATGCATTAAACGGAGCAAGTTTGATCAGGGACCATTGGTCGACTAGTGGACGATTCGCGACGTAACTCACGCATGCGCACTATATCGCAACGTGGAAACATCTTTAGTCAAACAATGGGCGAAACGTCATAATTTCTTCAATTCTTCTTCCTTCACATCTTCAAGTTCTCTTTCTTTCTCAACTATGCAGGCGCATCGAAACAGCTGGGAACCTTAATCGAAGGGGAGTCGCTTCTGAACGATGGCTGCTCTATTGTCTTATCATCGGTCTTCAAAGAAATGTCCGTGCCAAACCACAATTCGACTGGTAAGACTCTCCATGGGTAATGGTCAAGAGAGGGTACTCTTGCCAAAAGTTTTCACGGTGCAAATTGCTATACCTTTCCCCCTTCGGCACTTTAAACATCTGAATATTCTAATTATCAGTCGGCCCTGTTGAAAATATTCATTTCATTCGAATAGGGTGCTATCGAGTAGCTCACCCGGATCGACTCGGGTAAAGGCAGACTCAGGTTAGCCACGACAGCCGAGCTAATCGAACGCTAAATCGGACGGATTTGGTTTTAGTTTGAGATTTACTGCTTTTCAGTCAATTGCAAAACTTGTTTCCCACCAGCGTCCAGCGTGACCGTGTACTTCCTCCGCGTGGCCCTCGGCGGCCCCGCCTTCGGCTTCGCAATGGCCAAGATCACCACGGCCTGGCTCTCCTACATCTTCAACGACGCCATGGTGGAGATTTCCATCACGCTGGCCTCCACCTATCTGACCTTCTACTTCGGCGAGTCGGTGCTGGGCGTGTCCGGTGTGCTGGCCGTGGTGGTGCTGGGGCTGATCGTGAACGCTGAACGGACGGCCATCAGCCCGGAGGTCGAGGTGTTTCTTCACAGGTAAAATGTCGTGGGTTCAAATCCCACTCAGTACTCAAGTGAAATTCCAGTTGAAACCAGTTCAACTGGGAATTGGTGACTGGTTTTGAACTGGTTTAATAACTGTTTCAAAACCAGTTAAACCAGTTCAAAACTCGTTCAAAACCAGATAGTATACCAGTTCAAAACCATTCACCAGTTCAACTGGCACCAGCTGAGTCCAGTTGAACTAGTTGAACTTATTTGAACTGGAATTTCCCCCCTGGGTAAGCTAGTGAACTTTTATTTGCTTGCAAGCCCTCGGAGTATACTTGAGCGATCCCAATTAATGTCCATGCTAAATGCCGGACAACTTTTACCGCAATGAATATAGTCTAATTCTATCGGGTATCAGTTGCAGGATTCTGAAAAACTTCCCCTGAAGCTTTCCGTTTGATATCATTTCTGCATGCACACAGTAGGCCCTACTGGGAACTTCAGTCGGGGAAGATTCTGGAAAAGGTTCATCAGAATTCTGGAAGTAACATCAGATGTATAATCGGGCCAATTGCGAATAAACGTGCCGCAACTTATCCCGTGTATTTAATGAGATGACTCCTTACAAGTCGCCAGTGGAGCTACTGGGGTCCTATTTTTCGGGGGGGGGGGGCATACTTAGGGGGCTCATTATTGCAGAGTCACTCAATGAACTCATTTGTGCCCAGTGTTGTAGTCGAGTACTTTTTTCCAAGTACCGAGTACTTAAGTTACCGAATAAGAGTACGAGTACTTGTACTTCCGAGTACATGGACAGGTCTCCGAGTACTTGTATTCCTACTTCCGAGTACGAGTACGAGTACTTGTATTCCCAGTACGAGAACGAGTACTTGTATCCCGATTTCCGTCGGAGTGCGAGTACTTGTATTTCCGAATACGGCCATACGGCAAATGGTTCAATGTGCGTAATTGGCCCAGGCCCAGTCAGACCGATACACAGAACCACTCATGGCTAGCTGTTAAATGTGTTTGTAAGGGCGTGCACAGAGGAAAATCAGGAAATCTCAATTTCTGCGCAAGCCAATCAACCATTTTAAACTGAAAGTATCAATAAAATAAGGCCGTGGTTAGTCAAGCTATACCATTTATTTTCGAACACTGATATTCGAGTACGAGTACTTTGATGATCGAGTACAATTTCGACATGTCGAGTACGAGTACTGTGCTACCTGAGTACGGGTACCGTCATTTCGAGTACGAATACTTTGAAGAAAAATAAGTATTCGAGTAGTATTCGAGTACGAGTACTACTACAACACTGTTTGTGCCTTCCCAAATTCTGAGTGTGGACTACAACGGGAGGGGCACACGCCTCGAATGGATGGAGGAAATACCCCCTGCCCTCAGTTTAGTTACGAAGTAGCAACTTTTTCTATTAATTCTTTTGATAGATTCTGGGAGATGTTGGCTTATATTGCCAACACGCTGATCTTCATGCTCGTCGGCTTGGTCATCACCAAACACGCCCTGGCCAACGTGGACCCCATCGACTGGTTCTACGTCCTCGCTCTGTATGTCGGCATCAACATCATACGGTCAGTGTGTAACCGCGGATTGGTTTAAGTCAGACACACTTTACCAAATGATGATAAGCGACTTTGTTAGGTTATAGGCAGGTCATTATGGAACGCCAAAGAGCCAGTTAATGTGATCACCGAATCGGTGATCCACTTTCGCAATCAGATGCATGTCCACGATCGGTGATGGACTTTTGCGACCGGTGATCAACTTTTATTAGTGATGCATATTCACGAGCAGTGATGGAGTTTGCGATCGGTGATGGACTTTCGCGAATCGCGATCGGTGATGGACTGTTGTGATTGGTGAATCACTGATGGACTTGCACGACCGGAGGCGCGGTGATCAACTTTGCAATCGGACTCGGTGCCGGTGATGGACTTTCGCGATCGGTGATGGTCTTTCGCAATCGGCGATCAAAGTTGCGGTCACCGGTCGCAAAAGTCCATCACTGACTGCAAAGTTGACCGACGATCGACAGTCCATCACCAATCGAGAAAGTCCATCACCGATTGCAAAGTCCATCACCGCTCGTGAATATGCATCAACAACTGTGAAAGTACATCACCGATTCGGTGATTACATTAAATGCCTCTTTGGCGTTCCATAGGTCAACACTTGTTAGAGCTAAAACAAAATTATGTGTTTAACGTATTAAAGGTAGAGTATATCACTTTTTGCAGCTATCCACAAAGTAACTGACGAAATTATTGTTGAAAAGCGTATTTGATTTAAAGTTAGCAATGGTAATCCCTATTATTCTTTATGGCATGCTGGCATTTTGAAAAAAAAAACAATAAAGAAGGTAATTTCCAAAGATGTGTCCAAAGACGCATTTTTGGAAATGCGTCGTTGGACCATTCATAAAACATTTACAGCAGAACAACCCAAGGGTGGATCCAGGGGGGGGGGGGGGGCAACGGGGACCATGCCTCCCCCCCCCCCAAAAAAATGAACCCAATTATTATTATTTTTTGAAGTGACGGGGCAATACATTGGTTAAAGTGGTCAGAAATAGCCTCAGATTGCACCACAGAGCATCTAAAATCCAATTTTAATTCGGGGCCCATAAGACTGGGCTGCGAACCTCTCACCGTAATTTTGGGACGCACTTTTTGGGGACCAATTTTTTTTGCCCCCCCCCCCAACAAATTTTTTTTGTTCTGGATCCGCCCTTGGAACAACCGTCCATCTTTGTTGTTTCTGCAGGGGTCTGGTCATCGCCATGTTCAGCCCGATCCTGTCTCGTATCGGCTACGGCCTGAGCTGGCGCAACGGAGTCATCATGACCTGGGGCGGGCTGCGGGGCGCCGTCAGCCTGGCCATGGCGCTCCTTGTGTCCCAGTCTGAGGAGCTGGACTCGCAGATGATCGGCAGCAAGGTCTTGTTCCACACCTCGGGGATCGTGGTGCTGACCCTGCTGATTAATGCTACCACCATCCAGTGGCTCTTGAAGATGCTGGGTGGGTGTTTTCTTGCTTCTTCCGGTTTTACAGTTGCTTCCAAGATGACAACTTCAATCAGGGCCGGCGGAACCGGAATGGGGGTTGAGGGAAGGGCGTACTTACCCTCTCCCAGATTTTGCCAGGCCAACAGAAGTGTCCGTCTCGCAGTTATTAATGTGCCCCGTCTATCGAGCTGAAAACAAAACTGCCCCTCAAACGCTACCCGCAGCTAAAAACTTTGCGAAAAACGATTATGTGCACTATACCTAATTCTTTGCGGTCCTCAGTTTTCATTTTTAAGATCATACATTTCACTTATAAATGTTGCAACAAGATCTTGTCTTTGGTCGACATCTTGTTCTTTGATGTAACAACACAGATGCAAGTAAAAGACAGTAAGAAATTTTGTTTCGTTTCGTGACACAGGCATGAGCGACATTTCCGTACCGAAGCGGCTCGCCATGGCCAACGCCGTCCGACGAATCCAGGAGGGGCAAGCGCGGACCTTCGCCATGCTAAAGGCTGACCGCTTCCTGGCAGACGCTGACTGGACCATTGCCGTCAAGGCGGCTGAGATCCACGATCCCTATAAGACCACAAGCGAAGAGGAAGGGGTAGGTTTCTCACGTTGATTGAGAGAGGATTTGGGGGGAAAATCAACTTAAAGACCGTTGAATATTAAAAAGTAGTCTGCTGATACTTGGGCCTGAAGTTAACGACAAAAGAAAAAAAAGGACAAACGACCTGCGACAAAGAAATATTTAGTCGTTGTTCATCGCCTGCTACTGTTTTGTAAGTGACTTGTGATTTACTCGTGACCAGACATGTGATGTACTTGTGATGCAGAGAGGTACAAAATGTTGTCATGTCTCATTTTTTCTCTGCCTCTTCTTTTATTCGTGTCACTGTGCTCTCGTTCACTCATTTAACTAAGATATAAATCAAGCATTCCTTCTCTTTTGCCTGCCAACAGTTGAGCAAAGAGGCAATGAGTCTAGCCCAACGCTCTAGCGTCTGCCCCAGCTGTCACACCGACGTACCCAACGAACCATCGCCATTAGAATACGCTGAGATGATGGACGAGGCCAGACTAAGAATGCTGAAGGCTGAACAAGTGAGTCCTGCAATCAAATTTAAATATTACTGTTGTTGATGCTGTACCGTGGCAAGTGTAATATTGACTACATAGGCCAAATCGAAATTATATCCCGCGTAAAGGTTGTCGGAATCACACCTACACATGCGCAGAATTTACATTTTCAAATGCACCAAAAAAGACTTACTTGTGCGGCAACTTTGTGTTGTGGCAACTACCCGCAATGCGTTACTTCGGCCCAATCGCGAATGTCTTGTGGCCAAATCCCGAATGTCTTGTGGCCAAATCCCGAATGTCTTGTGGCCAAATCCCGAATGTCTTGTGGCCAAATCCTGGATGTCTTGTGGCCAAATCCCGGATGTCTTGTGGACAAGTCCGAATGTCTTCAATTTCAATTTCAATAAGATATATTTCCATTAAAAGCAAAGTAAAAGCATCATGAGAAAAATAACTAGCTCTAGATGAAGGCACGATTGTCTTATAGCCAAATGCCGTATGCATTTGATATGGCCAAATCCCGAATTTCTCATTGCCAAATCCCAGACAGCCCACGTTTTCTTTTTCCTTCAGTCATCACGATATTGATTGATCTCTGATTTCAATCAGGTGAGCTACTGGAAGCAGTTTGAGCACGGCATGCTGTCCCGTGAAGCGGTCCGTATGCTGGTGGGTTACACCGAGACCGCGGCCGACCAGGAAGACGGCTTCATCAGTGTGACGGACCTGAAGAAGAACTGGGAGATCAAGGGGATCTACCCGTACCTGGTGAGCTTAGATCAGGTGTCCCTTTTTGCGAGGTGTCCCTGGTCAGATTTACCCGGAATCCGGAATCTATTTGGCCTGACACTTTTCCGGGTCAAAACGACACTTCACTGACTCATTATCCGGGTCATGTTGACCCGAAACTTTGGAAAAGTGATATTTTGAAGAAGAAAAAAAACCTAAAAAAAATGACGTGTACTCCGTCCAAGTCCAGGAAACCGTGCAAGTCCAGATACCCGTGCAAAAAGAATTTCTCAAAACTTTAATACAAAATAATTTGGCATGTACGTGATTCGAACTTCAACATGACACCCAGCATTTTTTTGTTTTACAATTTTGATTTTTTTTTACAGTATTATTTGAAGAAATGCATGATAATTGTACAATATGTTTTACTTCTCCGAGTCCTTTCGTCGTATTCACTGTGCGTCTCGAGGCCAGCTGCAAGAGATTTTAGTTTTGTTCTTTGAACTGTGTAAACGCAATATTTTTGAAATTTCAGTTAGTAGCTCGTTTTTAATTCAGCGACGCCGTGAATGGGTGCGCGCAGGCGTTGACACGTGACGACGCACGCGCGCGCGGTTGCTATTCAGTGTGTGACATCGCGTAGCTGCAATCGGCTGAATGAGAACGTGTCCCGCACGCTGATTTCGGGTGCAATTCAAAACATGACTCGGTTACTTTTGAATTGATATTGTGATCCTAGAATATTGTTTTCTCGGAATATACATGCAGTATTCACTGCAGAGCTAAAACTTCATCAGAGTAGTTGTTAAACACCCTTCTTTAGATTTTGAGTACTTTTTTGCTCCAAACGAAATAAATGCACATGAATTATGTAAAGCTGGGTGGCTGAAGAACGCATAAAGTGACGAGCGGATTTTTAAATGGAATGGCAAGATTTTTTCACGATTAAGGAATAACAATCAAAAACGCAAAGGAACAAATAGCAAATTTCAGCAATTTTAGCAAGTCCTCCAGTCCCAATTCTACTCACAAGCTACTCGAGCTTTGACAAAAGCATTCCTTTGTTATTGTTCATCCACTTGTGACTGGACTGACTTGTGATTGACTTGTGATGGACATCCCTGTCATAGACTATTTCGCCAAGATTCTGTCCCCCCAATGAGTGGACCCTTCCCGTCTCTTCTCGCCTCCGCAGAAACTCAAACTTGAGGAGCTAATCCGGGGCGGTAAGACCCAGGAGATACCCGATGCGCGCTTCGCCATCTCCCGCGTCATGTTCGCCATCAGCAACCACGTGGCCTTCGAGGTCAGCATCATGGCCATCATCATCCTCAACATGATCCCCATCATCATGGCGTTCGTGGTGCAGGAGGACCACCCGTTGTACGTGCAGTACAAGCCAGGACTCAAGATCAGCAACTACATCTTCACCGTCATCTACTCGTTGGAAGCCATTATCAAGGTACATTATGACCCAATAGGGGATTTACGAGACCCTGGATTGGTATCCGCTTTGGTTCGTTTTCGTTTCTAGCCCAAGATTTACAAAAAAAAATTGCACGATTGAGCAAATCCGGTGAAAAAAATCATAGTTATTTTGTGCCAGAATATTTTTTGTTATTCATAAAGCCGAAAATGGACCGATACCGTCTCGGAGTTTGTCACAATAGGTAATTAAAATCATGAAGGTGGAGCCTGAAGCCCAAGCCGAAGACAAAACCGAGATTCCGTTAACATCCGTCACAGTACTGTGCCATTAAGAAGCAGTTTTCGCATTTATTTTGAAATGGTGTCGAAAATAAAGTGTTGTGTTCGTTAACATTTTTCATTTATTGTTCGATCTGACCCATAACAATAATGATAATTAATTATCATTATTTCCAAATTTCACTGGGGAGGAACACACCGAGTAGGCTATATAGTGTTTATGCGTCGGTGAAGGGCAAAACATAATATAGATTTATATCACCCCGACGCAAAAATTCCATCTTATGAATAGTTTATTTGCGGTACCCGCTGCTACATATACATCAGATTCGAGCCAGTCAACCGATCCCGCAAGCTCGGTGGTCGAGTGCAAGACGTCTGCACTATAGAAAGCAGGAAGTCGTGGGTTCGAGTCCCACCCGAGCGATTTTTTACCAACTTTCACTCGGGAGGCGGTGAAGGGCAAAACATAATATTGATTTACACCTACCCGACGCAAAATCCATCTTATCAATAGATAACCGATTATGAATGGCATTATTCTACGGTATTCCAACGTGTTGGACTTAACAGCTTAACATGTCATTTATATTAATTAACATATTGTTAATACATTTTCGTTGAATGAATTATCCTGCATCAACAGGTGATTGGCTGGCGCAAGTACTACATATTTAGCAACTGGAACAAGTTCGACCTCTTCATTCTGATCATGTCCTTCGTCGACATTATTCTGGACGAGACCATCGGAGACAACAAAGGGTTCAACCCCTCCTTGCTCAAGGTCGTCAAACTCATCCGTCTACTCCGAGGTCTCAGGATGCTCCGCCTCTTCAAGGTAACTTGGAGATAATTGGCATAAATATCGGAGGAAAAAAATCAGAGAACCGATCAATAATGAGCATCGTCAGACCAGTTTGAGTGGAGAGGGTTTACCCGTAAACTTGACGATAGACCAAATATGTTGTCGCCAGATTTTGTCCCCTCTTTTAAAACCCGCACTTGCACATCGATGACGCCAGCAGTTTTGCGCATCAGGTGGGGGAAGAAACACCTCTCGTATACCACTAATATGCCACGCTATTTCCATCACTGGTTCGGCCTAAACTTAAGTGACAGACGATAACACACACGGAAGTATGATTTTTTTCAAGACGGGGTGGCGGTGACTCGAACTGACCATTTAAATTTGTTTCGGGATGATGAGGGTTTCTTGCTATTGTCTGGGTCCTCTTTGCACATTATTAGATCTCTAAGCTGATTTGAGGACTGGAACTAAATCATGCACACACAAGTACAAGCCCTACTATGCTTATGGCTCGACAAACACGGGGGGATGGGGTTCCAGACCCCTTGACCCCTACTAATTTCGCCCATGAATAGTAGGTAATCACTGCGGTTTTGTCACAGATCCTGATTCTCGGTATCGCTTCTGGCATTTAAAAACGCCTTGTCTCGCATTTTGCACTTATCAATTGTGCACCCTGGGGCATGAAAAACGTGACCAAATCTCGACATCGGACCTGGGGCAGCGCTGGGGATGGGGGAAACATTTGACAGATGCATGGCATCAACAACAGTCCCTTATGAACACTTCATGTTAATTATGTTTTAATTTTAACTGTCACCATTGCATCGAGCTGACCCCGTGTAGCTGTAGTCATCTGGGTGCGACTTTGTCTGTTTTCTGGTGAAATCTATTACACTAGGTGTTTTGACAGTGTAGCTGTTACCTGACACTGTACTCTCGCTCGTGTACATGGTGACCGTTTTAGCCGATTTTGGGCTAAATTTGACAGATTTTTTGTTAAAAAAGAAACGAGTTTGACAGAAAATTTGACAGAATAGATTTTTTGGGCAGATTCCTGACAGAATTCTGCAAAAATGGTTATTTGACAGAAACACATAGCAAATTTGGAAAAAAATGGTACAAAAAAATATAAATTTGTTTTTAAAAGTTTCGATCGTTTTTAAACAAACCCTTGCATAATGGGACAGTACAGGTTGGCTGGTCTAGGCATGGAGGTAGGAATAGACCTCCATGGTCTAGGCTAAGGTTCACTGGGAACCGGACTTTGTCGTGACACAACCGCGTTTTGCCTTCAATTTCATAACATCTTTAAGTGACTACAGATTGTTTGTAATGTAATTTGAACCTAAATTAAGGCAATACTGTACTACAACATCTGCGTGTGATTTTAAGTGTTTATAGTGTATTTCGAGTAATTCTGGGGAATTTGGCAGATTTTTGATAAATCTGACAGATTTTTGAAGTGCATTTAGCAGAATTTGGCCACGACCTTACGGTCTCCCTGCTCGTGTAGGTACTCATACCGAAGCTGATCAACTTCCTCAACGGCCGCATCAACCTGCAACTCTCCCTGGGCTACGACGTGGGCAAGGGCTTCGTGCTGGGCGAAGAGGAAGTCAGCAAGCTCATCGATCGACTGGTGGACAACGACAGCATCCTGGACTACCTCAAGAACATCTCCGAGACCAATCGGCTGGAATGCATCAGAGAGCTTGGTAATTATATTACTCACTTCAGTTCAACTCAATAGCATATTTATTTACAACAGCAGCAGAATGCGGTAGGGTTATAGTGGTTAGGGTTTGTGACGCATGATCAGAGGGTCAGGGTTGGAATCCAGCTGCTGGTATGTTGTGTCCTCGGCTCCTCGCGCTAGCCACTTCACCCCCACTTTCCTCTCTCCACCTAGGAGTATACATGGGTACCATAGAGCTTTATTAAATAAATATAGCTCTATGATGGGTACCGACTTTAGCTGGGGAGTTACCTGTGAAGGACTAGCATCCGATCCGGGAGGGGATAGAAATATTTCCAGTCATTTCATGCTAAAGAAACAAACGCCTGATGGGCTCGTAACAATATCTACTTACCACATCTGGTGTTAAATCTGAATCATAAAAAAAATCATAATATTATGTAGTGAGATAAAAACAAAAAAAAACAGAGACTAGGCTGATCAAGAAAGCAAATTTGGTAGACAACAACCTACAGACAATCAACAAGACGAACCCAAGGTGTTTACAAAAGACAGTAAAGACCACTGACAAAATATTAGTGGACCCTAATAAATTGGTTGAAATAAACAGACACGATACCATGCTAAAACTCTTACAAGCTTTTTAGACGGAAGACGAGATTTTATCACGTGCATCAGTGTTTTGCAAATTGCCATCATGACGCCATAATTGTTTTGTATTTAGGTTTATTTTGTGTGGCAGCCCAGTGAGCAAAAATATAATATTCATGTATACATTTTGGTGTGCACGTATGGGCCGAATACCTTTCAAAATGTGACGTCCCAAAATTAGGTATAAGGACGGTGTATGCAAATGATGCATTTTTTGCATTCATCCGATTGGATGCAGGTATGTTACAACGCGTGCATCCGGGGATCGCCGTTTCTGTCAAGACCAGACAGTCCATACGCACGGTGCTGAACCACTCACGGGACACCATCCGGGAACTTCAAGGGGCGGGCTTAATCGATGAAGGCGAGGCTCACAAGCTAGAAAAGGTTTGCGAATGGACGGTTCCGGATTTAAGCCCCACCCATCTTAAGTTTGTGTAAATTTCTTGCATTGCTCGTGACCGAGTCTTATCGAGTCACGTGTCACCTGACCAAAACTCGTGATCCATTTGCATGGTCAATGGGGGACTTTATTGAGCATGCGCGCTTTAGCTCAAACATGACGTAAACAATTGAAAAGGACTGGTGTGTTTGCTGCCACCAACGTCTCAAAAGTCTCCCATTAATACTCATCGTCTGATTGACAGGCACTGATTTGGAATCATGAAAATAATTTTATCAATAATTTGGAAGGTTACAAAATAGTGAATCTGGCACAAAATTCAACATAGCTTTTTACAAATACCTCGGAAGTGTGCAGTGAAAACATATATGTTGCAGTGCATTGTGGGGAAGTGCATTTCGTGTAGCACAACGGTCCCACAATGCAGTGGTTCATACGTCTTCACTGCACTTTATTGGCCGGATGGCCATCCGTAAGCAAAAAGAAAATCTGTGTCTGTGCCCTCAGAGATATTTCAATCTTTGCTTTGTATAGGTTGTGGAGATCAAGATGAAACAACTGATGAACGCGCCGTCTAGTATCCCACCTCCCCCGCCTGAAAACCTGCTGAAAAATGTGCCTTGGATCGAGGGCGACAAGAAACTCATTGACTTCATTAAGGTAAGTATTGATATGGTGACATCATAATGACACATGTTTTTCTTGCGACCTTACAGGAATTTTAATTTTCTATTTTTTTTTTTAAAGTTGAACATTTTCAGGGTGATTTCTGACGTTCGTGCTCTTCTTTTTTTTTCAGGCGCGTGCTGAGCTGCTACACTTTGACTATGGGGATGTCATCGTGCGGGAAGGCGACATACCAAACGGCATTTACCTCATTGTGTCTGGTCTCGTTAAGGTAGGCCTTTATAGTTTAAACAAGTACCACATGTGCACAAGCCTGGCCTCTTATTTCGGTTGGCGGATTAAGTCTACACTGTTTCAAACTTCTCAGGGTTCTTTTTTTCTGACAACTGTTACCAGCTGTTCGGTCAGAGCGAGTACCTCGACCACGAACTGGCCAGCAGCCACTCCGTGACGGTGGCCAGCGGTCCCGGCCATTTCGAGGACTATCTCTCCGTGGGCAATGTCATCGGTGAAATGGGCGTGCTGACGGGGAGACCGCGGAATGCCACGGTCTCGTGTGAGACTGCTACACAGGTACATGTACACATGAATCTCGGTGCACTCTCCAAAAAAGGCCCTGGTCATGGATTCGACCCGGATTCCGGGTTCTATTTGGCCTGATACACATTTGAAAGTAACTCTCAGTTCTGGGTCAGAATGACACCTGCGGCCAAGGTTTCCGAGTCAGAGAATGAGTCAGGGAAGTGTCATTTTGACCCGGAAAAGTGTCAGTTTTGAACCGAAAAAGTGTCATCTTCGACCCGGAATAGTGTCAGCTTTGACCCGGAAAAGTGTCTTCTTTGACCCTGAAAAGTGTCAGTTTTGACCCGGAAAAGTGTCTGCTTTGACCTGGAAAAGTGTCAGTTTTGACAGCAGTTTTGAAAGTGTCAAGCCAAATAGATTCCGGTTCAAATCTACCCAGGGGCTTTTCAGAGTGTGGGGTTATTCAAATTCTCAATTTTTGACTTAATTTCCAAAGGGGAGGAGTGCACTGAAACGGGGAGTAGTACACTGCAAAGTAAATTTGTTAATTTAAATTAACATCGTACGGCCCAGAAAATTTTCCCAACGAAATGTAACAGAATGAAACAAGATTTACATTCGAAATGAGGATTTCTTCTCATAACTCAAATCCATTGTGCGTAGCACAAACTGAAAGCTTTACATCTGGAAGACGAAATATAATGTTGAGCAATGTGAGTTTTGTTCTCAAAGTACAGCCCCAGTTTTCGAGAAAAAAAAATTACAGCATGGACATAAATATGAACCGTATTAACAAAGTGAGGGATTACAGACTTTTGATGATCCTTTTTTTTTCCAGAAGAGATGTATTTAACACATCTCCCGAGTGATATCAGTTTGCAAATTGGTTGATTATTATGCTAATCCGTAGAGAATTTTCCTCATGGTTGTTAGGTGTATTACATCAATTTGGAGGACATGCAGATCGCATTGGAGACCTTCACTCTACACCCGTCGCTGCTCTATCGGCTGTGGCGCATCATTGCCATCCGTATTGCCACACCACTGATGCTAGAGCAGATTGCATTCCAGGTATGCTGCCGGAAAATAACCTTAAAAAAACACCAGAAAGCTGTATTTATTGACTCCATCCTATGGTCCACACAAGATCCTAGTGTGAAGCCTAGTTTCCATATCGACACAAGAAACGCAGAGAGCAACGCAAACAAGTCCCAAACTCCACGCAGACAATTATGGAAACATCATTCATCCGGAATTGCCACCGACAACCACAGACGCAAACTATCTCGCAGACGATCGGCAAAAGTTGAACCCGGTTCAACTTTGCCGACGATTCTGCGCACTGTCTGCGCAGTCTGCATAAGCTTAACGTCGATATGGAAACTAGGCTTAAAAGGGGGCTGCGCGTATGGCGCGTAGTACGCATGAGTTTTTCAACGGAATGTTCATCGGAATGCGCACAAACCCCCAGCGCCTTCGGAGAGGAACGCACCTGGGCTGATGGCGTGGAGCTGATTTCATTTTGCTAAGCACATCAAATATCAGGGTTTTTTCTGCAGGTTATCAGTCAAAGTGCCATGTATTGTACATAGTGCTTATGACTGGTAGTAGCTGAGGCCGCGTCTGAATTACATGGCTATGGCTCGATTTAACACACATGTCTACGGGAAGTGGCTGCAGCCGCGTCCGTAGGCGCGTGTGTAATTTGCAGCCGTAGCCAAGTAATTCAGGCACGGCTTGATTCTTTTTAAGCCCACAAACTGTCTTATCAACATTTTCTGCTATACAGCTCCATGACATTGAATCCTGAGCAGCAGCTCATAGCAGCAGTTGCGCATGCTAATCTCTTTCTCTCTATCTTGACCATTGAGGGGGTAATCAATACACGGGGACCATTATCTTCGGTAAATCGAAAAATGAAGCAAATTAGCTCCATGCTTTCATACAGTTTTATCTCAAACACTATTTTTTTCAATTGCTTCGCACTCTGTCTGGGTACTGTGCAAATGGTAGACCACCAGATTTCCAAAATTGGGTATATAGTCTTTTGTTACAAGGCTTTGGTTCCACCGACAGGGTTGGACACAAGAAAAGATCAAATTACACCTAGAAAGAGGCTTCTTACCAGACTTGGAAGACGAAGGGTACAGCTTTGAAATTGAAGACACGGTTGATGACGTCATTTTGATTCAGGTAAGTTTCGAGCACTTTCATTTTTCGTCTGCATAGAAGGCGGCGGCATATACAGTTATACCGTTGACACTGAGCGATCATAAATCTTTTCTGCTTACGCTACAAGCTTTCGAACGTTTTATACATTTCAAAACTTTCTGTAAAATGTTATCTTTATTATTTTAACCATAGTTTAACCCATATCTCCTGGCATATTCGTGTAAGCGCTTGAACAGCGATAGTGCATTCTTGAGTCGGCCTAACTCCTTCAAAATGAATTCACAAAGTGCATGCTCTCGGATATGTAAGGCTTTAGGTCACTTTCCTTTTGAAGCGAAATCGTTTGTGTTAACCGAACAGGGAAGAGCAATCGACGCTCACACCCGTGACGAGCTCGTCGGGCCCCACGTCATCCCACGCTCCGTTCACCGCCTGACCTTCAAGAAGGACGACAGAAATGAGCCAAAAATCCTGGTAGTGCCCAACCAGAACATAACCCTGCCGGTCCTGGACGGCAGGATCAGCATCCACGGCTCCACGGTCTCCGTCGCCGCCATCCGCAGCAACCTGTGCCTCCGCCACGCCTCCCGAGTCCGTTTACACAACACGTCCTCCGGAATTGGTGGCAGCGGTGGGATCAACAGGAGGCCGTCCCGTACCAGCGCTAAGAAGATTGAGGCTCCCTTACCACCCCCGAAAGGAGGCTTTCCAATGAGGAACCTGGAGTCCCTGGATCCTATAGGGTATCCCTCGCCGGTCAAAGGTCAGAACGGGATGACGTACGTGGATGAAGCTGTCTAGAGTAAAAAAAACTATCCTGGTACCCCCAACGTCGCAAACCTTTCAGACACAGTCAAGTAGTGTCTGCGCTGTGGGACATCGAAGTCGCAGGCTTGACAACTCCTATATGCCAACCGGGGTGATTGTTTCGTTTGGAAAAAAAAGACAATTTTCAACTCGTCATTTACAAGCAGATACCATCCCGTTATTCGGTGCATAGTGCATAAGTAATATGAAGCTTGATGCAGGTCAGAAGTTTACAGTTTTTATATCATAAAGCTTCGTGTGTTTCGTCTCCTTTCTGCAAACACAATGCTCTTCAAGTGAGGTTAAAATTGAAATAGTTTCTTAAGTTACCAGTGAAAAGTGTTGAAAGTTGGAGGCTTGGTCTGTTAATATTAACTTACTGGGGTTTTTTAAAGACATGTACATAAATCTCTGATTTTGTAAATACTTGTAAAAAAAAAATTCCAAAGGCTTATTCATAGTGCTTTTGTATTCAACACTGTACATAGAAGTATACAAAATTGTTCAAAATACGTAATATACCATTTTTGTCAATTTGACACGTGTACAAGCTACTGAAAATATTAATAAACCAAAAGAGACTCCTCCTCTACTTTTGGCTGATTTTTTAATTACTTTTTTTAATTGATTGATTCTGCAAAAGCGGTAAATCGTACTCACGCGACTATCACAAAACAGACGTAAAGTAAAGGAATACCCACAATTTTCCATCAGATGCTGAAAAATTTCACAAAGTCTCAAAAGGACAGAATAGAATTGGATTTCCTTAAAGAAACTAACCGAGAAAATAAAATTCTGCGTGTCAAAGAATGAATAACCATATTCTGTCCATCATTCTCTACTTGTTACAATTTGAGCAGAACATTAATTCCTTTACTCTAAAGGGCACTCTCCCTGGATCATTTGAAGATGAGACATATTCGAAAAACTGAACCAAACCTGTTAGGCCCCGCCCCCTGGCAACAACAAGTGTATATCTCCTATCCCGTTCGTTAGTGTGAGGTCATTTCAACTTAAACCACGCCCATAGGCGTTTGCGTCAAGTAGATTTGGCATTGCGCACTCTGTAAGTATCCTCCACTGCTCCTTGTTGGATGCCACGTGCCAGGTGTGTCGATCTTTGATGTCATGCTGACCCCCGTGCTTGTCAGGTCCCTGTTTACTCTTTTCAGCCACGTGGCTCAATGCCCACCTCTTGGCAGCTTGTTCTTGCGGATCGCCTCTAGAAGCGCTTGCTTGGCAGGTGTTTCCTCGGGCAGTCTCAGGAGATGGCCTGTCCACCTAGGACGTCTTCTGGTAATGTCTACGCTCCAAGGGATCTCGTTAGTTTTCTTGTAGAGTTCTTTATTTTGTGACCTTCTTTGTCCATTTAATACAAGGATTGAACGTGAGAGCCTTCTGTGAAAGGCATCAATGTTCTCTTCTATTAGTTACTGTCCATATTCATTGTTGTATAGAAATACGGACGCTATTAAAGCACGCCCACTGCACACGGAGAAGCATTGGAACCGGTGTCATATGAAAATCCGACTCGTATGAAAATCGGACTCTTTTTCCCTTTCATTGGTTAAACCCTCTCACGTGACCGGTCTGTCTCCTAATAATCTATGCATGAGCATGCGCAATGAGCCCGTATTTCATAAAAACTCAATTCATGCTACACCGGAAGTAGTACCAAGTGGCGTGTGTAGCCAATGGGCGCTAGTAATCAGTGGTGCGCGCGCGTGTATGACGCAAGCACTTGTGAACCGGAGGTCTTACTGCTTGTTCCAGACGCGCGCCATAATAAGTGCGCGCATGTCGCACATAAATCATGGCTGTGATTGGTCAAAGCATCATTGGGCGTGGCTAAGTGGATCGATATATTACACAATCGATCCACCGTACCAGGATCCGTGATTATACTGAAGTCCAAATAATACCAAAGTCAACCTCGACTTTAAAGCTACATTTGCAGTTATCCAAAATGTAACTGACGTAATTGTTTGGGAAACAAATTTGGTTGAAAGATATAGGGGACTAAACTCCCTATGAAATTATTCTTTCTGGCATTCTGTCATTTTGTAAATCAACGAAAGAAAGCCTTTCCAACGATGCGTCTAAAGACGTATCGTTGGAAATTCCCGTTAGTAGTTCGGTTTTTTTATTCGGCAAAGCGCGCGCAAGCGTTGACACGACGCACACGCGCGCGCGCGGTTGCTATAATTCTTCGGATCAGCGCGCAACATCGCGTTGCTATATCAGCTCAGTGAGAACGCGTCTCGGACGCTAACGTCAAGCCCAATTCAAAACACGATTCAGTAACTTTTGATTTGAAATTGAGATCCGAGATTGTTATTTCTTTTTCGAATTATACAGCTGAAGCTTAGCTGAAACTTCACCAGGTTAGTTGTTTAGCAACCTTCTTTAGATTTTGAGCACGTTTTTTGCTTCAAACGAACAAAATGCACAAATTACAAATGATGGAATGTTCCTTTAAGCTCTTATTAAGGGAATAACAGTTATTCCCATTAATAAATACCTTTTTAACGAAATAAACAGTTAAAATGCTCCAATTTTGTGACTTTCTTTCGGCGATATTTCCAGACTTTTTTGTGTTCATGTTCATGGGCCATATTTTAACTTATGCGTGGTACCCTGTCTCTTCGATAAGCGTTGTTATACACCACTAGCCGGGCCCAGGCTGTGCTGGACATTGCTGGACAACGTCTTCATTGCGTACGAGTACGACGTCCAGGGTTTGGACTTTTGCTGCCGTAACGAAACAAATTACAATAATGTTTTCATTTTTTTACCTGATGGAGGAAGCTGAAATTTCGTTTGCACACTCCTTGTGTCCAGAATTACAAAGATGCTTGATTTAGGAAAGGTAAATATGTCGTTGGGCGAAGTGGTTAAAGAAAATAAATCGTAGATCTACGCTTTCGTCGTAAACATCCTCAGTATACTGCACTGCTGTATGTACGATGTCCAGTCGTTTTAAAAAACTTCCTTACGCGCGCGCGCACCCATAGCAACTGTGTTGCGAATGCGCGCGTCAGTCTCACGCGAAGGTGGTTGAGCGCATGTGCAGTGCTGTATTGTTACAAGCTGCCGTATGACTGTTGTAAGTTTGCCCAATCATTGCCTTCCATGGGGCTGGATCAATGCTGGTTCAGGGGCCATTTTTTTCGCTTGTTCTTTGAAGCCGGTCTTTATCACCGTTAATGCCCGGCCACGTGATCGATTTTCAACCAATCAGAAACCATCAACCTTCTAAGGTATTTATTAATCCTTTATAAAGGAAAGTAATGAGGCCAATAACTGTACCACAGGATACTGATTTTGCAGCGGATATTTTATTACAGACACAAAGACAAATTGGTCGGTGAATATGTTATTTCTTCCTATAAACTATTAAAACACCATTCATAAATACCTCAGACAGTTTAGCTATTCCTATTGGTCGAGAGCCCGTCACGTGGCCGGTATTAAACGGATGATAAAGACATGGCTAGCTGGTCTTAAACACTTTTCCAGTGTCACAATAAAATGTGGACTCCTAAAAATCCAGTGCCTCTTACCGTTTCATTGGTTGAACGTTCACAATCCTCACGTAGGCATGCGCAACACTACAAGCGAGTCAGAATTTTATAGTTCTAAATTCAAAACGCAACGCCCCAGGTGCGTTCTGCGTAACATCGCGCAGAACATGTTACGCGCGCGTCAATCTCCATAAAAGGGTTGTTTACATCTTACTCGCCAGCTGAAAACTCCATTATTTTGCTAGAGGGATGTTTCAAAAAGCATGAAGTGAACTTGTTGAACAAAATTTTTTGAACGAATTATTTGAATTTTTTTTACGGAAAAGGTATTTATGAATGGGAATAAATATGTGCTCGGTCGGTATTTATCACTCTGTTTAATACCGCTTAGAGTCTGGGTGCTGATAATTACCCTCGCCTCCGGCTCGGGTAATTATCAGCACCCAGACTCTAAGCGGTATTAAACGAGTGATAAAAACCTCCGGAGCACACATTTAATCCCTTATTGATAGTATAAGGTTTGTGAAGTCTTATAATTATTTCTAAGAACAAGAAATATGGAATTGAATCTTGATCCATGACACTGCAATTTTTCTGTTTACGTGTTGCGATTTTCAACTCTGCCAATCCTTTTATTTGAACGGCTTTTATTTGACTATGCAGTTTCTCCCTGCAATAAAAAAAATTATTATAAAACATTGTTTCGATGGTTGATATTTCACAGAACAAATTGAATCCACTTTCGACACATGACACTGCATTTTTCTGTTTACAGTTCGCGATTTCGAGCCTGCCAATCATTTCCTGTTTGATTCATAGACATTGACCTCGGTAACATTGTCAATAGAGCCATTGACTGTGTGATAATGGAGATACAGGTGGGTTTTCAATTCCGCTGGGCTTGAAAATAGCCTTCGTTCGAGACACTGCACGCTTTGTGCGGATTACAAACAAACGAGCCGTTGCACTAGAATCTGGTCATGAGGTAACTGCACGGTGCTGATCAGCACGTCTGGAACTAAAGCTAGTGGTTTGAGGGTTGTACATGCATAAATGTGCGCTTTTTGATGCCAATCGCCACAACCAACTCCGCGCCGTTCGGACTAGACACATATCAGCAACCGGTTTGTTCTTTGAGTAGATCCGAAGCGTGTCTGAATCGAGCAAGATGACGAAGGGAAAGAAGTGGGTTCTGGAGAAGCATTTCCAGGGAATGCCCAAGAGGAGCGACATGAAGATCGTGGAATTCGATCTTCCGCCAATCAAGGATGGCTGTAAGTTCACATGTCTGGGTTCACGCAAAAGCCGCCATTGCAGAAAGTGTGCGTTGTACTAGAACAGCTTTTCGTGGCGCCAGTGTTGTGGAACGAGAACTGCCCCCAGGGCAGCGTTGTGGAACTGGAGTCCGTCGCGAGTCGCAGTTTCAGTGACTCAGACTCGACTCGAGTTGCACCAGCAAAAGACTCGGACTCGGACTCAGACCGACCATCATGACTCGGACTTGACGCTATCGACTCGTGACTCGCGAGTCGCGCATTTTGTTTACACCCAAAAATACATATTCAATATGAAATTAGAAAATGTATTGACCTGCGATGGACTGGCATCCCATCCAGGGGGGATTCTCAGTTGTTCCATGTGCCAAGGAAACCGGAGATAAAACGCAGGCCTGATGCAACATACAATTTATTGGCTCGTGACAGACTTTACATTGGAATGAAACACTCTAAAAAATAATCAATCCAGTAGAAACTCGGTCTACTTGATTAAATATATATCATTCTAATACGTCTGTTCTCTGCAGTTTCAGTCGGTGGGAGTGAATGTTCACATGGTTTTGAACTAAGAGAGTATACATGTTCAAATTACGGTCATAAACGAAATTTAGATCCTTACAAAAACAGTCGATAATATTTTCTAAACCTAGTTAGCGGTAATGTTACTGTCATACACTCAACCAAAAAAGAAAGTCCTCCCTTCCAATAGTTTTTTGTTTTCTAACTCAAAAACTACTGGGCACCTCTCGCTGTCGCTCATTTAATCAGTACAAAAATTCCTTAGCAATCCAGACACACTCTTTATACAGAAGTGCCACTTTTTTCGGGTACCATTTGTCATAAATTGAACAATTTTGTACACATCATCAATGCTTTGGGCCAACAAAGAGTATGGCTTGATTGCTAAGGAATTTCTGTACTGATCAGTCGTAATTTGAGCAAGATATGCCCAGTAGTTTTGAATTAAAATATTATTTCTTTTTTGTTTGAGTGCACTATGACATGTAACGGTCGCTTTTACCTACAGCGGTTCTGTTGGAAGCGGTCTACCTCAGTGTGGATCCGTATATGAGGTGAGTTTGTGTCCTCATTAATTTGTTGTAGTCTCGTTTCTGTTTCTGTTTTTCATAAACTCTAGGTGGAATAGAGGTTACGACGGATCAAACCAATCTTTGCTGCATATATACCAATATTGTAGGCCCTATGTAGCCTACTGTGGACGGTTCAGCTCAACTGTTGGGCCAAACGGCCCAAAAAGCTATAATAGGCTTCAAAAATTTCACGAACTGGTGCAGTTACGACAACTTCATTTTGTTCATTACCTCTTTTACCAAATAAAAGTTTCTAGTTAAAGGTAAAGTACATCATTCGTAATTTGTGCATTATGTTCTTTTGAAACCAGCAAGAAGGATGCTTAACAAATAACCTGAATGCTTCAGCTCAGTGAATGCTGTTACATTCCGAGAAAACAACATTTTAAGACTTCGATTTCAATTCAAAAGTTGCAGAGTCATGTTTTGCATTGTTCTCATTCAGCCGATTGCAGAATGCATTGCGTCTATGTTAATATGTCGCCAGCCGGTTGGCCGAGTCATGTGGGACAAAGACGCATTACTCGCAGTCGTATTCTGGACCCTAGTATTATGCGGTATAATACTACACTAATGTTGCAATGGATCGACCATCGATGTTTCAAGTTTGCTTGAAGACAATAATGTGTCACAATTATGTATATTTTCTCGTCCATTTTGTTTTCATTTTTTTGGTTAGGGTTTTCTCAGCTAGATTGTCTGAAGGGGTTACAATGATCGGTGAGCAGATTGCGAGGTGAGTTGAAGTCATGCGAGAGCCATTTCATTTTTATCTCAAATCGTCATTATTTTGAGGACACAAAAATCATTAATTCATTCAAGCTCCTTCTTTATCCTAAAAGGGCCGGGGTAAGGAATCCGCCCTCTCTCAACTTTTTTCCTTGATACCCTAGAAACAATTTTTTTTTCGCGACCCGAGCTGTCATGACTTTTAAGCCTCGAGTCTTGCGCATCTTGTGATACTAAAAACATAAAATTCGGACCACGGGTTGTCGCGCAGCAAACAATTTTCCGGCGCTACACGCTGTGAAAACCGAATTTCCCATATTAGTCAGGTGGCTTAGGTCCATTTTTCGACAAGATCGTGACCGACTGGTCCAAAGCACCAAACTTGGCAGATACATTGTTTAGGCCCTAGGAAAGATATTTAGAAGGGGTGACACCTGAAAATTATCTGGGAAGGGTACCTTATTTGCATAAATCCAAAATGGCGGCAATTGTTAAGCTTTTGCTTTGAATTTAGTGTTTTAATCAGCCCTTTATTAATATTCAATGTAGTTTAAAGTATTTATTTCTTATTTTAAAGTCAAAGTAGGTAATAACAACATATAGTTTGATGAATTATCTTTAAATCATATATATCACATTGATTTGAGAGTCATTCATTAACATTTTTATACATATAAAATGCTGCTAATATTGTGTAGCATTTTTGTTGCACATACAGATTGAAGGGTGCGTCTATTGACCCATTTTTTCTCCCTTCCTGACACATTTCATTTGATTGGGGAGTTTATTCTTCTTGTTACCAACTATTTTAAAGGTTATAACTGTATTAAACACTACCTTTATGACTTATTTTTTAGAAAAGAAGAAGTATTTATTATTTTTAAACGTCTTTTGTGTAATAATAGCACTACTTAAAAAAAATGTCTGGTGTTCGATACGTAGACAAATTCTTAATTTGAAAACTCCAGCTAGTTTTGACCAAGAAATTGTATTGTTTTATCGCAAATCTATTTTAAAACAATTATTTTGCTCGGTGGTCGTGTGGTAAGTCGTCTGTACTAGAAAGCAATAGCTCGTGGGTTCCATTTCCATCCGGTTGATCTTTTCCAACTTTCCCTAGGGAGCTAGTGTTTATACATCGGTAAATGGCAATATCTAATATTGATCAAACAATTATTCCACCACGCCCTCAAGAGATTGATGTTACACTTATTATTTCACTCGGCCGTCGTCCTGAATGAGGTATACACCTGTTTCAAGAACCATCGATATTGCAAAGAGTGGTAGGTAAAGGATCTGTACATCATTCACTTTATAAAACTGGATAATCCCGCATTTACAGAAATCTGGGGAAAGGCATGGAGGGGAGGGGCGCCAAAATAGAGATAAAATATGTATATAGGGGACTGTGAGAGGCAAACCCGAACTTTAACTTTGTGTATATGGTTTAAATTCACGAATGGAGTTGCCAATCGTGAAGTATAATATTAATGTGTACGTGACATCTTTTGGAAATCTGAAATACCGGTACAAACATTATGGACAATAAACTTGCGATTAATTTTAGAGGTTCAGTAGTGATAATCATATTGACTAGCATGCAATTTTTGTCCGTTCACTAGAACCAATACTTAGATGTAGAGAAAATTGACAACGGGGTGCAAACACAGTATAGGCCTGTACAGAAATGTATGCCCATTGTCAACCATATTAGTAAACAGATATATTGTCTGTTTTCCAACTCAATCCACAAACTTTCTCTTATTTCTCATTTTCTCAGGCTTAAATATGGATAAATCTTGCGTCATCTGTGGTGAAGTAGGTAATGACATGAAATGCCCAGCAGATAGCCTGCAGAAAAATGGTTTAGAGGTTTATCAAGCGTTTATTGACATTGCACTTGAGTTCCAGGAACTTGAAGCCTTACCAGTAGACATTGATTTGAAAGGAGTTACAGCCGAGAAACTTCTGGAAAATCGTGCCCAGTGGCACAAAGCCTGCCGTCTTAAGTTTACACGCACACTACTTCTCAGACGTCTCGAATCAAAAAAACGTACTAAATGTGACTCCCAACAAGAACCGGTGAACAAAAGGTCCAAACGCAAAGCCATTGGCACCCCAGATAAAGAATCATGCATTTTCTGTTCTCAGACATCTGGAAAATTACACAACTGTTCGACCATGATACTAGACAATCAGCTGAGAATGATGGCCACAGAACTCAAAGATACAGCACTTCTCGCCAGAATTTCTGGAGGGGACCTCGTAGCAATTGAGGCAAAATACCATTTTGACTGCCTTTCTGCATACAAGAGTCGATACAGAAGTGAACAAAGAGCAACCTCTTGCCCAGATACAAGCTTTGAACAGAGACGTGAAGCAAGAGTATTTGCAGAACTTGTTTCCTACATTGAGAGCAGTGTTGAAAATGACACTTTCATCTTCAAACTCACCGAGTTGCACCACTTATATGAAAGTCGGCTGCGGGACCTTGGAGTTGACAAAACTATCAATAGAACCAGACTTAAGCGCCGATTACTGGAGCACTTCATAGAGGAGTGTCAAGAGCAGTCTGTCGGAAAAAATACACTTCTTGTTTTCAATGAGGGGATGAGGAAACTACTCAGTGAGGCCATGCAGTTACGAGATTACACATCAGAAGCTCTTTCAATGGTTAAACTCGTTAAAAGGATCAGGCAAGATATATTTGATTGGGAATCCTTCAACTTCACCGGGAGTTTCAAGCATAACTGCCAGGAAAATTCTATACCGGCAAGCCTCAAGACGCTAGTTGCCATGCTACTGAATGGGCCTAACGTTAAACACCAAGATGTTACCGAGTCCCAGGTCTGTCTGTCCATAGCCCAGATGATCTTCTTCAATGTAAAAAACAAAGGTTCTGTGGCGAAAACCAGCAGGCATTCAAAAGAACGGGAACCACCCCTTCCTCTCTACCTCGGTCTATGTATTCATACACTCACGAGATGCAAAAAGATAATGAACATCCTGCATAGACTGGGCATCAGTGTTAGCTATGACCGTGTTATTGAACTAGAAAAATGCCTAGAAAATGCTGCATGCAAGCGCTTTGAAGACGACGAACTTGTCTGTCCCACAAATCTGAGAAAAGGTCTGTTCACAGCGGGGGCTTTGGATAACATAGATCACAATCCGTCCTCTACTACAGCCAAGGGCTCTTTCCATGGCACTGGAATCAGTATCTTCCAGTTTCCCACGGTATCCAACTCTGGAACCTGCAGAGATCCCGTTGTAGTCTGCCCTTCGTCAAATAAGTGTTATCTCCCGGAAGATTATACAACTGTTCCCGCCGTGGCTTGTCAGACTTCTAAACTTGAAGTGCCCGAAACATCCCTGAGTGCCATTGAAGGTAAACTCGAAGATGCAATCGCTGCAGAAGCCTGCTGGATGGAGAAAACTAGCCCACTTTTAAAGAAGGACAAGCTAGAGAAAGAAGACTTCATTGCCTGGTCTGCTTTTCATGCGTCAACACAGCCGCCTCCTTCAGATCCTCCTGCACTGAATGCTCTCTTGCCCCTCTTCTATGAAAAGGCTTCAACCATTGCCATGATCAAACATGGAATGGAGATCCAAAGGCAAATTATCCAATTCCTCAACCCCTGCCAGACACCACTTACTGCACTGGACCAACCACTGTTTGCCCTTGCCAAGTTTGTTCAGTGGCATTGGCCCGAGACCTTAGGAGAAGCGCACTTCGTAGTGATGTTCGGTGGTCTTCACATCGAAATGGCTCTATGGAACACGATTGGAGACTTCCTGGAAGGATCTGGTTGGACCGCTGCCTTATCCGAAGCTGGTGTGGCCTCCTCAGGTACAGCTGACTCCTTCCTCAAAGCTGCTCACCTCACTAGAACGAGGCACAGTCATCAAGTTACGCTGCTAACACTGGAAAATCTGCAGAGAGACGCTTGGCAACTGAAAGAGAAGTCTGACAGTGAGACGTCTTTTGAAACCTGGAAACGGGAAAGGATCAAGTCAAGTCCCACGTTCCAGTATTGGGATATCATCATGAAATATGAAACACTTGTGCTGATTTTCATCCGTGCTCATCGAATCCGGGATTTTGATCTCTTTGTGGAGGCTTTGGAGGCTCTGGTGCCTTGGTTTTTTGCCATGGATCACACCAACTATGCTCGCTGGATCCCCATCCACATACGAGATATGAAAGCCCTACCGAAAAGAGTGAAAGAAGAGGTCAAACAAATGTGGGTTCTGCAAAAGACTCGGCACAAGTTCTCTTGCATGCCCCTTGACCAGGGTCATGAGCAAAACAACGAACAGGTAAAGGGATCTGGTGGAGTGGTAGGACTTACCGAAAACCCAGCTGCCTTCAGAAGATGGATGGTTGCTGGACCACAGCAGGCGCGACTCTTGAGAGAGTTCGAGGACGAGTTCATGGAAGGAGAAGACATCAACATGTACAAGCAGCATGAACAGGGAATGAATACTCAAGAGGTCTTCAGAAGACAAGTCAACAGCCTCACTGAAGCAATCTCAGAAATGGGGAACCCTTTTAAGGACGACTGCTCAGAACTACTAGCTTTGGACACTCGAAATTGTGCTGATGAAGATGTGGTAACCACAGTCCGTACAATCGAAGCCATTGGAGTTTCCCAGTATCAGAAGTATGTCAAGGATGTGATCTTTGACCGAAGCACCAGTATTCATAAACCCATCAAACGAAATACTTTGGCACTTTGGAAGCGACCAAAATCGAAGGCAACCACCAGTACTAAACATCAGCTATCAAGTCTCAGAACTGATTGCAATCTCTTCAGTCAACTGTACATCGCAAGTCAGTACCGTCAGGGAGACTTAGAAGAATTCTTCGCCCATGAAAATCATCCATGGCCACCCTCACTCTCAGTATTTGGAGAGCTCCGCCTGCCCACGAAGAAATCTGATCTGACAGAAATGCTGACCACAGATCAGCCAGAACCCCCATCGTACTACCATGCCAAGGTTTGT